AGAGGCCAGGACGTCAAGGCACGGCACGAGCTCAGATAAAAAGGACAAAACATCGGAAGAAAGACATGCAGGCAGCAGATTGGTATGGAAGGTACCGAAACAGGCTGGACTGAAGTTCAAGCTGCCCGGACCCGGAGGAAGCGCAGCGACAAGGGGGTCGAGAGGCTGACCGAGTGGAGCGCAAGGGCAAGTCCGAATTGAAAGAATGGAAAATAACTTACTGTAAATCCTGCATCACAGGCTGCTGTGCGTGGTACCTCACGCCGTTGGTGTCAGGCATGGAGACGAGACCTCCGACTCGCTGGCTTTCGTCTTCGTCCGTTACAAACCCTGTCACATGAGCGTTCATATAGTCACCCTCCGAAGTAACGGGATCGTTCAATGAGAATACCTCCGAGAGGAGTGCTGGGGAATTCATAGGTTAGAGACAGGAAAGATATATGGAAGGGGGAAAAAAAAAGAAAAGGAAAAGAAAAAGGAAAAAATAGACATAGACAGGAAAGAATGTCGAATCAACCGCATGACAGAACGAACAGGGAATGAAAAAAAGAGAGCGAAGCTTACAGGGATTCATCTTGAGCGTGCTGATGCCAGGTGCCTCGAGGACCCTGAAGCTTTTGGTTAATTGATGTAACACCGGCCAAATCTGTCTGGCCCTTGAGGTCTGGGGTGGCAAGAAGTGAATGTCTAGAATAGCAGAGGTTAGGTAAGGTTGAGAAGAACTCTGCATAGTCAAATTCCCTCACAGTACTCGATTGATACCTCTGGGTGTTTTTGAGCCTATTGAGGATCACAGGAAAAGACTCCAATACAGCTCCTCTTAGTGTTTTTAGTGTTGGATATGAACCAAAACACAATTCTCACGGTAAGAAAGTAGTTTGGAGATGGCAAGTAATAGAGCCTGGAGTGAAGGGAGTAGACAAGTGATAAAGAGCGAAGTATAAATGAAGATAGGAAAGGTAGGGTTATAAAGAGGAGTGTGAAGAGCAATACATATGTATGCCTCAGTAAAATTGTTGCGTGAAAGGGTCTTTTGGACGTTGACAAGAGGAAGTAGATGAATGTCCGGGAGCCAAAGGAGTGCGTCACCGATTTATAGACATGACTTCCTAATTGGGAAATGTCCCATTAACTTAAGTCATAGGTACAAAAGTACAGGGAAAGAGGAAATAGATCGGGCCAGAATCTATGTTTGCAAAAGGAGATCTAAGATGGGAGATTGGGGGGGAAAAAGAAAGAAGATGGCAAAGAAAAGAATTAGCCAAAGAAAAATCTACCAAAAAAACACAAAAATCCTAATAATCACAAATAATAGCACAGTCAACGGAGGGGCAAAACATTTAAAGAAAAAGAAAAAAGACTAAATTAAAATTAATAAAACAGATAAAAACAGATCCAGAAGGGGAAAGGAAAAGACAACTGATGTAATCTGGTGTGACAGCCCTGGGAGTGTGAGCAAATAAAAAAGCTCTTGTCTCGGCATAAGTATCTTGCAGGTATTGCAGAAGGAAGAATGCTTCTATAATTCTGCAACTCTAACTTGGCATTTGATGATCAAGGTCAAATCAGAACCCAGATCTTGAATGATTTCTTTTGACAGGTTGCAGAAAGTATATCGGCTCAGTAGATAAATGGGGAAGTAGATTGGGTACACTGTGAGGTATTGAGATCAGATGTAGTACGTATGCAATGGATGTTCTCCTCGGAAATAAGAGAAAAGGTTACAATTGATATCTTCTAGTACTTAGTATTCCATGAAGTCCGGTCTATAATATCTAAAGCCGTTCTCGGGATTGTTACCTGCTCATCGAGATAGTTTCATTAGCCTACCACTACCCCGGTAAGCCTCCAGGGATCACTAGTAAGGTCTAGCCGAGAGGCGACCTTACCCACGAGTTAGAATCTGCCAGGGACAGTGAAATACGTTGTATTCGGTAAAGCTCCAATGGGTGGCAGCGGGTTTGCGTAGGGGTCCAACCATAATCGGCGAAAGATATCCGGATTATCATTACCTGTTTATGATCTCTTTGGGGGAAAAAAAGAAAAGAGAAAAAGTTTTGTTTTCTTTTTTTTCCCTGAATGATTTGTATTTTCTAAGTTCTGAATTTGGAATTTTGCCCGGTCAAGCGCAAATGGTTCAGGTGCGTATCTCCATAATAAGGAGAGTACCATCAAATCATTACCGGCCCCAGACAGTTTGATCGTTTTAAGGTGTATGGCAATTGGTCAGGACCCATGTTGCGCGCCAGAAGGACCCGATGCCGACTGCACGGACCGTAAAGGCACGGTACTTACACGTTGTATGTGTTTTCCATTACTGATAAATCCCGGGATCAGATGTCCAAGTGCGAATACCCGGCAGACGGGTTGCTGCAGGAGAGCGAAATAAGATGAAACTAGAAAGGATAGAGGAGGTGATCGACCCCAAGGATATGTACCTATGCAGACCCATGACAGAGGTGGTTGATGTATCAGACTTGGAGACGACGGACCAATAACAATAGAAAAAAAAGAATTAAATATCGGAAATGACCTAATCGGATAGAAAGTCTTAACCGAATTCCGTAATGTTTTGTTGAAACGTCAGTCGGAGTACTCCGTCCTTTAAGCCGTAGGAGGCTCGAGGCACCAGCAGCGGTTCGTGCATGAAGAAAGTGGATGATCAGGCGATCGACAAGTTCCATTTAGCATGATGCATTGTCCATGATGGCGGTGCTCACACCGACAGAACTGACTCGATGAGAGCAATAAAAATAGCACGTTTAAGATTATGCATCCCCAATGAGATCCACTCCACTCCGAGAGAGACCTAGATAAGTTCTGGTAAGCCCGACTTTTCTTCTGCGAAACCGTGCCCTAATTGCAGAAGGGGGGGTTTCCAATCTCCACCACAGAGGCTAAAGCAGCTCAGTGGGGAATACAATGGTTGCGGTCCGTACCCGGGAGCCTTTTCCAGAACCGAGCGGCGCTAGTTCCACCATCCCGTCGAAGGAAATACCCAGAGGACTGGAGTCATAGCTTCAAAAGATCCCTAAGTGGACCCATTCTGATCGTGTCGACAGAACCGCATGAGTGGCTAAAAGATCGACCATCCCGCAGGAGGCTGGGTGAGATGGCAAGGTGCAGTGAAAAAGCACCCGCAGACTTATGATTGGCTGGGACAAGGTAGTAGATTCGATTTCCTCAGTGGTTATGGCGGGTATGTTGTGCAGCGATTTGGTCCCCACAGGCCACACACAACGACCGTGCTGGTACCGAAATTGGTACTAGGTGCAGGATTGATTAACCATATCAGGGTAAGAAAGTACCAATCAACGATACAAACTTTGTATCCCACAGTTAAAGGAGGGTGGCAATGATATATTCCTTTTGACTCTCGGGGTTCTCCCCCTTCCCGGGTGACGGTCATGGGGTTGACACGTGCAGGGGGGCGGTGAAATGGGATACATGAAATTTACATACGTACGAGTATTAGGGAGAGGTACCAGGTACCATGTACATCCACCTGGAATATTCGATTGGTGGATATATTATGTACACCATACTTGAGTGCTTATAGGGTCTCATATCTCCACATGGATGCTTCAATCTATATTCTATCTCGAAGCAAAAGTTTGAAGGTTAGGCGACCCGGAAATCAAATCTCAAATCATTTACCATGCACTCCATACTAACAATGCAACCCGAAAGACACTATAGACACTATCAAACCTATCCGTGAACCACATGTCACCTTTCGATATATCAACTTTGAACTCTACTTGCTCAAGAAATACCACTATATGAAGAGCTATAAGCTATATGAGATACGGAAGGGAAACGAGTCAGAAATTGTCCGATACGTGGGTACATCCAGGGATCACTGCAGGTACCTCGAAGCCAATGCCAATAATAATTTGACTTTCAGGGAAATGCATGAACCCATCTATGGATTCTATCGACAAGGATTAGCCCCAGAACCCTACAAGTTGGAAAACTCTGAAAGTTTGACGTTGCAACTGTCTCAGCCAACCTGCCTTAGAGATGTCTCTGTTTCGGGCACGTGCCATCGAGTCTGTGCATTCCAAGGTTGACGTCTCGAAAATATCTCCCCGTGCAACAATTCTTCCCTGCACGTCAATGGCAAATCAATGCCATGCCCTTCATTGTTGGTTACATTCGGGTGTTCGATCCTTCGACAGGGGACGCAAAGCTACTGCTCGGCCTACTAGGCAACGGTCAAGAGCAATATACATCCCGGAATCGGGATTGCTGACCTAACCGTGTTATTGGAGTATTTACATTTTTTTAGATCAACAGAAAATTCGAAACTCGAAAAAAAAAGGTCCAAAGGTCATTGGTCGAGAATGAGTGTCATTCTAGACTGTTATCCCCCTTGTCTTGCTGCCTCAGCCCCATATGCTTGTTGCTCCAGGATCTTAGGATGCGACACGCCCGATGGACCCCAAATGCCTTCAATGCGTCAATCCTGGTCGATTGGGTCTAGAGTCCAAATTCTCGCATATCGGAGGACATATTCCTAGACAATGATTACCCAGTAAGGAAAGAGTCCTCATATCCGAAGACAATAGCTTTTCTGCCTTGTCAACTGAGACAGATTAAAGTTTTACTTTACCAACGGTCGAATCCTCCAGGGCTCCCGAGACATCCATGGATCAACCTAATTCTCTACCATCTTGTACCATGTCAATATACCATATCGAGCTAGCACATTGGCAATGGCAATGGTACCATTTTGAAATTCTCCTTTTCGGGGGAGATTAAGCAGTTCACCTGGGCCTCTATGGCTCCACAATTCCTGACGGATCGTCTGGACACAAGGTTCTGTGATCGGTTACCTGTGTATCACTTCTTCCGAGATTGATGGTTACTTTCAATGAGAGTAGACCTGAGTACTGGTAGCCTACTACAATGAGGCTAGACGCTTTGTGGGAAATTACCAGACCACTTCACCCTGTCTCGACTACCTTGTCAAGACAAGAGTTTGCGCCGAGACTGGGATGACTATTGGCAGTTTCCCCACCCTGTCATCCCAAACTTTGATCACCCTGGATCTACAGCCCGCCAGCACAGATCGTATCACGACCACGAAGCTCCCGGCAAAAAAGTCCCAGTCTGAAGTATCCGACCCTGTCGGCATGGATGGAAAGGAAAGGCAACCAAACAAGGATTACAATGGAAAAAAAAGGATGTCTCATTGGCCTGTCGTCCTCCAAAATTCTGGATATGGAGCTTGTAAGGCGACGAATATGCTTTGGACGGCGTTGGATGCAGACCAGTGGAGGGACTCCACTCATCCAGCAACTCATCCGGCCGATTTTTTGCCTCCCCGTGGCAATTTCCTACCAGCCCTTGACAACCAAGGAGTAGCTCAGCCAACCCTAAGCCTTGCCGGTGTAGCACGGAGGAAACAGCCAAGAAAAAACTTGCTCATCGGCCGAAACGCTCTCAGCGAAGAACTGCCCTTCTGGACAAACTCCTCGAGCCAATAGCAAGCGGATCATGTTGTTTGGCGCCGATATTCCCTGCAATGTCACTAAGACTTCGGAAGGTCACGAACGCCCTTTAACATGTGCTTGGTCGTCAGACTGGAAGCCGCCGTGGCGGAGTGGGAATGCCAGAACGCTGTGGGTTGGTGAGCGGTTCCGAGGGAGCTAGGGCCAAACCTACAGGGAACAACATCTCGGCCTCTCCGCCACTGTCCACGTAGCCCGTCTTGTCTGTAGGGGAGCATTAGGCGAAAAGGCGGAGCCGTAGGTAAGCTTTTCTCGCCGATTCAAGACTCTTTCCTAAAAGAAACACCGATGCTACGTTATGCAACCCAATCCCGTTACCGGGAAATTTAAACACGAGAACTTTTGCCGGCGAGGCTGGGTCTGGGTTTGACTTGCTGAGATCTAGTGTCGATCTGTACATTGGTACTTTAGTGATTGACCCTGGGATCTGGCATCCGGGTGCCTAGCGACTGCGCGGTAGTTTGAAGCTAGGGTACAATAGGAAAAAGCCCAGGTTGTCTGAGGTCCATTTCCTTCCGATGTCATCTCCACTGTCATGCGAAGATGCAGAAAATTTGATGTCTCAACGCAATCCCTGAAGCCATTGATCGATCGTACAGTCGAGGCCTGCGACATTTTTCTTCCAGATGACAGTTTCGCCGTCGACGGCATGTAGGATTGTTGTCAGCCGAGTCCCGCAACTGGGTACCATTCTGTTTTGGCTTGGAGGGTGGAAGATATGGAAATTTGTCAAGCTGAAGTCAGCGAGAGAAAGCTTGCAAAGAGCAGACTGGCCTTGGCGCCTACGGGCATGCACTGTTATCAGGTTAACAGCTTGAGGCAATTAGAGCTCTTTACTGGGGAAATTACGCACTACTATGCCTAGCAGACCTTAAACGCAATGGGATCCCAATCCAACTATGACTATGATCGTCCCCATGTTGATCTGCACGTCGAAAACAAACGAAATACAGGTCGATGAACAATAGCAGACTTGTCCATGGATGCTTCTAGGATGCCGTCCCTTCGTACAAGCACGTGGTTACTTTCCCATGAGTGCTTGGGATGTTCCATGGTAGCCGTGGAGCAATTATAGAGCAAGTACTTCGAGAAGAACCTTTTAAGGATTATCAAAAACGCAAATTAACACTCCTACCATGGATGTGGATGTTCTGAAGGTACGGCCGTGAAGCAACAAATAAAACCATGTATAAAGTTCAAAATTTCTCTAAACCATTGCTTTTGTATAGACTGACGAATGCAAGTAACTGACATGCTGGATGTCTTTTTGGGAATCATCATTATCAACCAGGTCCTACAGTACAAGGAAAAGAGCTTCGGCCCAAATATAGGCCCGCCTGAGAAGAAGGAAACGTTCCATTCAAAAAGTCGTAAGAGAGAACCGAGAAAGAAGTTTAAGTAGTGCGCTTGGCGAACTCGACGCGGAGAATAAGGTGGCGGTAACCGACTAGCAGAAAAACAGGTTAGTACTTGAGGAACTGGTAGAAAGAAAAGCACGAAACGGGGTATTGAAGACATACAGCCATCCACCTTCTCGCAAGCAAGTGCTGCGTCGCCACGGTCCGCATAGCTGATGAAAGCAAAGCCCTTGGCCCTCTGGGTTTCCCGATCCCGTGCAAGGAAGACTCTGGTGACACGACCGAAACGCTCGAAGAGATCCCGCAACTCGTTCTCCTCTGCCAACTCGCTGACCTGTTTGAAAAGTCAGTATCGAACCAAAATATATGACCCTGATGCTCGTAGAGCCCGTAGAAGGCAGAAAAAATGGCAGAACATACGTTTGTAACTCTGAGAGTCGCCAAATCGTCCTTCTCGAAACGACCGCCCATCTTCTCGCCGCCACCAGCACCGCCCTTCCGCATGTGAGGAGGAACGTAGCTGGACTTTCCAGCACCAAGACCGCCTGCATCCTCCTCTGCCTCGACACCAGGAGCAGCAGCAGTGCCCTCCTCGACGGGAGCCATGGTGTCCTTGAAGGGACAGCGAGCCGTGAAATGCTCTCCACTGCAAATACGACACTTGACCTTCTTGTCCTTCAACTGGTCCTTCATGCTGCCCTTCTCGCCACCCTCCTTCTCAGCCTCCTTAGCATTAGCCTTCCAGTTGACGCTGGGGCGGAAGATGATGTTCTCGCCGACGGAGGTGGTGTCGAACGAGGGACCGGCGGCGTGGCCCTTCTCGAGACCGAACTTCTCCCATTTGCGGCGTTCGGCGACTTGGGGGTTGACGTGTTCGCGGACAACGGTGGTCTTAATTCGGCGGGTGACCTTCACTTTCTTGTTGTCATCATTGTAGCGGTAGGAAATGACGGTCTTGGTGCCGTCCTTGTTGGTGATCACTTCTTGCGGCGGGAGCACGGAGGGGTCATCGAAATCTTCGTCGTCGGCCCAGTCGGCGCGGCTGTAAAATAGAAAGTTTTGTTAGGCGGGTGTTTCTTGTAGGACTGGAACTGCAAATACTCACTTCCCGGTTGGAGACATGGTGTAAGTGATGGCGTTATTACGGCTGCTGAATTTCTGGATTTCTTTCAAAGGCGAATCCGTTGTGGATTTAATAATTTACTGTGGCACAGTTGTGGCTGGTGGCGGGAATCACGTGGCGCGGTGTGTATAGCCCCATCTAAAGTGGTTCCAAGGTTCTTTAACCTCGTTTCTACTCACTGATAGAAGATTCCCACCACTCCCTTGTTTGCCCAGTGATAAACATGACATTCAACGAGGTCCCAAATATCAACGCCTGCAAGCACTGCTTTCAAAAATATTTAACTTTAAGGGTCCCGGACACAGTTCCTTCGGACCAAACCCAATACTTACAGCGGGCAGAGTAGTCATTCGCTCTGATCTCCGGGCTCGTACTCACCTTGTGTTACTATTTATCATTTGAAATGATCAAGGTTGTGAAACGTTCACCGTTGAAGGTCTAGATTATCGTGAGATGCTTCTAGGTACATCAGCCTCTCAGAGGGCCGTTCAGGAGCACGCTGTTTCGAAGAAGCGCCGATGGGGGAGGTGGGTGGAGGACGTCATGGGTGAACAGTCTAACGATAGCGGTTGATTTGACATTCAACTATCTCAGGCCAACATACCTCACGAAAACATCCGACAGAGACAGTATGGGAAAAAAAAAAGTCGGCTCCTACGACCGTCGTATCAAACCAATTATCACAGAATCCGAATGGGTAGTCCGGGCGCCGAATTTGATACTGCCTCCTAATTTCGCGGGCAGTCTTCTGAAGCTTCAAGGCCAGCTACAAGAATAACGTGGCGTACATAAATATCATTTAGGCCAACGAGACCTGACTGCATTGACCATCCTTGACTTGAAGGCTGAACTTCTTCCTATTCTAGCGATGGCTGAGACTGGTTCACGTCCGAGAGAGATGCAACTTGACAGGTTCTTGATGCTCCCAAGGGTTCTTCAGCTTGACGAATCGGCATGCTGTCTGACAACATCGATACACTCACATTCTTGGTCAACTTAGGGGCCATTTTACCCCTATGTCTTCTGGCTCTCGAATGTCATGACCGGATTGTTCGACAAGAGACGCTCTCCCTTCTCTGCCGGTCTCGCCGACAAGAGGGGATCTGGTCAACAAGATTGATAGCCTTCGCGCTACAGCCAGTTACGACGTTGAATGTGCGGACCTTTGGCTGAGGAGATCTGATCCGCACACATCTCGCATCAGAGCCATGCAAGTTGAAGTGAAGCCGGCCGAATCTCGGTTATCTATCCATCCAGTATCCCATGGCGAGATCGTGCCTGGGAGATGATGGACGAGCTGGGAATATGATTGTCTAAGACACTGAGTCTTCTCTTAGGCCACATACACGGGGGGCAAGTAATTCGGCCGTCCTTCGCTTGCAGAATCTGACATGGGTCTTACTCTGATTCCATCCTCCCATTCTGTTGGCATAGGGCTTACTCTGATCACATCTTCCTCTTCTGTGCTATCCCATCCAGATGAGTGCTTCGATTCCCGATTCCCCGTGGGACTCGCTAGGGGCTGCATTTCGCGTCCTGGATCATCTCCTGCCTTCTTCTGACCCCTAAGTCGGTGGTACAGGCCCGATAGCGCCAGAAAAGGGGTTAACGCCGCATGATTTAACCTTTGCAGCCAAGGGAAAGGTTCAGGCATCTCATATGAGACGCTCGAGAACCAAATGAAGATAGCCATCGACTCCAGCATGCTGATCGCGAGGAAGCCGCTATTCAGGAATTCAGCAGCCATGACAATAAAATGAAGATAGTGCTGAGACATTTCGACTCACATGACGACAAATTCAAAAACACGGAGTCGGTTTAACACCGCACAAGGCACAATCATCGCTTTAGTACCCTTCCGCGTTCTGGTCGACGACAAAGGCAGAACCTCCCATATCGTAGGCGTTCCCTTGGGCACATCATCCGCATTTCGCCACTCATACGCGTTTGCGCAGCTTCCCAGAGGAAGCGGTAAATACTGTGCCTGGCAGGCTGTGAAGAGAGCAAAACTTGCGATGACGATGGCCCGGTAGACGGTAACGAGAGCCCACCATGCCCGGGTAGACTTCCAGCCTGCTTCTTGGGGCAGCCAGGTGAAGACTTCCCAGGCTAAGCATACGACCGACTGACCCGCACGCGCGGTGTCAGCAATCTGGTAGAAGCGCTCCGGGGCTGCGACAAGCTTACCAGGATAAATGGCCCGTCTGTGCCGGGTTTTATGTATGGACTGTAGGGGGGGCTCTAGCAGGATGGGGTGGCCGTGAACGCCGCTCCAGTAATCACCGAACAGGCCCGTTGATAGAGCGAAAACGAATATGTATAGCAAGTGAGCAGGAACGCTCTCCATCATGACCAGCTTTTGGATCATGGTGGTTAGTTAGTTACCTTAATGAGTGACTGCTTGAGAGAGGGACTCGGACTTTTAATAATGGTTCGACCATCTTGCCAAGGCCTCGATCTACAGCTGCCTTCCGAAATAGGTATGGACCATCACGAAACACGAGCCGCTAAGCCATGCAACACCCGTATTTTGCCGTCTATTTCAGTCCATCTGCTTTCGAGAAGTCACTCAACAAATTTCTGTTAGGACCAGGACCTCTAAACAGACTTATTGTTTGGTGTCTGGTATATCAAGCATCCGTGGGCGGCAGAACCTGTAACTAGATAGCAGTAGATCACGGATTCTTCGTAAGCTTAAACAGATCATACCTAGGTAACTCGCTGGCATGAATTCTGAGCCGAAGTTTTAGCGAAGGGACATGCTAGAGAAATAGCTGCCGCTTTATCTTACAACTGCCGACTTATCATTTCTTATTAAGATGCCCTAATTACAGATCTGCACAGAGAAAGTTAGAGTAAATCAAGTCTCAAATTTATTGAGAAATAGGTTCTAACAGTTCGGATAAAGCTCGAATCATGCGTTCAAACTTCGTGTCTAGTCGTATTAAGACTACATCAGGGATAACAGGCTATGGCGCACAAGACCATCAAATCGGAAATAACATCTTAGGCGTTCGCGCAGTCTTATAAAACCCTTTTTGGTTTAGTGTCCTACAAGATCGCTAAGCCTCGAAAGTTGAGTGACATGTTTGGACGTCCTCTGCTTCTCTGTTTATGGTCCTATTAATCGCCTGCCTCCAGCAACATGGTCAACAACCATCGGTCCCGGAAAATAATGGCTCAAGTGGTCCTTTCAAAGGCGAAGTTATTTTTATTTTCATTTTATTAACCAAAGTGTTTCTTGACATTTTCTTCAACTGCGTTTCTACATACCGGCAGAGCAATGGTTCCTCTACATTGTTTGCCAGTGATAAGCATGACGTCCAGGGGTTTCCCAAAGACTAACGCTCCTTACAGGGATTCCCTGTAAGCGTAGTGATTGTTTCGTGTATGCTGAGCCAGATTGTCCGCACGATTAAAAGCCTTCCCACAGCCCTCTACTGGACATGGATGAGCGAGAGGGCTGATATGTATCTTCCGAATGTGGCGGACGAGGGAAGATTCCCGTTTGAAAGTGCCGCGGTAGCCACAGCCTTCCCATTTGCATTGGAACTGTGGATCGTCGTGGTTGTGCGAAGGGGAACTATGGAGTAAGTTAGATATACCTCCGATTTTCTGTTGCATATCCGGGAGAGTGTTTACGCGCTGGTTTGGCGTCTTCTCGCGCTGCGTCGAGTGTTGTTTCGTCCCCGGGAAATTATAGCCGGTTCCTGGGAGGGATTCAGATCGGCAGCAATCCTAGCATTCGAGGCGTTCTGTTGGTGGGGCAAGCTAGTCGACGTGGCGCCCGGAGAGCCTCGCACTGCCAAGTGATTCGCCCGGGCGCGAGGTGACAGGTAGGAAGAGACAGGTACACCATTGGGCATGAACGTTTCGAATTCTGCGGATGCGCCCCAGCTGAGATCAGGGGATAAATGAGAGAAGCTCTGGGTCGGGTCGTCTGGATTATACCCGTAAATACGGGTATCTTCCCATGCCTTGGTCATAGGGCCAGGTCATGTTGAGCTAAGAGAGCAATTTAACAGATGTAAGAATAGCCCCCAAGACGAGGGACCGAGAATAAGTACAAAGAACTGTGGACGATGAGAGATTCTGGGGGGTTACTGTTAGGGACAGGGACTGTTATTTATGTTTATATCTTGTGGCCCTAGTGGCAATAAATTCTCATGAGTATGAGCCTTGGTGCAAATCATAGAATCGTTCTGATATCGTCTTGATGTGATTGTGATGAGATGTGAGGATCCAAGGGCAAGAGCGCCAAGCCAATGTATGAGAGCCAACGAACGAGAAGCGCGCGAGGGTAAATTGAGATTGACGAAGTGATCCAGAAAACCCCTAAAACAACCTTGGACCTGACCGCTTCGATGAACCTAAGGCAAAAGGAGGAAAAGAAGGAAAAGAAGGAAAAGAAAGCAAAGCCCCAAAAACGACAACGCGTCCTTCGAGGACCCATGTGGAAATTATGAGCCAATACACGCCAACCGTCTTCGTAGCGATACGTGAGAACCGGCCAATGAGATGGAAGATTTCTGATTATTTTCAGTTTTTCAGTTCATGTAGCCATGTAGCCTTGCAGTCTGCTAGATTGGGCAATAAAATAAAAACAAAAATAAAAGCTGCCCAGGTCTGTACCTTTACCTCAGTGTCTTATAAAAGGCTCGACGCATCACTTAGTTTACTCCAGCAATTCTCACAATCATGGCACAATCGGATTTCGAACCATTCAAGCTCGAAATCGAGCGTCTGTACATCCATGAGGACAAAACATTGCCCTGTGTGATGGAGTACATGACGTCCAAATACTCTTTGACCAAGTCGTGAGTGTTGCAATACGTCTAGGCACTACCCAGCTCACAGATAGAAAGCTCAGGCCAGTACAGCCGCCAACTCAAGAAATGGGGATTTGTCAAGGGCCACATTAAGACGGATGAGTGGAAGTGGATTGGAAACAAGCTGAACAAAAGAAAGCTGAACGAGAACAAGGAAAGCGAATTCCACAGTGGTGAAGAGCAGATTCAGGTACCAAGGCTCAAGAAGGCAAAGTATAGAGATGCCTATGTTTCGACCATAGCCAAGTTTTCTACTGGTAAGCGCATAGTTATGCTTTTGATCATACCGAGAATTAATAGACTGACCGTCTTCTAGCTCCTTCCCCGAAGACCCCAGAAGGTTTCTTTGTTTGCACCCCAGCATCTCCAGGGATGGATCTTATCTGGAATGCGTCACTCCCATGGCTGCGCTTCATCAAACTTGTGCGTCCCACGGATAATGAAGGTATGGCTTTCCTGGATCTTCTATTCAAATTCGATGTGACTGGGCCTTACCATATATTCAGAAGCACCATCTCCGTCCTCGTCCCTGACAATATCTCCCCTTCGCGGTGCAGATGCGTTCTCTCGTACCGCCAACCGCGAACTTATGGGTTGCCTGAGCAAAATCATACCCTGGAATAAACTAAGCGACCCCCCGAATATATATAGTACTTCTCGGACATCGGCAGCTTTGAGCATACTCATGCCGGAGGAGTTCCAGGGTCAGCACGATGCTTTGTCGACCGATTTGAACAGCTCTAAAATCAAGGGAACGGATCGCATACCCCTAGAGCTTTTTCTTCTTTCAAACAACATCACTTCGCAAGATCCAGCAAGGCAAACTGGCAGAGGTATCAGTGCGAACGACGAGCGGGTGATGCAAATGGTGAACGACTATGGCTGGAAGAACTTGAAGCACATTCAGATCCTTTTAGGAACTGGTGAGACAACTGCTGAAGCTATAGCGGAAAATGTGTTTGCAAGCGCATTGAGACTACACGATGTAGACGCGGTGAAGATCATGCTCGAAGCCAACATGGATCCAAACATCCCACTGATTAAGTCAATCTTTTTCGACGCTCTCTTGACACCTCTTCAATTCGCCGCAGGAAGCGATCATGAAAGGAGTGAGGAACTTGTCAATCTTCTTATATCCTATGGGGCGGATGTGAATGACTCGGCCAATGATCACCCACCTTTGTTTTATGCAATCAACAACCGTGAGGACGAAATCATACGTGCTCTTATGTTTCGTGGTGCTATTGTAACACCATATTGCCTTTATACTGCCACACGTTTGACGGATATCAAAGTCTTCACGGACATCGCCGATTCCTGTTCTGATGTGAACGCAGGCGGATCCCAGAACTGTGCTCTTGCAGGGGCCGTCAAGCAATGCAATATCCCAATGATTGAAATTTTACTCGCCAAAGGTGCCTTTATAAATGATCTGGTCACTATCGATTTCGAGAGTGACAAAGAGATGACCACTATCTTGGGAATTGGCGCTCAGTCAGGATCTATCGATGTTATACGTGCCTTGCTGTTGGGCTGCGATGAGATAAACCCTGACTTCGATAGTCTGACTTATGTTTCGCACCTTGTACTAGCGGTGCAAAAAGGAAATATTAAGACCACGCAGGCTCTACTGCAGGCTGGGGTCGATATAAAACTGGCCGATGAACAAGGAACATGACTCTGCTTGAACGCGCCACTAAACACCCTTTTCCCTCGCCTTTGCTGTGTAAAGTGTTGATTGAATATGGGGCCCAAGCCAACAGACCGATTTCCACTCAGAAAAATGACTCCTCAGCTCTTCTCAATGCGCTCGAGCAGAGTTCGCCTGAACTTGTTGAGCTCTTGATCAGCGCAGGCGCACGCCCCAACGATGAATACTCTAAGCGGCCTTACACTGCACTTGGAGCTGCCGTTGAACATGGCGATGAATTATTAATTAACATTCTCTCCGCTGCCGGAGCTACATTTGTGGGAACCAAACTACAAAAAATTGGCAATTTACGTACTGCGATGTACCTGCAGGAAATTGGAGTTCTTCAAGCTGTTTTGAGGGTATCAGGCCCCGTCATCCTTGCTGCTGCTTTATCTGCGGAGAAGGCCGATCTAGCTCAGTACTTGCTGGAGCATAATGCTGACTACAAAGGCCTGGTGGACAATGAAGACCCTCCCCTCTTCGAGCAGACTCCATTGGAAGCAGCAATTGGCGCGTGGGATTTTATACTTGCAGAAAAGCTTTTGGAACGCGGCGCAAATGTTACAGACGTTGCTCTTGGATGTGCTCTAGGCACAGATCCTGTATTTCTGCGACTCTTACTGTGCAGGTTTCGTGGAAGTGCCCCGAATACGGTAGGAATCGCAGTCTTGCACAATGCATCCCTACAACTGCTTCGACAGCTTCAGGAGGCAGGAGTGGATCCCACTGGGGTACCAGAGGGCCTCCAGAATATTAGCGATTCATCCAGTCTTAACCTGCCGCCACCAGAGTCGGTACTCGAAATAGCAGTGTTCGAAGGGAAGAGGGAGGAGTTACAACTCCTGCTTCAATGGATGCCCTGGAGTCCAAGGCAGACCGGTCGCGCCTTGACATTAGCGACACTTTTGAATAGGGATAATATCGCAGAAGACATACTGCCCTTCGATCCTGATCTGAATCAGGAGATTACCGTCCAATACGCCTGGGGCAACGACTTTAGAGCATACGAAGGAGAGCAAGAAACATACACTCCCCTCCAAGCTGCAGTCAACAGACAGAGGATCCCGATCGCACGCGCATTGATGGAAAAAGTTGATGTCAACTATCTTGGTCCTGGAGCTCGCCGTCGGACAGCATTACAACATGCCGTTGAAAATGGAAACATGGAGCTTGTCAACCTATTAATCTCAGAGCACGGAGCTAGGATTGATAGCCCTCCTGCCACGGATGGCGGCGCTACTGAATTGCAGATTGCGTCCCTCAAAGGCTACATTGGTATTGCAAGGAGACTACTTGACCTAGGAGCAGATGTCAATGAAGATCCCGCAGAGTACAACGGACGTACGGCTTTGCAGGGAGCGGCAGAACGCGGTCGAATTGACATGCTACACATTCTGCTGGACGAAGGAGCGTTGATAGTTGGTGAAGGTGAACCGCAGTATCATAAGGCTGTGGAGCTAGCAGAACTAAATGGACACTACGCCGCTGCCAGGATGCTGAGGTCTTGGAGGGACTCTGTGTATTTGAATCCATCGGCGGTTTGACAAAGATATTGTTGTGGGTGGAAGAATAGGTCCCAAATTTCTCTGCTAGCAACTGGATTCATCCATTTCCTTTCCTTTCTTGAAATGGTATACTCGTGACATTGCCCTCCCAGATTGGATCAGTTGGACACAAAATCAAAACCCCCTCAAAGCCTCCTCAGTCCAATCCCACAACCTCTCCGCAAGCGCATCATCCCTCGCCGTCGAATTAAGCTTCCCATCCTCCAACTTCCCAACAGGCTCATAATACCCCCCATTCCGAATCTTAGCCTTATCCACAGTAGCCGCCCAAGTCTGACTAAACGCACCCTCATGCGGCTGCAGAATCATCCACCAAGTAGTCGCATAAACAAGCAATTTCTCCTTAATCCGAAGGTCATTCACAAGACCCGTTTGCACAACACCAGGATGCACAGACACCGACGTGATACCCGGAAACCTCTTCGGGAGCTCGCGCGCATACAGCAAGTTAGCAAGCTTACTCTGTCCATACCGCTGCCACGGTCCGCCAAGCGCCATATCCTGCGTTGTCTTGAGCTTGTCAAAAATAATCCCGCCGCACGGATGCATCCTCCAGCCCATCGAGGTAAGGAGCACAATACGTGGATTTGAGTCTGCGTTGGCGGAGGCTTCGAGGAGGGGTAGGAGCTTTTTTATCAGTAGTGCGTGGCCCAGGTGGTTCGTGCCAAATTGGATCTCATAGCCGTCAGCTGTTTGGCCTGGGGGTAGAGCCATGATTCCCGCGTTGCACATCAGGATGTCTAGGGTGCTGTGTTTGTTGGCGAAGTGCTCGGCGGCGGTTTTGACGGAGGTTAGGGAGGCTAGGTCGCATTCTATGAATGTGACTGCGAGCTTGGGGTCTATTTCGTGAATTTGTTTGATCACTTTTTCTGCGCTTGTGGCATTGCGGCCGCTGAGGTAGATGTGTGATGGGTTGTGCTTGGCCAGATGGATTGCTGATGCTGCGCCTAGCCCGCCGGTTCCTAGGTTTGCTATTAGTTGTGGACTTAGGTAAAGCACAAAGTATCGATTTTATACCTCCTGTAATAAATATTGACTTTCCCGTGAGATCGGGGATCTCTTTTTCGGGGTTATAGTCGAGAGGCATGATGGAAGTATAAAATTAGGGCTAGATGTGTCACGCGCAATATTGGATTAAAGTATGGTAGACTGGCTCAGAATGGTAAACCCTAGTCCAATCTGAGAAGCATTCTATGGAAATTGCTCTGCTTTTTATATTGGAAAGTGCACGGTTCCTGTAATCAGAGGTCAAATATCAACTTGCCCGATTGGGAAATATACTGTAAGCCCCCACATGTGGCGTAGCCAGCCAATGAAAGCGAAGAGTTTCCGAGCTGTCCAATGCAACTGCCCACCTCGCAGTCTCGTACGGAGGAGTATAACTGATTACTGTTGACATCCGTTGGCAGAACGGCTTGATATTGTACCGAACCACAAGTGGGGAGTTTTCTGGTTTCCTCCGACTCCGACGGTGAGGGTTCTACCAGTGGCGTAGAGAGGACAAATGACAGCTAAGAAACCTTCCTCGCAACTCACATCAATGGTCAAGGTCGGTGTGCTAAACTTATGTTGTGCAGTTAAATATAAACTTGAACGTCAATATGTTGTATGCAACTATGCAAATGTATAATGCTCTAATGCAACCGAACCTATGCACAAATCTATGAACCCATCCCGAACCAACCCAATATGTACATCGCAAAACGCAAATACTATAAGATCAACCCTACCGACCAATCATACGAAGTTCGATAGGTCGCAAGACGCAGTATACTGCGGAAGAGAAGGCAAAGCCCAACTCAAATCCGATGTCACCACCACCAGACGCTGGGTCTCCAGCATGCTTGGCGATAGGACCCGTCCACCACGACTGGCTCATGCCGACAACAACACCGACAATTCCAAAGACAAACGCAATCGAAGCGGCGATTCCCATGGGAAGCTTGGCGGGGTTATCGTAGTCCTCCGGACGATACCCATCGAATCCACGTCGGAAAACAAAGTGGTCAACGAGCGCAATGCCGGAGTAAATAGCCAGCCAGTAGGCGATAAGGCTCATGAAATTCTCGAGGACGGTCTCAAAGTGGTCGTAACCGGGGATACCGATGGCAAGAGAGACGCATGAGGCGAGGAAAGTCCAGATGAACCGCGGCACGCGCTGCGTAGCCCGGCTCAACACCTGCAAGGTTAAGCCGACGGAGTAGATATTGGGGCAGTTGTTGGCGATAATGGACAGGGCCAGGATGACGAGGCAGAACTTGCCGAAACCGCCGAGAGGCTCAAGCACGGCTGCGATCAGGCCGCCGTTGACGGAGGCTCGGTAGCCTTCGGCGTACTTGTTGTTAACTCCGTCGCCCATCTCCGTCGCGGACATGATGGCGATGCCGAGGAATTGAGTAAAGAGCAGGGGGACGATCAGACCAAGCCATGCAGAAAAGAAGACCAGACGACGGCTCTGGGTCTTTGGCTGGTAGACGGTGTAGTCGGCAGCGTAGCTGGTCCAGCCGGTTGCGAAACCATAGACTGTAGATCCAAAGGATAGACAGGCTCCCATTTCAGAAACGCCTGCTCCCATTGGGATGTTGATGAAATCGCCCGAGTGGGCGAATACGCCCAACACGATAATAAACACGATACAGGTGGGAATCCAGCTCCAGTACTCATACATGTGAACGAACTTGTACCCACAGAAGGTCACGAATAGTGTGCAGAATGTGATGATGAGGATACCGGCGTATCCGGGAACTTCGTCGTTCACCGCGTTGAGGAGCTGTGCACCGACGATGGCGTTGGCGGCAGACCAACCGACGCACGCGATAATGTTAAGAATGGCAACTAGAAAGTTACTAGTTAGCATGACCATTTCACACTGAATAGACATCCCGAGATAACTTACTGAATTTCACAGCCCACCATCCAAACCAGAATCGTGAGAGCACCATCTGGCGCAGCCCAAAGGGCGGACCGAAGCACGAGAAGAAGCACACGGTCATAACACCGAGGAGGTTGAAAAAGAGACAGACCAAAATGGCATCGACGAATCCCAAATTGAATGCAGACTTTCCAAGAACGCCAATGGCGAAGGAGCTGACGACCATGTTGGCGGCCAACCACTAGGTTTGGTCAGTGGAAAAGGCCTCCGGGCCACGGCGATCACGCCAGGTAATTGTTGCAGGAACACACCATGCTACCAATATTGAAATAGGACGTATCGGTCCGCTCATAATCCGGAACTCGCTCGACACCACGCTGCTCGATGTTGAACTTGCCAGCTACGCGCTGGATCTTGGCGTACATGGAATCGCCGTATTCGAAGCTCTCGCCGGGCACGGCGCCATCGCTGGAGTTGTCGAATACCTCATTGCTAATCAAGTCGGAGGAATTGTTCACCTGGGGAGCTTTTTCCAGGTCCTCATTTGAGCTGCGGAACGGTTTGGCGAACTTTGGAAGCATCTTTTTCGGTCAAATCCTCACCAATGAAGGTGAAGAATGGAATGGAGACGAGAGTATAAACGGGATTAATCGAAGAGCTGGGTAGGCTCAGCGAGACCCAAAAGATCAAAATGATGAAATTGAATATAGGGAAAGTGTCACATTGTCCTCTCTTCCATTTTTTTTTTCACCGAGAGGGAGGAGCTATTCATATAGTCGCGAGAATTCTTTGCGCGTCCGGCCCCACTGGGGATCTCGCACTGTGGCAAGGATAGGCCTGTCGCGTGTGCCCCTTGCAAGAAAAATCCATAAATTCCAGAAGACAAGCCGAATGACAAGCCTTGAGGGCCCCAGCAAGGGATCCGTTACCCGTCGTTGAACCAATCATAACCTTCCTGATAGCCCTAGCTTATCAGAATACCGAGGATTCTGCACTCGCTTCCATCTCGGACTGGAAGTCGGATGGTCATTGGAGGAAGTGGTGAAGCGGGTCTGAAAGTGGAGTGTCGTGTCGTCTCGGGGAGATAAGAGGAACTTCCGACTTCCGGTATCTCTTGATAGTCTTGATAGTGACTGTATTCTTCAATCCTTCCCGTCTAGGCATAGACCTCTCATCCTTGTGCCAATCATGCCAAGTACTCTTATCATCTTGCAGTCTACATGGCTAAACCTTGTGTTCACATAACACCCCTGATTGGCAGCAATCCAAACCCCATGCCTTTCAATCAAGCTTTCTTGTCCTTGTCAGACGGGAGACGCCGATGTGCGTGAAGCTCGGCATCTGCAATGCTTCAGTACTTTATCTCTGATGGTTGTCCCCATCCCCGTGTTTGTGCGGGGGAATATCCACGGTACCCCGGATGTTCTCGGGTTGACCCTTGATAGTATATCCTGTATCTCTGACTTTTGACCATTCTTATCCCCACTCAAGTATATGGTTAATCCGGGAACAAGGCAGAGATTGCCGTTTGGGTTTCATTGGCGATCGCGGGTCAGATCTCTTGACAGATCCGATCATGTAAATTTGTTTCGATCTATGCTCGATTCTGTCTAGCGTGCTCAGCGCAAACCAAAAGCTCTTCATTGGCTTCGAGGCTGGGATGTTCAACCTAACATCGGATCGTATGTTGAGGCAAATCAAAGGGAGTTATGTTGGTATTCCCTTACAATACTTATTTTTCCTCCTGCCTACTCACCTTATCCAGACTAGATGTAAAGGGGCTTTCCAAAAGTTGGAGAAACCGTTGACCCATATCTCTGCTTCTGGCCGATACCTCAGTTCCTTTAGGATTGATCTGTCGTCTCTGTTGACTCTCCATGTGAGCAGCCCAAATCAACTTCCATCTATAGATTTGAAAGCTGGACTTCTCGCGCTTATTTGGACAAACCTATTTTACTGCTTATGCAGTGGCTTTACTAATTGTGTATACAACCATTGAACTTCCTAGATTTTGAACATCCCCCTATATTGCCTAAATCCATATATGTAGGCTACGATTGCTGTTTGTTTGTGCCTCTCCTCCCTTCAATAAGTGACTCATACATTCAGACAAAATATAGTGATGCACATTTACCCCTCGCAACTCACATATACTATAGAGAGAGCCTCCCGCCCCTCTACATGCCGCCGATGTGACTGGATTGATAGACTGGATTGGTACCCACCGTCTCGACGCATTGAAGCGACCAAAGAAAATACGAACATTATTGCTAGTCTTCTCATTCCACACCCATATATGATGCCAGTCATTCCTTTTGTCTCCTCTACCGCAACCTGCTGTTTGCCCATCCTGTCTAACGCTCAACGAACCCGCTCAACAACTGTACCCGAGACGAGCCAGTAATTGAGCTGCACACGGAAAGCTCCGAATGACCAGTATGACATTGGAAAATGATATCCATGGGGAGAATCAAAGAACGTTCCAATCATCGTTTATTATTACGATCTATAAGTGTTCTTTTCGGATCAGGGTCTGCATTTGGAAGAGAGCAGAGTATACACTACCTAGGTAAGGTGCAAGCCTGTTAGGCCTGGTATCTTGCACGTTTATCTTTGAATTTCTTTTTGGTCCCTGTCGCCGTCGCGTATACGGTCAGTTGCTATGGCGAACCCCTGCGGTCTAATCTGGGGGAGAGGCGTCGTTGCCTAGGTTGTAGGTTGCTCCAGGGCTGTCGCACTTGCTGTCGCGAGTTTGGTCACGTTGCCATGGCGAACCCTAGATTTAGTACTCGTATGAATAGAAGCCTATAGTTGTCTGCTCCTTTCCTTTCCTTCTTAGAGCCTATCAAAGTACTCGATCGTAGAAATTGAATAAAGCTGATAGTTCCCTGGCTAAGCTTATAACACAACCTACAACCTTTCAACGTATTCGTCCCATCAGTAAAGGCGGAGTATGCAGGTCGAGGGCAGGAGCGATCAATCTCGACCTTCGAATCACGCGTCCCTTCGACTTCAATCTCCTGACCTTGGGTAAACATCCAAGTCTGTTGTTTTCTTTTTCACTTTCTTTCATATCACATATTCAGGCGCTGGCATAATCGGTATCTATCTTCGCTGATCATTCACATCCTTTCATAATATCTCTTTGTGATTCGAACAGTTGGATAAGCGTCCAAAGCAATCTGAACAAAATGAGTCCCGTCAACCAGAAGACAGGCTCTCGCACCATACGTCGTCATTTATTCTCGCTATCGTCAGTCTTCCGCTCACAGGAAAGCAAGAGAGCTAGGTAATTACTTACAAAGAACAAATATGAAAGAGATATCCTGTTAACCAAGACAACAGTGTGGCTGCTGCAGTGCAGGAAGAGCCAACTTGCATGGAAAGAATCCATTACCCTGTGTTTAATCCCCTGGACCCTCGCCACAATCCAGAGATATCGACTCTGTCGTGGAATGCCCGTGAGCAACGAAATTCGTCTTCGGAATCGCGCAGTCCAATGGCATGGGTCCAATCAATCTCAAGACGCTCTCTCCATAGAGCACGGTCGGGTCTGATGGCACTGCGATCGGGATTTAGTCACCGTTCCAGTGAAGAAAGCAATACTGAGAAAGGTTTTGTTAGCCCCGTTGCTCTCAGGCGCGAAAGAGAACGCCATGGAGTCTCAACCGGAGCGTACACTTCAGAGACACAAGAAGACATGAACTTCGGCGCCGAACTATCTCGTATGGATCTCGCACCGCCTCCTCCATCGTCCCATACTGAAGTTGGGTCTCTTGTCCACGTCCCGTCTATCAACTCAATCCATGGCTCGTTCGCAACAGTCCCCGCATCTGCATCTACGTCCGGACTCTACGAATCTTCCAGTCGAGCTGTAAGTCATTCAGGGGCGGACTCGACTCATTCACAAGCCAACAACCATGATCTTGCCTTCCAATGTGCTGGGAGTGGAGAGTTGGAGGCGAATATGAATTCTGAGGACCACTTAGCTCACACCACGCCATCCACAGAAAACCATTTAGTGCGGCAGACATTGGACGTTGCAATCTCTACTGATGAAGAGATTAAAATGTCCACCCGCAAACTGGCAGATCCTCAGTCAGCTTGTGGAGAGCAACAAACAACAAATCTTCAACAGCAAAATACCAGTTCGGATACACAAACCAGTGATGAATCATCAAGCTCAATTCCCATCTCGAGACAGTCCTCCGCCGAAGTTCGATTTGCATTCCCGGGATATACCATGAGGCGCTCAACCAGTGGACGAGACAACATGGTAGTCCTAACCCCAGTCATCACATTGCCAACAGTGAAAACAGTCCCAACACCAGCCCTCACAGTTCCAGCCATAGTCAACACAGCCAACACAGTCCCGACCCCATTGAACACATAATCGCGCTCCATGAACAGGAAGAAGCCTCATACGCCTCTCAAGGCCCACTCGAACGCATTGTGCTTCAAGATGATACACACAGCAACATACCCCATACCATGAACAAGATGAAAGTCTCATACCTTTGATGCCCCGGCAAACCTCGATCACCAATTCCCAAGAGCCACAGCCATCCTATTATCCCAATCCCCTCAATTGCATCTCCAACCGGAATTTCGGCCAAAGATGGTCGTCTATCTTCGAAAGAACAAGCACACAACGGTCAAGTGTCGAAGATTATTCAAGCCATTACACATCCACCGATATCACATCGCGAGATGTCACATCAACCGAAATGACTTCAATGGAATCCGCGACGAACGATACATTTTCCCCATGGTCCCCGATCGACTCTGAGCTCCTTTTCCCGAGCCCAGTTGAGGATAGAAACGAATATTTCCTTGTTGACGGCAATAAAAGAAGCAGCCACTACCCTGACAGAGGAAATGAGCTAGTCAAATCCGAACAGCATACCACCAGCAACTGTGGTAATACTAGATACCCTCAAGAGCCAACTCAGGTGACTAGTCAAGGGATTATGTCCCTGCCGCTCCTTTCTGATGGCATCCCCAGTGCAGGATTTGATTTTGTGGAAGAGGATACGGACGACGAGTTTTATCCTGGAATTGTACAGCCACGACAGTTTTGGTGAAATTCTTCGCCAACAGTTTTCATGGCCTAAACTTTGTCCCCGTTGACCACAATGTATGTATTATTACTTACTCAGCTTTAGCAAAGCTAGTACGATGTTTTCACAATTCATTCTTCTTTTTTTTTGACATATTTTGCGTGGACCTCTTCTGCACCCTTTGTGCTATTGTTTTAATGTATAATGGCCCCCAGGCTGGAGAGTATCCCAGAACAAACGTAGTTACAGAGGAATATGGTTTCAAATGTGGAGAGTAGTACTCCATCTATGATTCTATATCTCTAGTTACCTATATGTCAATCTAACAATAAGAACACTAATAAGAAAATAAGAAGAGAAGAGGGTATGAGCACAATGCTAGCTGTTTGTTTGTTGTGATCTTTTATTAACGCAAGGTAAAATCATCTTGTCATTCATAACCTCATCTATACTTCATGGTATCACATATTTGAAGCTACATATATCGCTGAGCAATCGATCGGGCTAACATGTTCAAAAAGTGACAACATCACCAACATCAACACCACTCCTAATAAAGCCAAGACAAGAACTCACTTAAGCCATACCCAGGACAACCTGCTCCTGTCTCTCCTGCCAAACATTCTTACCCGAGCACGAGCAAACCATCTTATCATTATCCCACACACCCGCACTGCGCGCAATAACACCAACAAGGGTATTCTCATCCTCGCGCTTGAAAGGACCCTCCGTCCCCTTCGAGACAACCATACTCCGGCCAATAAGCTCCCAGATCGCCACAGGCCTGTCCATAAACACACTGCCACGGCCCTTATTGTCAACATCCACAGTGCCGAATATGCCTCGGCACTCCTTGGCCGGGGCTGCAGCATCAGCGCCAAGCACCTTGTTCTTCAGAGATTCCCAGATACCACCGGTAGACTCGGCACCGCGGGAGATATCTCCAGCTTCTCGAATAGTTGTCCAGTATTTGCCTGGCGCTAGGCCATTGATTGTGAGGTCGACGAGGGTCATGTTCGGGGAGACCTGGACCATGCGCGCGAGCCCGCGGATATTGTTTGAGACGGTCGTTGAGTGTGTTTCGAGAATGCAAACGGCGGAACCTGTTTATGGTATATATTAGTTGGCATTGCTCATGTGTGTCGCGTATGACAGTAATTGGGAACCAAGGATTCCGTACTGTTTGTAGTGCCACTGCCGCGGAGGATGGCATCGCGGCCGGTGCTTTCGATCGCGGTTACGATGGAGCTAGGAGGAGCGGTGCCTTCGACTAAGACTAGCTGGTCTTTGAGGTTTGCTTCAACCTTATTGATTCCTGTCGCGGGGTCAGCTGCTGGGTGTGGAATGTTCCAGTGAGATGTTTACCTTCCAGGCTGTTCAGAGAGCTGGAGACAGACTTCACGCAGCCTTCGCAGGTCATTGGGACCGAGAAGGTCGTCTAGACATGAGAATCGCATTAGTCTTGGGAGTTTGTGAGTCATGTTGCTCAGACAGGCTGACCTGGAATGGTTCGATCATGGCGGGGAAGAGACAGATGCGAAATCGGTGGCAAGTATAGGAGTATGTGTACAAGCAAACGCGAAGGATATAAAGTGAAATAGAGATAGATAATATTTCAGAAGAGAAAGATCCGAAGGCTAGAAGATGTGCAATGGGCTATACAAATTCAAGGCGGGGCGTTGGATTTCAAATCGAACTCGGCTTCTGCCGAAACGTCATTCCCGAACTTCTCTCTTTTCAACATTCCCTCAAGGAAAATGTCATCCAGATGGGCAAATGACGACCCAGAAACAGAGGCAATTATCGCGCAACAAAAACGCGAGAAAGAACTGAAAAAACGCGCCAAAGCAGAGAAACAGCGACTTGAAGATGCCAACAAAGCTCAAGCTCGGGATGCTAAAGCCAATGCCGAGCTAGGTCCCCCGACAAAGCGACGAAGACTCTCCAACGACCCCGATGCCCGTCCAGATGATGCCGAATTGGTGAAGATCCAGAAGGAGCAGCAGAAACAGTCGACCATACTACGCTTTCCGATTGGAGAATGGGGGCCCTGCAGGCATGTGGACAACTTCGAACGATTGAACCACATTGAAGAGGGCTCGTATGGGTGGGTTTCACGCGCAAAGGACATTTCCACGGGCGAAATTGTCGCGCTGAAGAAGCTCAAGCTGGATAACTCGCCGGACGGGTTCCCAGTCACTGGGCTCCGGGAAATCCAGACACTTTTGGAGGCGCGACATCAAAATGTCGTTTACTTGCGGGAAGTAGTAATGGGAAATAAAATGGACGAGTGAGTTATCTGTGACGGGCTCTATATTACACATACTAACCAATTGGTCCCGGCAGTGTATTCCTAGTGATGGATTTCCACGAACACGACCTCAAAGCCCTACTTGACGAGATGCGCGAGCCCTTCCTTCCTTCGGAAATCAAGACCGTCCTGCTGCAAGTGGTTGGAGGACTCGAATTCCTACACTCACAGTGGATCATGCACCGCGACCTCAAAACCTCCAACCTATTAATGAACAATCGCGGCGAACTTAAGATCGCCGACTTTGGCATGGCCCGCTACTTCGGCGATCCACCTCCCAAGCTCACACAGCTCGTTGTGACACTCTGGTACCGCGCGCCGGAGTTGCTCCTCGGCGCGGACAAGTACGGCACGGAGATCGACATGTGGAGCATCGGCTGTATCTTCGGCGAGCTGCTCACCAAGGAGCCTCTCTTACAGGGCAAGAACGAAGTGGACCAGGTGTCCAAGATCTTTGCCTTGACCGGGCCACCAAACTCTGAAACATGGCCTGGATTCCGTTCATTGCCCAATGCCAAGTCCTTGCGGCTCCCGTCAACATCGGCACCTTCTTCGGCCGGCAACCCGCCTCTGCTGCCTCGCTCCCAGTTCCCTTATCTTACCAATGCGGGCTTGAGTCTTATGTCAAGCTTGCTGGCGCTGAATCCCGCCTCCCGTCCTACGGCAAGACAGTGCCTCGATCACAAATATTTCAAGGAAGATCCGCGTCCGAAACCGCGAGAGATGTTCCCCACGTTCCCATCCAAGGCTGGTATGGAGAAACGGAGGCGTCACCACACGCCTGAGGCTCCTAAACGGGGCCAGGAAGCACCCGAGCTGGACTTTGCGGGTGTATTTGGAGGTGCTCCGGGTGGAGATACCGGTGAAGTAGGGGCTGGATTTAGTCTTCGCTTGGGATAACTGCTTTTAATCATAAGAGTAAATAATACCATTTTATTTTTGGCTTCATTGTCTGCATTTGGGTTGATCTACATTGTACAATATTAAGTCAGAGATATGCTCCGTACCTGTTTTAGGTCACCCTCAAGTTTTCAATCAGGTAGAATTTAACATCGGTATATTTCAGAAAACACAATTGAATAACATAGAAAATATAAACAAGCGCTAATGGCTACATATGTGCCCAGGTGGCTATGTAGACATGTAATCAAGGAGCTGCGGCCAGGGTTGATAGCTCGGCCCCAAAGCTGACCGGCGCCCCAAGCCTCTTTTCTTCTTCAACCTCTCCACGCATTGTCGCTTATTCTGAATTCATTTCTTCTACTTTCTTCTATTAATTTGTCTAATCTATATTCTTGCGATGGCGACCAAGCAACCCGTCTCGTTCGACGCCATCATCCAGGCTGGTAATCATTCTCCAACCACCCGACAACACCTAGCAAAATCTGACTGTTTCCTCCCCAGACCGTCAAAAAAAGAAGCATGAGGAGCTCGCAAACCAACTCCTTGGAAAGAACCGCAGATCAAGCGCGCCAGGCTCAGGCTCTGGCGCCGGCAAAAAAACGCAGAACAAATTACAGAATGCAAAGCCTGGAAACTTAGCAAGCAGGATCGGAGTAACCAAGGTAAGAACAATTCCGCCATGCGATCATGAATGCGATTACCATTGGAGAACACTCTTTGACAATCTCTCGCGGCGACATCTAGCGCTCTCCGTCAGCGACCGTGCAACCCACCACGAACAACAATCGGACACGCGGCAAACCTGGCAAGAAGGATCGCGTGAATGCAGATCAGGTCCGGGCAGCTTTCCAGACCGAGAACGGCCAAGGGAACGTGCGATCAGGAAATTTCGGGCTCAGCGGCCGTGGGGGCAACCTGAGCATTAAGGGTGCCTCGGGACCATTCTATGTCGTCGGAAGGAACTTTGCGCCTGGGACAACAGCTGCCGACATCCAGTCTGCTCTTGAGCCCATAACAGGTCCCATGCTCAGCTGCCAAATAGTAGTAAGCCAGCCGAGCGTTGTTGCGGAATTTGCATATGCAGAGAAGACGGCTGCAGAGCTGGTCGTTGCCAATTTCCACAACCAGAGGGTAAATGCTGTTCCCGACTAATAATATCGCCGTATGAATGCTGACTCGTGCTCTCTAGGCTGACGGGAGACTGCTCACAATGACCCTTAAATCGCCGAAAGCCGCATCCCACCACGATCCCTTCACTGCACTCCGGGCACAAGCTGACCAGGAACGACTCCGAGCCCGTCGTGGCCCGGGCCATGTGAATGACCTCCTAGATGAGGACCAAGGAAACTCGCAGACTGGACTCTACAGCGATGAGATGATGGTTGATGCGCCGGCGCGGAATACCCCGAAGAACCAGAACCAACGGAGATGGCGTCGTTGAACACCCAAGCCTGAGCATGATAACTTGAGGTTGGCTAGCGTTGTTGGTGTAAGGAGTATTCAGTGTGCGAAATGGTCGTGGAGATCATGCTTCTTCTTGCACTCATGAAATGTATGATATGGTCACAGCAGTTTATGGACATTTTTTAGCATCGGAGCACACTTTTGCAACAGATAGCGGCGAACTGGACAAATCGGACAGAATATTAATGTTTCTATTAAGGGTTTTTCTTCTACGTGCAGGTTGATTTGTACCCATGCTACGGTGTTGCCTGTTGCTCCTCGCCACTTGCTTATTTACCTGCGTCGAAAGAATATAAAAAGTGAAGGTATACGTAGAAGCAGCGGTAGCATTGGTAGTAGTATGTAATTTCCGACAATGCCCCAAGCTTGGGCCAAGCCATCACGCCTTCTGATCAAACCGAGAAGCTCCAAAAAAGGGGGGAAAATGTCCATACAACTAGGCATCTAGAGAGCGTACCTAAGAATCTACTAAAAAGACCACTAAAAAGACATGTAAAAAGACTATCGGAGAAGACTACCTGGGAAGACCATTAAGAATGGGTATAAGCGGCTGACTATTCTTATTATAGAATTCCAAGGTTGGGATATTGTAGAAATTGACCCTGTAGGAGTTACTATTGACAATATGACGGCTATGTACTGTCGTAGACACAAGGACTAGACACAACCGGGAACCAATCTCCATCTGCCCATGCATTGCCAACCTCCCTGAGAAAAATGGCTTGATCACGTTGTAGGATCAACGGGTGGTGGTATTGCGTATGCTGGGTTGCAAGGGGTGCATTTGCCAAAATTTCTTCAACATCAGTTCCCACGTACATAGTGTTGGTGTTGTTAGGCATACTCAAACAATATAACATATGGTGAAGCCATATACCCGACAGCCGCATGGATGAAGGACTATTGGGGGGGGTCATTGCCTATACAGGCTAGAACATTGATCCAGCGGGGGAGCATGGGCTGATCATCATGGAAGATATTGACTTGCACTACCACACTTTTCGCCGGCACGACACCAGCCGCCGTGGACATGCTCGTTACAGAAGTGACAGGCAGGGGGCAACCACTCAGGTTTTCAAGGAATTCTTGATCGGATGGGTAAATCTTCATTGCCGCAGAACCGGTATCCTCCAGAACAGAGAGGGCCATGGTGTGTTGCCATGTGTTTGAGGCCCAAGTGGAAGGATTCCGCATCGACACCGTAATCTGGTTCATGTTAGCATTCGGTCTCAACTTTTTCACCTAGAAAGTCATACCATATGCATGGAGTACCGCGGATTCGAGGGGGACACACACATGAACAGGTACATCGGTTCCGGTTTCTGGTCGTCCACCTATGAATGTCGAGGTCAGTGTTAGTGCTGTATATGGATATGCCTACGTCTTCATGACGGACTAGCTTGATAAATAGGAAGCCTACGTTTAGAAATATAGGAAACATGGCTCAGATCTTTCTCATGTCCGACTCACCCCTTCAACCCAAACACCACGATGGCCATACTCCTTACTAATAGCGAGGAATTCGTCCATTTCCATCTTCTTAGGGCCAGCAATCATCTTCCCGTGTGCCCAGTAAGTCACTGAGCCAGGATCATCATTCCAGACAAGGTCCCCAGAACGGTAGGCGGCCATGATGGCTATCACGTTAGGGGTACTCCCAGTGTCGTCTCCAGTCTCATCAAGGCTCTTTTTGATCATTTGTAGAGAGTCAAGGCGCTGAACGACTTCCCAGCTAAGACCGGGGGGCTCGGAGTTGATCATATCTCTATAAAAGAGCAGTTAGTCAGTTCCATGAGACATAATAGTATAGAATGAGGGTTTCCTTACATCCGTCTCTGCTTCACCTTTTGGTACATTACCAACTTACTTTCCCAAATGACGGGCATGATTCCCTCATCGATGCGCCTGTGACATCTTTCAATCATGCTGTCGACATCACTATTATAATAAGACCGTTAGCAAAGCGTTTCAATTTCACTTCACTTTCACTTCACTTCCAACTCATTTTCACCTCTAAAGAAATCTGGCACAGGACTTACTCCTCAGCAATGTCTCAGGTCACATGAAGTCCATCCTTCAGGTATGTCGGCAGGATTGGTTATAGGCACATCACGGTGTCCCCATTCTTTCGGTGGTGCAAAGGTCTGATAACTTCCTTCAGGGAAGTTAGGAAGACGTAGCGCGTCCCCACGCTTGAGGTGGCTGTTCGCAAATGCAACGTGGGGCAGGATTTCATCTTGCTTCTTTTTCAAGAGGTCATGTGTAAGTAATTTATATCGACGGCACAAGATTCAAGGGGATACTAATACCTGCTTCCCTTTTCCTTTCTTTGCAGCAGGCTTGGCTTTGGGAGCACGACTCGAGCTGGCCTCAGAACCCTTTGATCCCTTAGTTCGCTTCTCGTCCATGGGAAGACCAGGCAGAAGGTCCTCAGCGGGCTTTCTTTTCTGACGAGTGGTAGGCATTTTGAATTAATGCCACGATGGGTTATTGATGAAGAGGGGAGTGAGAAAAGTGGTGGATACTAACTAAGATGAGAGATAGAAAAGAGAGAGGATTGATTTTTGACGGCTTCTATAACTTGATACATTGACCTTCGTCTGTTGTCAAACAAAGGGAACTGCAAAAAAAGGCAAACTTGGTAGCAATGTAATCCAGATATCAGCACCAAACAGAGAAACTTGAGGACTTCAACAGGGCGAAGCTCACTGACGTATATCATATTGCATTGCTGTAGGGGTACGAGGGGAAAATATAAGTGATCGTAAGAATTCCATGATGGCAGCCTCAAATGACAGGGTAGGTACGATTGGCGAGCCTGGAAGGAAGGAACGAACTATCTAGGTACTTGGCGTGACTTCCCACGTGCGTCGACAGGAATATGACCTCAGGGAAAGAGCGATCCTCGAGTATATTTTGATAGACGGAGTTCTACGGTTCTATAAAGGAGGTGTGATCAACCTAAGTCAAATAATATCCATGGATAGATGCTGATGATAATCTCTACCTACTGCCATGGGGCTCATCTATAAGCGCAAGCCCATAATAACCGTGAAAGTGAACTGCATAACCTGGCTAAGACACTGCAAAGCTAATATCCGGCAAAAATCTTCCAACTTTGGCGTGGCTCATGATTGAGCTTCTTAAGGAAGCTCTAGGCCAGGGTGTCATGATAAAATGGACGTGGTAAGAAAAAAGAAAACTTCCTTTCCAATACAACTACACGGCATTAGCCTAATGTGACCCTTGTTGGAGAGACTTGAGAACGCCACAACATCTATCAAGGATATAAACGGGTCTTCCGACAGGCGTGGGATTATAGTCAGTCATGTTCCGTTGCTTGTCTTTAACAAACCAATCAATGAAGAGCTCAAGTGCCCAGTCTTTCATATTGATTCAAGGCACGATATTATTTGAAACATTGCAGGTAATCTGGAGCTTTGTGCTGGATTCGGAGTGCCAGATAAACTGCATTAGGTAGAACCAGACAGCATTCTCATGACAGCCAAATCTGCTCAATCGCTACTAGATCGAATAATCCAGTATACTGCATATTACTAGTGGCCACAGCCACCTAAACCGCTCCATGCTTGTTTAATGTTCTAGTTTTTTAGGGCTTGAGATCGCTGAGCCATACCATCTTGGGACTAGCGGCTGATAGCAGTCCGATAAGGATGTGATCACGTGTAGTGGAGCTTCCGCGGAGAGATTGAGAGAAACATCTCGACTTGGCGCGACGCAATAGAACGAGTGTTCGGGGCCCAGACGTTCTGTTTGCCTGCCGTGAAAAGCTCGGTTATTGTATATCTGGCAGCACAAACAAATATCACCACTCAACCCCAAGCCAAGGATGAACCAAACCACAAGGCGCGTAGCGTCGCATATCCTCCGCAGACCTCGCAACGCAGTACTTCCGAGATTCCCAGGAAGATGGAACTCCACGTTTGAACAGAGAGAATGGTCCACACCGCTAGCAAAAACATTGGCCAATGTCATGAAGGTACTTCTGCACTTCGCATTACCTGTATGTACACTTTCGCTGATCAACCACTTCCAATTAGGTCACTGGTCCTGTACCAATCGCGGCATTCATGCGCCAGGTTTTGACTTCCCCAGATGGCGGATATTATACAACTCGAGGAGAGGGTGGAGGTGTCTTTGGCAAACATGGCGACTTCGTCACGTCGCCTGAGATCTCGCAGGTCTTCGGAGAATTGATCGGTATATGGACTATCGCGGAGTGGATGGCGCAGGGGCGGGCGAGGAGTGGTGTTCAGCTGATGGAGGTTGGCCCAGGAAAAGGAACTTTGATGGATGATATGCTACGGGTGAGTGGTTGCACTTATGCCTATCTTCCTTCCTGAAAAAAAGAAAAGGACAAGAAGCTCATTGGACGGACCACGTTTTCTATAACCAACAGACTTTCCGGAACTTCAAGAGCTTCTCTTCGAGTGTTGAAGCTATTTATCTTGTGGAAGCTAGCGGAACTCTCAGAGAAGTGCAGAAGCGGCTGCTGTGCGGCGAGGAGGCAGTGATGGAGGAGACGGATATCGGACACCGGAGTGTGTGCAAGTACTTTGATGTACCCATTGTCTGGGTGGAGGATATTCGCCTTCTGCCGCATGGTGAGTGGTGATCTTACGTCAGCCAACTGTTTGTCTTATACTGATCAAAAACATCGGTAATACAGAGGAAGGCAAAACACCCTTCATCTTCGCACATGAATTCTTCGACGCACTTCCAATCCATGCATTTGAATCTGTTCCGCCATCTCCAGAGAATGAGCAGGCCAACGCGCCACGAACGATCATGACTCCCACCGGCCCAGCAGAACTACATAATCCGCCCAAGCCCGCCAACACCCCGCAATGGCGTGAGCTAATGGTGACCTTAAATCCCAAAGCAGTCGAAGAGAACATAAAAGGAGAGCCTGAGTTCCAATTGACCAAGGCCAAAGCTTCCACGCCGTCATCACTAGTGATTCCAGAGATCTCTCAGCGTTATCGAGCACTCAAGTCGCGGCCAGGCTCGACTATCGAGATCAGCCCCGAGAGCCGAATTTATGCTGCAGACTTTGCACGCCGTATCGGTGGCGACTCTGCCTCTGCACTTGCTGCGAAAAAAGAGCTCTGCTTCTAGCCCGCCCCCGTCATCACAGAAGAAGACTCCGTCTGGCGCAGCCCTAATCATGGACTACGGGACATTGTCAACCATCCCCATCAACTCTTTGCGCGGAATCAAAAGCCACGAGAAAGTGGCACCACTTTCTGAACCAGGGCGAGTGGATGTCAGTGCGGATGTGGATTTCACTTCGCTGGCTGAAGCAGCCATCGAAGGCAGCGACGGCGTCGAGGTTCACGGGCCTGTTGAACAGGGTGACTTCCTCGGTGCCATGGGTATTGAAGAGCGCATGCGGCAGCTTCTCCGTAAGGTGCCAGATGAAGAGCACAAGAAGACACTAGAGACCGCCTGGAAGCGATTGGTTGAGAAGGATGGCGGGTCAATGGGACAGATCTACAAGGTCATGGCCATTGTACCTGAGAATGGAGGAAAGAGACCGCCAGTCGGTTTCGGGGGCGGCATCCAAATGTAGATCGGCGAGTATATTCCTCTTGTGATATAATAGACTGGGGCGTAGACCATCTCATGTACAATAATTTCATCGTCCATCAAATTAAATAACATGGACTTACCCAACGTACAGAAACAACCAAACAGAGGTGCTCGGCTCCAACCTCCCACAATAATAAAAAGTAAAAGATGAAAACTATCAATGCATCTAAGTGGTATATATCCTATCAAGTTCGTTAAATCTCATGAAAAAAGGCAGATGCATAAAGTCAAGGCCCAGCTCAATATTCCTCCCAGATATCCGCAGCATACGCCTCGGTCAACTTAGTATCATTGCCATACTTCTGCTGCCATTCCACAAACCCTCCCTCGAGCACAAATACTTGCTGCTTCTGGTTCTCTTCCGCGCCAAGGGCGTTCTCACGCTCGCGCGCATAGCGAAGGGCAGCAGAGGGACCACGTTGCTGGCTGAGTGCACAGTGGAATACAACCGTTTTCTTGTCTTTCAGAGTGCGAATAAGCTCAGGCATGCGCACGTCCAGCGTTGACGTGGGGACCCAAGTTGATGAGTGGATATGGCCACCAACATGGTCTGCTTCAACTGTTAACTGGTGGTCTTGGGCTATATAGTAAAAGAATAGCGTTTACCTGAGTCCCGGACGTCGATGATGGCAAGGTTGCTTGATGCGCCGTTTGAGAGCATGGCCGCTAGAACATCGCGGCCCATGCGGGGAAGAGTCGCGATTGTGACGGATGACATTCCTTTTTTGGCAGAATCTCAAAAGTTTTGTATATGAAGAAAGTTATTCAAATTTAAATGGGAGAAATAATTGTACTTCACGAGATTTGCACGTGTGATATTCACGATCTCTAGAAAATGCCCCAAAAGCATGTGGCACGTGACCTACAATTTCCTTTCCAATCGGGGACGATGATTTTCCGTCACGGCAACTTCGAGCACCTCCGACCCAGCGCGCCCACCTCGATCAAGCTTTCACTCCAAAGCCCAGGAGACAATCCGATTCACCCGCATAGACCTGCTTCTTCAACACGAGCGAGTCCAATCAAAATGGACTTCCGCCTCCTGGCCCGCAGCCTCCGCGCCAGGCCAACACCATGGCTCCAACAGCAGACCCAGCTGCACCGCGTCGCCTCCCTCGCAAACGGCGTGCGCTACAATTCCTCAACCTCATCACCAAGCACACCCTTCAAACCCACATCTCCCACCGACCAGCCAAGCACAGCCCCCGAGGCCGCAAAACAAGCCCAAAAGCCGGTCTCCGACTTCGACGACATCCTCAGCAGACTCGAACTCAACAAGCCCCGAGAGGTATCAAGCAACCAGCGCCGGATCTTCTCAGACTCGCTTTCCCGGGCTGTCGGCGAAGGTGCACAGAGCAGCTACCGGGCGCGGTCGAGGGCACCTCTACCTACACGCAAGGTCGAGCTGAAGCTTGGGCCGACGCTTGGTCGACAGGTTCATGTTGAGCCTGAGCGTGGTACTGATCTCGGTGGTGCGCTGCGCAAGCTTCAGGCTACTCTTTCGCAGAATAGCGTTCGGCAGGATGTCAACCAGCAGAAGTTCCATGTGCGGAAGGGTATGGTGCGCAAGCAGAAGAAGATGATGCGGTGGAAGAAGCTGTTCAAGTTCTCGTTCCAGGGGACTGTGAAGAAGATTCAGCGTATGCAGGCGCAGGGTTGGTAGTTTTATGCTGCTTCTTGCTTTGGGATTTTGTGCTGCGGCTTGTCCACTCGGCTTGTATGTATATACTGAAGAGACTGGTGCGGGTGATGGACTGAGTGGGCATGGTGGCATTGGCCTGAAAAATGGTGTTTTCTTTTGTTACTTGTACAACTATTATCCAGGTACTTGGTTTTTCTGTTGAAATTTGGCTCTTGCATTAGATATGGAATGCATCGGATTTGTTTGACTCGATCACTTGGGATATAGCATCATGATATGTAGACAACTAGCTTTTTTGCTAGCGGCCAATTCTGCCTCTCAAGTTAGGTACACTGTACGTCGTAAGCGGCAATTTATATGTGCCCAGGCTATACGCCCATTCCTCTCAGTTCCTCATATCAATCCCTCTTCCCACTTGGGAACCCATATCCACCTCCAATCCCGTTCAAATTGCCATTACCATTAGGAGGGCCAGAGTAACCGCCATACCCATTATTCTTCCCCCCATTGCCAAAGGTGACACTAGAGCCCTTCACTCCACGCGCGGGAGTCCCGCCCAAAAGCCCGTCTCCATGCCAGGCGGTTCGTCCACGTCCACGCGCACCATTGCGCTCCCAGTACAATGCAACTAAAGCGCCAACAGAAGCCGCCATAACAAAGAACACAAGCTTAGAAAAGAAAGACCCAGAGCTCTTCCCAGACCCAGTCGCCAAAGCCAGCCACGACTCCAAAGCAGGCCGCGTCGGCCACCCGATACTAGCACCGCCCTCCAACCAGGCTACGTGGAAAGAGAAGGTAAGTGGCTCCCCACGCACAACCTTAGTGCCATGCCCAGCAGTCCAAGGCTCGCGCGCCGCCTGAGCAAGAGCAACAGGTTCCTCGTCCTCGTCGAGCTTGGCATTCTTCCCGGTATTGTCGAACTCGGGAGTCGAGTATGCAATACCGCCAACTGCAAAACCAGGCTGTCCAGACTGGCCGCCGCGGGTCTTGGTGTTTTGTTCTGCAGCCGCGTCCGAGGCCATGTTGTGCATGACGACGTTCATATCCGTCCAGATGTGCAAGTGGCTCAGCTGGAGTGTACCCTGCAGTGCAATTGTGAGTGGCGTAAAGGGTGGCCCGTTGTCGGCTAGTGCGGAGAGGGTGTCTGCTTCTCCGGACTTCTGGTCTGAGTCTTTGTCCGCGTGCTCTGCTGCGCCGCCAGATGGTGTTAGCGGCGCTGTTGGCACGCGGCAGCTCATTGGTACGTCGGCGTGGACGTAGAACTCGAGGAGATGGTAGAGCTCATCGGAGAGGGAGTCGATGGTGCATGTTATCGTTTCGGAGACGCCGTAGTGGAGAGAGAGAGGGCGGGCGGTTTCATTGCAGGTCACGAAGGGGACGTATTGGAGTTTGCCGAGACTGTCAGTGACCTGGATGTTTTCGCGGTTGTTATTAGCCTCCTGCTTTTCTGTAATCTGCGCTACTGTCTTCGTGTCAGGAGACGGTAGGCGGGCTGGTGGCGCTTACATGTTCTCCTTCCCTGTAGGTGTAGAACAAGCAATGGTTAGCCAGGCTCTAGAGGTTGATTGAAGAGTAGTCTTACATGGTTCGGTTCAGACATGACACTGGGATGTCCTCTCTCAACTTGTATCCCTCGCTGTTGTCGTTGGTATTCCCCGCAAGTGCGCTGGTTGGCCACAATGCGCCTGTCAAAGACAGCAACGCCACTGCTGCAGAAGACAGGCTCAATTGGTGTACAGGAGACATTGTTGCTTTTTTCCCCAATAATTGTACGAGAATAGCCGCCCCGTCGGCAATTTTCCAGAGTTCGAGGATAGGAGTCAAGAACGGAGGTCTACCGCGTTGCGGAGTTGCGGACAACAAAGCGGGTTTCCCCTTGCTGCTGCTTCCAACCACCTCGGTTCTTCCCAGTTGCATCATTCTAAGCCCAAAGGTCTCTATTCTACAAAGTGATTCCCAATCTATAAGACTACTTAACGAAAATTTGAAGAGTCATTCATTTCTTTTCAAACCAAGAGAAATATGTGGAAAATCATTGCTCGTTAAGACTTCACATCCCACAGTGCTTCGTATAAGACTAAAACACTCTAAGACAGCTTGGCCTTCTGCTTGAAAGCAAGCAAGAGACCACTGGTCGAGCTGTCGTGATCAGCACCCGCACCCTCGGTCTCCAACTCGCTCTGGATGTTCTTCGCAAGGGCCTTGCCCAACTCGACACCCCACTGGTCGAACGAGTTGATGTTCCAAATGGCACCCTCGGTGAAGGTGACGTGCTCGTAGTAAGTGATCAAAGCACCCAGAGTAGAGGGGGTGATCTTCTGGGCCAAAATAGAGGTGGTGGGACGGTTGCCCAAGAAGGTCTTGTGAGCAACGAGCTCCTCGGCGGCGCCCTCGGCCTTGACCTGAGCAGGGGTCTTTCCAACCATCAGAGCCTCGGATTGAGCGAGGAAGTTAGCAGCCAGCATGCGCTGGTGCTTGCCACCTTCGACGGGGTTGTGCGACTCAGCCGCCATCAAGAAATCAGCAGGGATGAGCTTGGTACCCTGGTGCAGAAGCTGGAAGAAGCTGTGCTGCGCGTTCGTGGCAGGTTCACCGAACAGGATGGGTCCGGTGGTGTACTTGACGTATTCACCGGTGCGAGTGATGGCCTTTCCGTTGCTCTCCATGGACAGCTGCTGCAGGTAGGCGGGGAAGCGGTGCAGGTACTGATCGAAGGGAGCGACCAGGTGGGTTTGAGCGCCGAAGAAGTCGCTGTACCAGACACTCAGCAAACCACCAAGAGCGGGGATGTTCTTCTCAAGGGGTGTTTCCCGGAAGTGCTTGTCCATGGCCTGGGCACCAGCCAGGAACTGGTGGAAGTTGTCGTAACCAATGTACAGAGCGACAGACAGGCCAATGGCACTCCATACGGAGTAACGTCCACCCACCCACGATTCAAATCCGAACATGTTCTTGGCGTCAATGCCAAACTTGGTGACCTCGGACTCGTTGGTCGACAGGGCCACGAAGTGCTTAGCAATGTGTGAATCTTCCTTAGCAGACTTGAGGAACCAAGACTTGGCAGTGTTGGCGTTGGTAGTGGTCTCGGCGGTAGTGAAGGTCTTGGAGGCAATCAGGAAAAGGGTGGTCTCCGGGTCGGAGTCCTTGAGCGCTTCGGCGATGTGGGTGCCGTCGATGTTGGAGACGAAGTGAAGCTTCATGTCGGGGTGGCCGTAAGGCTTGAGAGCCTCGGTGACCATTACAGGGCCACTAGGTGCAGATGTCAGCTACAATTCCTGATTAAACAAGGACAGGAAAGCTTACAGATCAGAACCACCGATACCAATGTTGATGATGGTGTTGATCTTCTTGCCGGTGTAACCCTTCCACTCGCCGCTGCGGACCTGCTCGGAGAACTCCTTCATGTGCTCCAGCACGGAGTTGACGTCCTCAACAACGCTTTTGCCATCAACCTGCATGGGCTCATTGGCAACATTGCGCAGAGCAGCGTGGTAGACAGCGCGGTCCTCGGTGAAGTTGATGTGCTCACCACGGAACATGGCATCACGGAGCTCCTCAAGGTTGGCCTCCTTGGCGAGCTTGACCAAAAGAGAGACAGTCTCCTGGGTCAGGAAGTTCTTGGAGAAATCGAAGAGGACCTCCGTGTTGTCCACGGTGTTGGCGAACTTGTGGCTGAAGTTCTCGAAGCGCTTGGGGTCCTTCTGGAACTGATCCTTGAGAACTAGGTTGCGTCCCAACGTGGTGTGGTGCTCCTGGAGCTCCTTCCAGGCAGGAAGGTCGCTGGTTTGCGAAAAGCCGGGCATGATGACGATGAGGGGTTCTATGGGCAAGAGGGTCAGCGTGGGGCAGGGATATAAAGCCAATGTTGAGGCAAAGTCAGGTTCAGGATATATAAAAGACTTATAAACGTACTTGGAAGGTAAATGGGGTGACAGAGAAGAGTGAAGAAAACAAAAAAAAAGGTTGGAAAACGAATGGCGTCAGTTGCATCCGGCGCGTTGAGGTCCGAGGGGTCGTGGGGCAACATCATCATTGCCGCATTCGGCTGTTGTTTTACTTATTTTGCCTATTTTTGCCTATTTTACTTGTTTTTCATTTAATTTAGTTCACTGCTATTATTGTTTTCATTGGCGCTTTTCAATTATTATTTCTCCTTTTGTTCTCCGAAGGTACTGAAATATGTATACCCGGTATACCAATTCGGCCTATAGTCTCATACTCCGTAGGCTATTGCTTTTACTCTTCTGGGCCCGGACCAATTCGAATCCAGAACGCTTTCTTGTATATCGGGCTATTGGAAATTGAAAGGCTATAGCTTTTCTTTTCAAGTTGAAATAGTCCTATTCTTAAGGAAACCAATGCGTTATACCTCTCGTCGACATACTGGCCACTACTGCAAGACTACGTGCGTTGCAATGCACATTTCAATCCACCCGGAGGTCCAGATACATGGGGATTTCTAATGTTCTTTTGATTATTTTAAAAAATAGACGGGATATTTTCATAGAAGATCCATGGATATGAATAATGGTACTCTGTATAAGACGTCCTAAGGACATTCGAAGGTTCGCACCTGGGGCAGGTACAAACGGCTAAACAGTGCACGTGCCACATGGCGTTCTGGACAATTCACCGCGAATCTCACCGCCTTGCTTTTTTGTTGGCAACTGATATCCGTTTGAATTGAGCCTTGATCAACCTCACTTTTCTCACAAAGTGGTACGACTTACATCATGTACAATCCTTACCAAGGTGAGCAATGCCTTCTTCTTGTCTTTTGGGAAGGCCTTGGTGATTTGAAGAAACTAACTCTTACATAGCTCCGGGTCTTTATGGACGGGCTCCTGACTACGGTGCCTATGGTGCGCCTCCGGGCATGGGTGAGTTCGCTCCTTTCCCATAATTTCATTTTTCAATTTAGGCTGACCAGCTCCAGCACCCCCTCCAGGGATGGCTGCTCCAGGTACTGCTGCTCCAGGCACTGCTGCTCCTCCCGGCATGCAGCAAGCCAATGCCCAGCCTGGTCGTCCAGGAAGCTTCCCGCCTAACTTCCAGCCGCCTGCGAATATGCCAAACATCAATTTTTCTGCCCCGGTGATTCGCTTGGGTACCTCAGGCCCGGCCAAGCCTGCAGCTCAAGAGAGCGGTCGGGAACGGGGTTCCGAAGCTCCTGGGCGCCGCGGTGGTCTGGGATCAATGGGAATGGATACCCAGCGCCATCATGGTCGCGATTCTATGATGCAGCTTCAGCCACCCACACGCGAGGAGGTTGTCCGCACGCTTTTCATCGGCGGGATTACGGAAGGCGCAGGTGGTGATGATGGCATTGAGCGTATTCTACGATCTACTGGTCTCTTGCGTCGCTGGATCCGCGCCACAGATGCTGATGAGAAACCTTGCCGGTTTGGATTTGCCGAGTATGAGGATCCCGAGAGTCTCGAGGTCGCGGTTGAGATTTTGAAGGACGTGGAAGTGCCGGTCAAGAGACAGACACCCCGCGCCGAGGGTGATGAGGAACGAGAGGTTGAAAAAAGCAAGCTTCTGGTGCGTATAAATTGTCTCCCGTTTCCTCAAGTCTGACTTCTAACTTGTCTAATAGGTCGTCGTCGATGAAGGTACCCTCACCTACTTAGAGCAATTTGAGTCTAGCCGAGCAGAACAAGACCCCGAGGACCGCCAGGCACGTTTCACCGCTGCCCGCAAAAATCTAGATAATGTCTTGTCTAGCCTTTTCCATCCCACAGCCCCGCTTCAAAAGGAGGAGGTGTCGGCCCTTGATCGGGAAGGCGACAGTGAAATGAAGGATGCCGAAGTTGCGAAGGATGGCGAAGTGGTCACCATTCCTATTACCATTGAAGATGAACTAGCCGATATCCCTCCCGAGATGCGCGCCAATGTGGCAAAGGAGATCTCGGCTTTCCGTGAACGAAGCAACCGCCGCGACATCGAGCGTATGAAACGCGAGGAAGAGATCGAGGCGATGGAACGTGCACGCAATTCCGGCTCTCGAATCAATCGACTTGCTTCGCCTCCGGCATCCGCTCCCAGTGGACCTGCTGCTGGTATCAACGGTATCCCGTTGGGCCCGCGGGATCGCAATGTGTTGAACGCACCTTCTGGTCCGAAGGCGTTCGGTGTGCAGATTCCCAAGGATTATCAGAAGGGAGTTTCTTTTGTCAATGGTGGATCCCTCAACGGAGTCTCTATTGATCGCGAAGGCGAGGATTCCGATGCCAGCGACGAGGAAATTGAACGGCGCCGACAGGATCGCCTCAAGGCTGAGCAAGAGAAGCAATTCTCAGACCTAGAGCGACGCTGGCTTTCCCGTGAGCGCAGCAGAACCGCTGCTCTAGAGCGAGAGAAGAAGCGTGAAGATGAGGAAGATGAAAGTTTGCAAGCTGCGCACGATGAGATGGAAGCACGACTTGGCGCTTGGAATGACGATATTGAGGACAGCCGGAAGGCGGTCGATTACTACGCAGACCGCAGTGCCTGGCTTCGGAACCGTGCAAGCTTCCGTTCTCGTGAGGCCAATATTGACGAAGCCGATCGCGCCGCTGAGGAACGCGAGCGTGTGCAGTCCGCCAAGCAGCAAGAGCAGGCTCGCGGTATGGCCGACGACTTCCTCGCTCGCCAGGCAAAGGAGCTCGAGACGCGTCCCCAGGAGGCACCACGCGAACCCCAACGCTTCAAGCTCTCTCTTGGAGCCGCCGCGCAGAAGGCCCAGGCCGCGACCAGCCGCCGCGCAATGGCCGATGTGGAAGGTCTGCTAGAGGACGAGGAAGAGCCCGCTACTACAACCCGTCGACCACTCATTCCCATCAAGTTCGATTCCGCGGCCGAAGCCGCAGGTCTCACCGACGAGGAACGTGCCCAGGCGGCCCGTCAACTCGCAGCAGAGATTCCGGCCGAGAAAGAAGGCCTGTGGAACTGGGCGGTCAAGTGGGAATTTGTGGACGATGCTGTCATCAGCGACCAGCTCAAGCCTTTCGTCGAGAAGAAGATTGTCGAATATCTTGGTGTACAGGAGCAAATGCTGGTGGATGTGGTGGAGGAACATGTGCGGAAGCGTGGATCGCCTCAGGAGTTGGTGGAGCAGCTGGCGGAAGTGAGTATTTATCTCTTCTTCTTTATGAGACGAGTTACTGACCTCAGTTTCCTATCTATAGGCATTGGACGAAGAGGCCGAAGTCCTTGTTCGCAAGCTTTGGCGGATGATCATTTTCTGTTCCGAGAGCGAGAAACGAGGCCTGTCCTCGTGATAGGGCTGCATATCAAAAACAGGTCCCTGTGCCTGATGTCTTTAAGCTTCACTGAAATACAACCATGTACACAAAGGAATAGCTGCATGTATGATTCCAATCTTTCTGAAATCGCTAGGATCTGGTCTCGTTTCCATGTAGATGTAACCTCCCACGTAGCTTGGGGTAAATCACGGAGTAGCTCCGAGTATAGTACCTGCGTTGTGATTGGCGGAACGATATATTTTCCCGGCATTTCGAATTCTCCACCAATGAGAACGGGTCTACGGCAAATGACATATGGAGAGGGAGGGGCGCGGGATGAACTGGAGATGGCGCGGGGGAATATATTTGCTGTATATACAGAGTGGAATCTCTTTTGGTTCCTGAAATCTTTTCTCACCGATATCTCTCATCTCCTACTTCTCCTTGTGCGTCTTTGAGCTGCCAAAAAAGGGGTGAAATTGACTCTCAACTCTATACCCCGGATATATACACCCCGCATTTCTAGTTAACCACAGTGTTTCTCTCGAACTCCTGCGTCAGCAATATTGCTAGCCATTGACAGAAGTAAAGCATATTTCTACTATCGCAAGTAGCAAATATTCACAATGGTCAAAATCACTGGCTTCACCACGCGGGACGTGAGGTTCCCGGTACGTCAATCCTACCTCCGGAGCATTTCCGTATATATACTCAATGCACCCAATACTGACACGGCCGTCATAGACCTCGCTCGACAAGACCGGCTCAGATGCTATGAATGCAGCGGGTGACTACTCCTCCGCCTACTGCATCATCACCACAGACTCAGAACACTCCGGACATGGCATGGTACGTCGCACCACATCACCCACCCACGATTCTTTAATTAACCCAAGCCCTTACAGACTTTCACAATCGGACGCGGCAATGAAATTGTCTGCGCAGCAATCTCCCTGCTCGCCCCAATGGTGGTTGGCAAAGATTTGGACGAGATGACCGCAGACTGGGGCAAGACCTGGAGGTACCTTGTCTCCGACAGCCAGCTGCGCTGGATCGGCCCCGAAAAGGGTGTGATCCACCTTGCCCTTGGTGCCGTCGTCAATGCCCTCTGGGATCTGCGGGCCAAGACCCTCGGAAAGCCCGTCTGGCGCATCGTTGCCGACATGACCCCCAAGGAGTTTGTGCGTTGCATTGATTTCCGCTACATCACTGATGCCATCACGCCTGAGGAGGCTATCAGTATGCTGAAGGAGGTTGAGTCTGGTAAGCAGGAGCGTATTAAGGAAGCTGAGGCTAGCAAGGCTGTCCCTGCCTATACTACCAGTGCCGGGTGGTTGGGATACAGCAAGGATAAGCTGAAGTTGTTGTTGCAGCAGAGTGTTGAGCAAGGGTATAAGCATTTCAAGCTTAAGGTTGGAGGAGATCTGGAAGATGACAAGACTCGCTTGCGTATTGCACGTGAGGCTATTGGGTATGACAAGGGTAACATTTTGATGGTTGATGCCAACCAGGTACGTTATCTCCCCTGGAACTGATTCCATTACACTTTCGAGTCAGACTGACACTGGGGAAATGAATAGGTCTGGTCCGTCCCCGAGGCAATTACCTGGATGCAAGAACTCGCAGAGTTCAAGCCCTGGTTCATTGAAGAGCCCACCTCCCCCGATGACATTCTCGGTCACGCCGCCATCCGCAAGGCCCTGGCCAACACACCGCACGGTCCTGTGGGCGTCGCCACAGGCGAGATGTGCCAGAACCGTGTGATCTTCAAGCAGTTGCTGCAAGCCGGTGCCTTGACTGTTCTGCAGCCCGACGCCTGCCGCGTCGGTGGTGTGAACGAGGTTTTGGCTATTCTCCTTCTGGCACGCAAGTTCGGCGTGCCTATCGTGCCACACTCGGGAGGTGTCGGTCTGCCAGAGTACACACAGCACCTGAGCACGATCGACTATGTTGTTGTCACCGGCAAGAAGAGTGTTCTCGAGTATGTGGATCACCTCCACGAGCACTTCGTCCACCCATCCAGCGTTAAGGACGGTTACTATGCTACCCCCCCTGGAGCCTGGGTACAGTGTCGAGATGAAGGCTGAGAGTATGGATGCTTTCGAGTACCCCGGGCAGGAGGGGAAGAGTTGGTGGAGATCGGAGGAGGCTAAGAGCATTATTGATGGGCCTAGAGTTGTATAGATTTGATAGGCTTGAGCGTGCGGTTTGTTCTAGACGATCATGTGTTTATGTGTATTCATGTCAATAATTTTCAAAAACTGTGTTACATATAGTATTCACTCGGTGTAGATTGGCTGTAGCTAGATGTGGCCGTTTTTCGCTGGGCCGCAATTCTCTCAACGGACCCTAGCATTTCCCTATGACTATAAATCAGTCCCTAAAGACCTGAGACCTGACCCACGAATACGGCTCTCGGCCGTAGTCGTAGGCTTCTCGTTCCTCTGAAGTTTGATACAGCACCAACAACTCCAGTCCAGGAATTTCGAATTGAACATCCTTCTCCGTTGACTCGGCGCAGAACCCGACAATCGCCTTTCTCAGATTGGGAAATTGATTCCCGCATACAATCCCAACCTTCCGCAAGTGAGGAATGATCCGCGCATCAGCATACATAATGGTTAAATGCTCTATTGACGCCGGAAGCACGTCTACCAACTCTGGCCCTCCTCTGTCAGCCCGAGGATTCGCAGGATATGTCTCCATGACAGCAGACTGTGAATGCAAGAGCCCAAGCAGACTATGCATACCGCTCCGCAGTACCTTCAATTTTGTGAATTGCTTCAATTCAGCCCCCATATACCATTCACGTGCCGTCAAATTGTACAAGGACCGCTTTAGCCGTCATCGTCGTACAGCATCGTGAGCTCTTCGAGCGTGTCTTTATGACGCTTGAGCTCTTTCACAGCCTCCTGAGGTTTGAAATAGCCATCGTAGTAGTCGACATTCCCGAAGGTATAATTGAACGTGCGGAGCGTTCTACAACCCTGCACGAACACCCCCATGGCATCGGTTCCCATTCCACTCTCGAGGATGTGAAGATGCTCAACTGCAGATGATCCCTCTTGAAATTGGGACGGACCCATAGTCTCATCATTTAGCTGTACGAGTTGCACTTCGCGTGACATGTTAAGAATGCCCCTACGGCGTAGTCCCTAAAGGTTTCCACAGCACAGGAAATATCGGTTGCCTCTATAGAGAATAGTCGCAGGTTATCAATTATGGAAAATTTGCCCGACTTTGCGTAGGTAAACAGCTCACATATCAGATCGCAGATGTCGGGTGGTATAGGAATAGATTCTTCAGATTGGGTAGCTTGTAGAGTAGAAGAGTCAGCATTGCGTCGCTGTATCCTTCCTTTATTCCCTTATTTAGGTGATCTTTGAATTCGTCGGGAATTGAGAGGTTCGAGACTGACTGGAAGAATTGAATGTCGTCCTCTGAGATGTCGCAAGGGTCATCTTCAGTTACATTTGATGTGTTGAGCTCTTCAACGTATTTAGCTCGGCCTGGGTTGGTGACTATAGCCCGCAGGAATGTGTTGTAAGGTTGCTGGTTGTAGTTTAGCTTCTCCAGAGACGCGGGGTGGCTTGTTGGTGGATTTGTTTGCACGTCCGAGATAGGCGAGAGATGTCAGTTTTGTCTAGGAGACCTGAATATGGAGTCGAGAATTTCCAGAGGAATAAGAGGGAGTGTCATATTGTCAGGTTCAAAGCGAGGTTGATTTAGTATCTTCTCCCATCTTATCTTCGCGCGCTAGTTAATTGCTGCAGGGCTAAATTAAAAATGACCACGACATATCTGCCCTAAGCTAAAGCCGGTTATGATCGACTGCAGATGGAATCCTGCGATCTTCTTTTCCGCCGATCCCAGTTTATATCAAGTAGCCACCACACGGAAATATGCCTGATGCTTCGAGAAGGCATTCAACCCCAAGCAAGGAATGAGCGCTTATTAGCCTCATAAAACACATGCATTTTAGGACAAAGGACCGCTATAGACAAATATCCTGCCAGAATAATATTAATATACATTGAAGGTACATGAGCCAAGATCGGAATTGCTTTTCAAGCCCGCTTCACGTTTTCTCTATAAAAGTAGCATGAGAAACTAAGCCCTCCGAGTGGCCTTCTTCGTGGAACGTCTGTTCTCCTTCTCCTTCTCGCGATCGAGGTACTTGCGTTGCTCGTCTGCAGTCATACCACGGAGGATACGCTCCCGCTCTTCCTTCTTCAGCTTCTCAGCAGCGAGCTTGCGTTCCTCAGCCTTCTCTTCTTCATCGGCACGGCGGAGCTTCTTTATTTCGGCCTCGCGAACGTTCCGGACCTTGCGCATCACCTCAGCACGGAAGTGCGCAGACGCAACGAGCTTGTCTGCGAAACCGAGGAATTGCTGGAAGAGAGGCAGAGTACTAGCGTAGGCATCAGATGCGGAGGGAATGTGCATCGAAAGGCTGATACGCTTCCTAGGGGTGGTTTCCTCGATCCTAGATTCGTTAGAGAGATTATACGTATACATAGCTGCGGAAAAGGCCTTACTTCAACGGCTTATCAGTCGGCTGGTCAGTAACAATCAAGTACTCAAACTCATGGCCGGCCTGCTCAATGGCCTTAATCAACTCGGGAGTGAGAAGCGCATCAGTAATCTCAGCGCTCTCCGTCATCACAGTCACCCAGGGAGGCAACTTAGCGTGATCCTTTGTGAAAGTGATCGAAGCATCGTAGCGGTCCTGACGGACCTTCCGCATACAACTTTTGTGCACAATAGCCCAGATAAATCCATCATAAGTCGAGTTATTAACCTTTAAAGCGGACGAATCCTTAGAGGGAACGGGAACCAGGTCCTTCTCCTTGCCATCGAACGCATACAAAGTAGCTTCGACCTTCTCAGTAGGAGCAGCCCAGCTCTCCCAGAGGAAGCTAAGCGCATAGTCCATCCAGTAGGTCACCGGGTTGTACCGTTTAGGCAACTTAACCGAAATATCAACAAAGGCAACATTCTGCCGACCCGTAGCGTAAGAGACGAATTCCTGAAGAGACTTCTCCTTAAGCAGGCTATCCGGAGTCGCAGTCCCCTGAAGGCCACCAAATCCGACCACGGCGAATTCGTTCTGGAGGGCAGTCGCGTGGGCCTTAGCCCATTCCTTCGCCTTACGTCTGTTCTTCCGCGTACCCCACAGATGGAAAACGACAATCAGGATAATAAAGGGCAGGACCATCGCTTCCTGCATAAAATCCTTGGGCGAAGTCCGCTCCCACACCCGGTACCATGCCGTGTAGGGAACGGTAGCTCCATTGTTCGGCGAAGCAGCTAGCGTCGGCGACGAACTGAAAACAGAGGCAGGAGAGGGTTGAGAAGCCTCAACAAAGTCCGCAAATTCTATACAATAACAGTGTTAGACGAGACCAGCAATTGCAGCGATCGCAAAAGAATCGGTGTCTCCGGACGGATAGCTTACCATCGTCGGGCTTGACCGCACCGGACTCGGCGCCGCCAAAGATATTCTTGAGCATGCCAGACATTGTCAGTGTAGAGGAAGTACAGCTAGCACTAAAGACAACCTCCGAGAATTGGCGACGTGGCGGGTGCAAGAAAGAGAGGAAGCCAAGTTCGCGGAGATGAAGATGGAACGTGCACGTTGGCAGAACGGCAGAATGCTGGGCGGTGGAGCCAAGCCGAAGCGGCCGAATCATGGGGCATATTAGATATACTGGGGTAACCTACCGAGGTACACTACGATACGTTTATTAGGACATGATGAACCAGGCATTGCTCAATTTCTCAAAAACACTTAAACGTATATAACATACATAGGAAAGGTGAGTTAGCTATCAGTCGGATGCAGCCGCATATTCTGAATGCATGATGGCCTTGCCATCGGCTCCAGAAACGAAAAGGGCTATTAAAGAAATCGACAAGGACACGTGAAAAGAGGCAATTGACGGAAAGTGTGCATTTTATCTACATACAAAACGGACATTTAGTCCTTCCCAGCTCCAGTCCTACCATGTCCAATCCAACATCACATCCCATCAAGCCCATATCTGTGGAAATACAGAGGTAAAGGTAACGTATCCTGCGTAGAAAGAGAGCATTCGCTTGAAACCAAAAGAGTAAACCGCCGTGCCAACCCCAAATCGCAAAAGAAACCCCCCATTATTGGAACCCGCTAGAACACACAAGAATCCAACAAACCAAATGGATGAAAGGAAACGAAAGAGGGAGAAGAGAAACAAGATCAATAATAACACAGATTCGTAACAGTCATGACAAACTCCAGGTATCACTTGCTGGAGGTAAAATCCAACTTTTGGGCTCTACTTTGAGCCAGAGGAAGGAAAATCAAATAAAGGAAATGTATGTCGAGTGCTTAGCTGTAAGCACTCAGTGGTCATAAGCCGGTGGTGGTGTTTCTTCCGGTAAGCCGTGGCCCCAAAAAGAACCACAGGAATTTGGTGCCATCAGTTTCTCGTCACGCATACGGCGCGCAACTTCACCCGCCAGTGTTTCGACGAAGGCTTGGTCCACAATGTTACCGGTCAGGCTATCGTGCGGAAATGGAAGGCCTGCCGTGGAAAGCTGTCGTGTAGGGCCCGAAGGCGGACCGACTTCCTGGTGAGGTGTAGGGCGGACACTTCCAACAGTCACATTCACATCGTCAGTCTTTAAGGGGTTTCGAGGATTAGAAGGTTCAGGTCGATCACAGAGGATTTCACCGGAAAGATCGTGGCGAGGCAGAGAGCGCGAGAGGCTTATACGACGTTTCTCGGGGATAGTCTCGGGGATAGCGGGGAGGCGCTGGTCACTCTCAGGCGATAATGGCGGGGTAACTGGGTCGTCGGGCTGTTCATGGACGGCCGGCAGCGGAGCGGAAATGACTGAAGGAGCACTAGCGCTCTCCGTATAGGTGGCTTCATCGCTCACGCTCACGCTAGCAGAGTCGCTGGGTGTCGTTGGGCGACTGCGGAGATCCACCACACGCTTCTTTCGCCTTCTAGTATGTGCTTTGGAATGGCGACCGGCTCCTAAGCTTAAACCATTGCTGCTAAACGACTGAGTGGGTCCGGTGGGCGTCCTGCTCTGGGCTGAGCTTGTACTCGCGTTGTCTATGAAAGTAGATATGCCGCCGGTCTGTGACTGAGTTCTCGAAAGAGCGGGGCTTATTGGCGATATAACGCTGGCAGACGAATCGTTCTGATCGCAAGAGGTCCATGCACGGTATACAACGTGTTGAATCGACGGGGTGAAGAGTGAGAGTGTGCGCTGGGAATTCGTCAGGGTTGCTAGACTGAGGAGGTTCTTCTGGGAGAACAGCGAGTGGGTTTCGGCGGCTGAGTCTAACGATAACGATGCAATATCCGACTCATCTAACACATTTCCTAATGAATCCACGGGATCCTGCGGCGGAGTCACAAGAGGGTCATGTCCGGGACCTTTAGTGGGAGTGGGGGTTGTGTTCATCTGGTTCTGTATCTCCTCTACCCGATATTCTGGATCGCATAGCTGTAGCGATAGGCGATGGATAATAGCTGGTAGCTCATCTATAAATAGTATACGGAGTTGAGCCTCGATTTCTCCTTGTAAGAAGTCACGGACGAATGCGATCGAATCGAACGTGGAGGAGACCTTAAGTGACTCGAGCGGGTCATTTCGGAAGACGACCGTGATTCCTTTCTGCTCGGAGAAGACTAATATAACAAAACCGGAAAGTTTGAAATCGGAGAGAGTTATATGTAAGGGAATAGTAAGGGGAGTCCTATAGTATGCCAAGAAGACAGGTAAGTGACGTACAACTAGGGGCATAGGAAGACAACTTACGCTGCAGCCAACGGTAGTGGCGACGTGAACGACGGGCGTGTTATGAGATATGTATTTAGGGGATTCGCCTGGACTCTCGTCTTTAACGTTAAAAAGGCATCTCCGGTGTATGACATTTTGAAGATCCCTCGGAACCGATCCTCCGCCAGATCGCCGATCTCGAGAATCTCTAACTCGGGAGGGATCGAGCCTAGGTTTAACTCGGTCACGATAATATCATCGACGATAATCGGCGGCTTAGGCGATTTGTTGAGAGCAGCAGTCAGAAGGTCTTGAGCACGAGTGTAGAAACTCGCGTCCGCCATAAGCGGCGACCAGTTGAAGTTGAACGCCATGGCCGAGCATTGAGGGTGCGGGTGTCGCTTTGTAGAAATAAAGAAGTGGAAAAGAATAGAAGAATAAAAACAAAAGACGGGAAATGAGATTATTATAAAAAGACAATAGGACAAGATGCAAGAAGGAGCAAAGACAATAGAAGTAAGAAGGCAAATCTTACGAAAAGCGAAGGCGAAGATTCCCGAGGCGACTCGCGTGACGCCGCTGCAATCCAGAGTAGCTTGTACTATATGTACAATATAGTGTTATTCCCACGTGCAGTTATGCTTCATTTGCTGCATTGTTCATGGGGCTCTTTGTTGTCTCTGTTGGCTCTAGTATTCAGTACTATTCTATTGTCGAAGGGGAAAATCAGACCGGGAAGCATACGTCACAGTCGGAATGTCACGCTTGTAGACCGGTTAGCTAGGAATACTACAGTTATCCTGTTCTTCTTTTTGTAAATTGGTCAACAGATATGGATCCCCAGGATCAATTCGACTTCGTCGAGTAAATGTGCACGACTAGCGCACTGAGGCTAAAACCCCATGAAAATATGATACATCTTACAGGTCACCATAAGAGCCTGAGTGGACGGCCATTGGCCCGGTCCTAAAAAATACAAGAGAAGCGACTTGTCCGAACTGGTGAAGACCAGCCTGGAGCAAGCGCCAAAACAGAGGTGCAGAGGCTGCGAATGTCCAAATGCTTATCGCAGATGAACGCATGAACCTATGTAGTGAGGTGTGGTTGTTGGAGGTAGCGGGGTATAGTAAGGAGTTAGCATCATTGCCAGATCAACGCCACTGAATACCAAAAAGCTTCAAGGCGCTAGTCACATTAGCCTTCTCTGAGGCTTTTTCGAGGACGATGCGAGGGTGGCCCTTCACATCCAACGCCAGAAGCTGGTACTCGAAATTGCTCTTATCCAAAGGTTTCATCATGTGCACGACGACCACGCCGGAGTTGAGAGGGCCTTCGACCTGAGATACCACAATTAGCATACGGATCCAAAATCGTCCGGAAAGGATATGTAACATACATGGAAATGCATGCGAAGGTGCTCACGACCTAATCGATCTTTTTCAGTTGATGATCTAGTCACTGTCAGTATTTCGTTTCTATACCGTTATGCAGAAACCATAGAACCTACGCGATAGGTTTGTTTCGTGCCCACCGGCTCGAGGTCTGCTCGCCATATGCCTTGATCTCTCTTCGATCACCGAGCAATTTTATGCACTCGGGGTCATCTTTAATGCGCCCTACCGCCGTTTCAAATTGCCATGTCTTGCTGTTTGGCGACAAAACTTCGAGATAGAAAAGTGTGAAGACTCCACCCTAGTCAGATCGTATAGTCAGCAACTATCTACCGGATCATCGTGAACGAATGCACTACATACCGTCAGTACTGCTCCAGCTAGCACGATAACGAAGTTGAAAGATTGCTGCGTCGCCCGCGCAACCTTCTCTCCTCGACTCAAATCGCCCCACTGGACTCTCCCGTCGTCGGACAAGACTGTAATGCTCTTTTTCCTTGACGATGAAGTTTGAGGCCCGTTACCTATGTTGCTTTGCGTGGCGTACAGGCGAGTGATCTGTGTCTGTATGCGGGGAGAGGAGTAGAGGGCCAGAGATGCCGGCGATAGCTGGGGAAGAGCACGCAGTTGGATAGACCTCATTGTGAACGACTAAAACCGAGCGTCTCGTAAAGAGTTGGAGTATCTGAGTGGAATACCGGGCTCGATCATCTTCCAGCCTTGGAAGGCTGCTATCGATCTTCATTATCGGCAGCACGTGATTACAATACGGTATTACAATACTGCCGTTGGCGGAAAATGCCCCGGCCAAATGGGAGGCGCTGTATCACGATTACACCAGGCACATCAAGAGAGTCCACGTTCGCCGTTCCCGACTCGGGATGCTTTACTCTTTGCCTAACCCGAGCACATTCTCGCCCAAACCCCCCCTTTTCTTTTTCCTCTTTCCCATTGATCTCTTCTCGGTGCCATTATGAGTGCCACGAAGGCGCAGTCTCAAAAAATCTTTGAGAAGGCCAAGCTGAAGCCCGCGAACAAGGTGCGCACACCCCCACCCCGTATGCTGTATTATTGTGGCGCTCGATTCTGATGTTTTCGCTTTCAGGTGTGCTTCGACTGCGGCAGTAAAAACCCGACATGGTCATCAGTTCCATTCGGTATCTACCTGTGCCTTGATTGTTCGGCTCACCACCGTAATCTCGGTGTGCACATCTCCTTTGTCCGATCAACAAACCTCGACCGTACGTACCCTACCACACAATTTCTTTACACGCCAAATGTTCCGACAGACCAACCCTAACGTTTCATGCAGAGTGGCAATGGGAGCAACTGCGCCTGATGAAGGTTGGTGGAAATGAGTCTGCGACCAAGTATTTCCAATCGCACGGAGGTTCCGCTGCGCTGGCGAGCAAGGACACGAAGGTGAAATACACGTGCAATGCGGCTGTCAAGTATAAGGAGGAACTTAAGAGGCGCGCTGCGCTGGATGCGCAACAGTCAGTGGATCCAATCCCGGTGGAACTGGCTATGTGCTAACCAGTATTATTGCTCTATTTAGGTACCCCGGGGAAGTCATTATTACGGATCTCCCCGCTGGCACTCCCTCGGATGACTCGAGCACCCCTGCTGGCGACGGCGACGATGATTTCTTCTCCTCCTGGGACAAGCCCTCCATCAAGCGTCCGAGCAATCCCCCGTCGCGCACCAGCACGCCCCCGTCGTCAGCCGGACTAGCTCTCCTTTCCTGAACGCCGGCCCCAACGCAAACGGATCCCGCTCGAAATCTCCCCTGTCTGCTTCGGAAGAAAAGGCCGCCTCTCCCGCGCCGACTGCTATCCGGCCCACCAATGTTACTCGGAAGACATCTACAGCTAGCTCTGCAAAGAAGGGCAGTGTCCTTGGTGCCAAGAAGGCGCCCAAGCTCGGGGCTAAGAAGGTTGCTGCTGCGGATATTATTGATTTCGATGAGGCAGAACGCAAGGCCAAGGAAGAGGCTGAGCGCATTGAAAAGCTTGGCTACGACCCCGAGGCTGAGCAGGCGGAAGCCGACGCCAAGAAGGCCGCAACTGCTGCCGCCGCCGTCCCGATTGCTTCTCCTATCCCAGTCAGTCCTGCTGGCAAGACTAGTGAGCGAAGCTCAGGTGATGTGGAGCGACTAGGCATGGGTGTGAGCAGACTTGGTTTTGGCCAGGTGTCGAAGCCCGCTGCCCCCAAGAAGCCAACATTTGGTTCTGTTGGCCCTGCCAAACCCAGCCCTGCTGAGGGTAAATTTCCCTTGTTGATTTGTGTAACATATGAAAGAGAAGCTGACACTCCACACAGAAGCTGAACTCACCCAGACCAGAACCCGATTTGGGGCCCAGAAGGGTATCTCGTCCGATGAATTTTTCGGACGAGATCGGTTTGATCCCGCCGCCCAGTCAGAGGCTAAGGAACGTCTCCGCCAATTTGATAGTGCTACATCCATTTCCAGCAACAGCTACTTCGGCCGGCCCGAGGATGAGGTCAGTTCACTTGACGATGGCTATGGTGATATGGAGGTTGCTGCTAAAGATTTCATCCGCCGCTTTGGTATCACGGCTGGGGATGATCTTGAGAACCTGTCGCATCTTGTCGGCGAAGGTGCAACTAAGCTACAAGGTGAGCACGTCTTTGTTTTGACATGTAACCACTTCTTGCTAATTGAATGTCACCAGGTGCTATCCGCAATTATCTGAACAACTAGTCTAGTCGCCTATGTTCATCAGATATTATGCCTTCTATCACTTGAATACCTTAGCAAGCAACATTGTTCCCTGACTACCCCCAATCCCGTCTGCGTGCGTGACGTATACTGTGTCTCGCTTGCCTATCTCGCGCCCCTGTCAATTTCTTTACCTGGAAAACCATTGCGATCAACAGTCGGCCAAATCTTGGGTTTCATCATTCTGGTTCGCAATCTGGCGCGCGATTGTCGATTTTTTTGTCTTTTCCCTTGCTTCTTCGCATCCCTACACAGCAACATGGGGCGATGGAAGGGAATGTACCTTTTATTTTATTTTGCTCATTTCGTTGATATGGTTTAGGATGATCGAGAAATTCATGATTTGATATTATTGATAGACAAGAACTTTTGACAAAAGCGCAACTCCAAGCTCTCAAGTCCCACACCGCTCAACCCAAACTCCATGATGAATGAAGAGAACACAGTAGTACATCATAGTACAAGCCACACCCAAGTGTTGAATACAAAAAAAGGCCCCATATATACACCAGCAGGGCAATGCTATGTGATAAGTGACGTAGCTAGTACGATCTCAATCAACGCGATAAATCGCATCCGCAACCTTCGTCACCTGCGACATCTCATGGACATCATGAACACGAACAATGTCTGCCCCACCAGCCACACTAGCAGAGACAGTAGCAGCCGTACCCCAAACGCGCTCCCGGGGTGTCTTCACCCCAGTGAGATGACCAATGAACCTCTTCCGACTGGGCCCCATCAACCAAGGGAAGTATTCAAGCCCCGGCATCGCACGCAGCCTCGGCAACTCCCGCAAGATCTCCAGATCATGTGGCTGGATCTTCGCAAAACCAAGACCCGGATCGAGGATGATGCGCCAGCGCCGGATCCCCGCGTCTTCGGCAGCCGCAATGCGCGCGCCCAGCTCAGCAGCCACTTCCGGGATCACGCCGGTAGGGTACTCGTGCAGGGTCGTCATTGTCTGCGGCGTGCCGCGCATGTGCATCAGGATCACGGACTTGCCGATCCGCGCTACTGTCGGTAACATTTCTGGGTCGAGGAGGCCGGCTGAGATGTCGTTGACGATGTCTGCGCCGGCGGCGCAGGCGGCTTCCGCTACGCTGGCGCGGTAGGTATCGATGCTGATGGCGATGTTGGCGGCTTCTGGGATAGAGGTTCGGATGTGCTGGATTGCTGGTACTACGCGGGCGATCTCTTCGGCGGGACCGACTGGTGTTGAGCCTGGGCGGGTACTCTCGCCGCCGATGTCGATGATTGTTGCGCCGGACGTGATGAAGTTGCGCACTGTCTCCGTTATGTAGCTTAGGTCTGTTGGCGAGTGCTTTCCGCCGTCAGAGAAGGAGTCTGGTGTTAGGTTGAGGATTGCCATGACGTGGGTGCTGCGCTTGGGATCTGTTGCGCGCAAGGATGGGAATAGTGGTGAGATTGGGGTTGTTGATACTGGTATTGGGTCTGGAGGCGGGAGAGCCTTCAGATGTGTGCTGTATGTTTGTTTGTCCTTTCCTGGTAGTGGAGGGCATTCATTTGGGATTAACCTAGATTTGGGTGGTCAGTACATTCCTTTATATGCAGATATGGCATATATAGAGTCATCGGGGTCGTACTGGCTGAGAGGTCGCAATACAAAGTCTCGTTCAAGCATCAGGTTGTGTGGGATGTTGAGACGTTCGTGAGAGACGGTCTCTCGATCATAGAGTAGAATATCCAAGTCAATAGAGCGTGGGCCTTTGTCGATGAGCTTCTTTCTGCCCATCGCAATCTCAATGGATTGAAGAGTGTCCAAAAGATCCAAAGGTGCAAGAGTTGTTTCCACCTGAGTGAAATTAACAATTGGCTAGAAAATCTGGACATTAACTTCGCTAAACATACCTCGCATACACCATTGATGAATGGATCTTGATCAAGCACATACATCGGTGCGGTCTCGAACAATGAACTTGTCCTTTTCACTTTGATACCAACTCGATCCATTTCAAGACAAGCCTGCTCAATCATTTCTACTCGGTCTCCGACATTGCTTCCCAGGGCAATGAAAGCCCGGTGGATGTCTGGACCGGGGAATTTCAAATTCATCTTGGAGTCAACTGCTTGTGCAGTGGAGAAATTCTTCACAGGCGGGGTCAAATGCAAGGACGTTATTGAACGTCTAGGTAGACCATTTCTGGCGAGAAACCCCGATGCCAATTGGACTGTATATTCCGATTGGGGCTGATCAGGCGACCCTACTAGATATTAGTGCTGGATTGAAGTGCAGGCATGGCAAATCAGAAGGAAAAAAAATGCGGGACAGGCATATTTCCCCATTGGGACGATACGCCGATAAGGGTGGGAGGGGCTCCTAAAAAGTAGCTAGGCACATACCCAGGTTCTGTGGTGAGGATGTTCTATAACTATAGGATGTCGTCAGATTTGCCACAGTCAATTGATTACTTGGTGGCTTTACCCTGTATGCAATGGTCGATGATGACTCCTGGCCGGAGCTGCAGCCAATGGCAAACGTCTTAGCGATCTCCCAATTTGCTGGAAATAAGGAATATGAGATGCCAATGTATGGGCTCTCTGGATTACCCTGGCATTCATGCTGATTTGAAAAAGAAACGTAAGAATACAAAGAGTGTAAGAGCTTCGAGTCAGTCCTACTAAGTTTCACGTGGTTCGCCTTCTTCTTGGCGTTGCCGCCTTGACGTTTTGACGCCTTGATACCTTGGTGCCTTGGTGCCTTAATACCATTTCTTGAAATGCTAATCTGACTGGCCCATTTCTGATGGAAAGAAAATGTAGTTCTTGCATATCAATTGACCTATCAGACTTGCTATCTGAGAGGAGCGGGAGAACCTGTAGTTATGCTGCCCGTGCTTTGACACCTAATCATAGGAAACTAAAGTGTATGTGATAGATAAATCTGCAGCTACAATTTGAGAATTCCGATATCTATCATATAAAGCACAAAATTGAACAGCGGTGAGGACATTTATTTAACCGGGCTGAATAGAGCATTTGAACTATCATCTACTGGGAGACGGCTGGAATACAAATGGAAGGACTGGGCCTGACACCGGATTGAACATACCACTCATCCTTCCTCCTCAATTCACACTACACCGAGGCAATGATAAACCCATCAACTACCGGGTCAGATAGATATCTGGATCAACTCCAAGCCGGTGGATCTGACTAGTGGAAGACCATCTGATTGCTTTACGTTGCGGCAGGTGCGAATAAGCAAGTACGACGATGTTATGAACCTCCACTCTATGAATGCAATCAACAACTGGAAAGCAATGTGTGACAATGCAGATTAAAGGTTGGACTGGTTTACTTGGATACTGAGGAAGGACAACAATTTGTTGAACTTCTCAACTCTGGGCTGATGACGAAGTTTGGTTGAAAAATCCCCAAACAATCAAATGTGTTGACGAATACCTCTGCTTTCGGCAACCCGACAAAGCGACGAGGCATGACATGGTACCCCCATTGACACCTGCAGAATAAAAGTGGTGCTGATGTGTTCTAGGGCGTATTGGCATTGGTTAGCATTCTCTCACGGGGATATCTTCGCACGGGCAGATTGGGACTCGATAAAAGATCTTCTGGATCATGCCGATAGGGTCCTGATATGGATCAATGACTCCTTCAGTTAGCCCCGGTAGCGCCATAAACAAGGCAGGATTGCAAATGTGATCGAGTCCTATATAAGGACCGAGAGCTTCTCCAAGGAAGAAGCCAAGAAGAAAACAAAGGAGGAGATCCTTCGAGGGAAACACCTTTCTATGACTTGTGTGTCGAACGGTTTGTGCGAGAACCAAACTTCCCCATAATATAAAGCAATTGCTGGAAGTTAGATGACTACATGAATCTCCAAGACAAATTATTCAAAACAGAAGGGGTTGTGCGAAGATCTCAATAAGGGGAAATTTCCTATCCAATTGTCAAGTGCTGCCAGAAGAGTGGGCAATCAAAAACATCATTCTCGGCATATTCCAACAATCGCGGATAGCAAATACGAAGATGGTGCGTGAGAGTAAATTTCAAACTTGGACTTCATATCGAGCGTTAGGGCTCTAAGAGGATACATTCGATTATCTTCAGCCGCTACAAAAGGAGATCGAACAGGATATCTGAGAGATCGAGGCCCTGACAAGGGAATCCAACCTAGAGTCATTGCTCTTGGTGGAAGTCTTAGGGACGATCCCGAAACCTGATGAAAAGGGGCATCGCAACGCTTAATTTCTCAGCCGCTATCAAATTGGAACTTCTATGCCCATTCTTCTCCACTTTTTTTTTTCTGGTCTACTTCGGTAGAGCACGTTTACTAGCTCTTAAGAGTGTAGCGCAACATATATTGCTGGTGTTTCTCCCGGGGACTCGTTCAAAATATCAAATCTTCGATTGGTACGGAGCATAGTGCCCTATCATACTCAGGCTCCAATTCCATAGGGCACTCAAGGACCTTCCAAGGTTGGGACCTCGGGAGGGGCCGGTCTCCACTTTTAGCCCAGGTGGATCCCGTGAGCCCCATACCGCCCGAATAGCCTGTTGGCTCCAGCCTATTCAATTCTCCGTTGATCTGGCACAGACAACATTTCCTCTTCAATGTCTATACGGATTTTGTGCACTCACTCTCGCTTTCGTTCATTTACAGCGCTGGGAGCTCGAAAGCTTCCTTTCAACTTAATATCGACGACGGTCACTAACTCCTCCCGAATCCCGACGGGTCAGTCCCGAACACTATCCCCTTGATACGGAGCTGATTCTTGAACCAAGACATAACACCCGACGACCACCTTTTTTCATACTCCTCTGGACGATTTCTTTACAATAAAAAAATACGCATGCGTGAGCGCCATATGCAATTTAACATTTCTGCGCTTCAAAAAGTCATCGCGAAGCATGTCGGCCATGGAAATGTAAAGAGCATTGTCAAATACAGTGAAGGTGGCTTCAATCGCGTGCTTCTTGTCACTATGGAAGATGACTTTAGGGCCATCGTCAAAATCTCATACTGGATATCCGTCCCGAAAACATACGCAACCGCTAGTGAAGTCGCAACCCTTACATTTCTTCGCTCGAAGGGGTTTACGGTACCTAAAGTCTATGGCTGGTCTTCCACGACCGAAAACCCAGTCGGTGTGGAGTACATCATCATGGAGCATGCACCAGGGGTTGGTGCGGATACTCGCTAGTTTGACACGACAAAACACCAGAAAAAGGCGTTGGTAACAGGGATTGTTGACATTGAAAAAAGACTTATGAACATACCTTTTGCCTCTGTTGGAAGTCTCTATTTCAAAAAAGACCTACCTCCCCACTCGCAAGGCCAACTATATTCGCCAGTCACACCGGACGAGGACCGAGATTCCGAAACCTACTGCATCGGTCCCATTGCCGATTACATGTTTTGGTATGGAGAACGTACGAAACTCGACTTAGATCGGGGGCCATGTATGCTTTCTTTGCGAAGCAAAGTGCTATACAATGCCAAGCTGATTATTCGTATAGGGAGTGACCCGAGGCAATATCTTCTTGCAATCGCTAACAAAGAAATCGAATGGACCGAGAAATTTGGTAAGCCGCTTGAGTGCGACTTTCCATATAACACCGTTTTTCCAGGTGTCAACTCCCACCGAAATTATTTGGAACTTCTCAAGAAGTACCTAGCAATCGCTCCTTATCTTCTTCCGAAAGATCCCGGAGATATTTTGAATCGACCTACCATTCGCCATCCTGGTGTGAATACGAGCTTTTATCCTTGAGACTGTTAAAAGCTAACTGTAACAGACCTTACTCCCAGCAATGTTTTTGTGTGTCCAGACACTTTCGATGTCACTTGTATTATCGATTGGCAACATACAGTTGTCACCCCATTGCTTCTTGCTGCTGGCTATCCGAGACTATTTGAGAACCCTTCCCCGAGCCCCCAACAGGCCTAGCGCCGCCCAAAATATCCAGACGGTTATAACACAATGAGTCCCAACGACAAGGCTCAAATCGACGAGCTCATCCGGCGGGAAAGTCTTTTTTATCTGTACCGCGTCTTCAACGGGGGACTAAATAAAATGCATCTCAAAGCTCTACAAGATCCTTTGATTCTAGCACGTCAGCATCTAGTGGATTGTGCAGGCCGCCAGTGGTCGGGCAATCTCATGACCTTACGAGGAGCTTTGATGCGCATACGTGCTATATGGTCCCACATCCCGTGGAAGGATGAGAGTCCTGAATGTCCTATTGAATTTTCAGGGCAGGAAATTGGTGACCAAATTGAAAACGAGCCAATGTGGGACAATTTAAACACGCTTGTTGACCACTGGCGTGATGAACTAGGGGGGGCTTTCAGAGGAGGGCTGGGTCCGGACCGAGCAGTACGACTATGCCACCAAACGAAATCAGTCCCTCAAAGCAGAATTCTCCGATGGTGGCAGTGCAGATGAGCTTGAGAAAATCAAGCGAGGCTGGCCTTTTCAGGATCATGAGGAGTTCTTTTAGTGGATGCGCATCTTAATCATCGTATATTGCTTTACCCAGGCGGCCACAAAAGAGAGAGAGATATATTGCGATGAGTGAACTCGCTACATACACAGGATTTTGCGATACTAACAATACTGGATATAAATCTCACTACCAGCACTTCTCTACCCGCCTATGAAATGCAAGACGCCTCAAGCAAAGCCCTTGCTTATCACCCAGCTCACATCGCTATTGAAAGAAGTAGCAGAGTCGAACGTGTGGACACCGCCGTTGCTGGCAATGTATAGCACGTTCTCGTAGTGGCGGAAGTAGCGGGTGGGATAACTCCAGGACCGAATCGAGCTGCTCTCACCATTAAGGCCTGTCTGTGGGCAGAAGGTGGCGTCCTCGTGAACCAACTTCGTGCCGTCGTTGGCGGCAAGCACGAGCGCGAAATCAGCGTGCCGGATGAAGCTCCCCGGGGTATCGACGGACTCAAACGAGAAGCAATCGCTATTGGCAAGACCAGCGCGAACCGTCCAACTAGCCTGTTTCTTAAGGGCGGTAGTACTAGACGACGAGACAACCTGAGTGTTGATAGTCGCGCCAGTGTGTGCGATGTAGCGCGTCGTGTAACCGGACGTGGTAGCCCGCAGCGAGATCGAGGAACCGACGGTGAGCGCGGTCCCACTAGTCAGTGGCGCGGTAGCGTATTTAGCCGCTACGATGTTAGCCTGCACCGAGTTCTCGGTGGCATCGGTAGGGTAGCCAGAGGTCATGACGCCCTCGTAGAACGTGCCCTGGGCGCCGTTGCTGTTGTCGCCGCCAATGCCAAGGATGATGGCACCCTCTTTGCTCATCGGGTTGTATCCAGACACACTTGGACGAGCACCGCTGTAGTATGTTGACAGGGGACCGGAGGCCGCATTGCCGCCGCGGATGGCCCACTTGTTTGGTCCTCCCTTGACAACCGCATTGACAAAACGGTGGGATATCGACGGATCGCCGGCGTTGTTGGCTGGGCTTGAGCCAGAGAACAGGCCGTTCTCGAGGTCAGCCATGATCCATGGGCCGCTTCCAGCACCGGAGCCCCAGGCGGTGTTGTCACCATAGTAGATGGCTTCCATGTGGCCGTTACCCGTATCGGTACTGCTGATCTCGGCGTTGCCGTAGTCGAAGCAGCAGGCGCCATTGTAGTGGGTTCCATCAAGCACTGCGTACATGCCCTCCGCTTCGTCCCCTGTAGCCGTGCCGCTGGCGGCGTTGTTGCTGTAGCCCGTGCCGGGCGACATGAACACGCCGTAGGCCTTGTTGCCGTTTAGCGTGACTGGTGCGCCTATCGCGCTGGCCAGGTTGTCGTAGCCATTAGCTTCAGGGCCTTTGAATCCGCCGGGTGGTGCCTGTTTAAGATGATTACCGCGGCCAGACTGGTCATAAATGATTGTGATCAAGCAGGTGGTGTTTGAACAGAATTTGTCCTGGGCAGCGGCATTTGCAACCCCACCAGCGGAAAGCGGCGAGATATCGGTCGTGGTGCCGTCGGAGCCACGTTTGACCTGGTAGAGTGCGCCGGTGTAGGCGTTGTACAGGGCGCGAGTGGTGCTGTGCGCGGCGATGCAGGGAGTGTTGCCGGAGGCGTAGATATCGCAGGGCCCTGCTTCAACAAGAGTGCTAGTGGCAGCGAGGCCTAGAACCAGTACACAGAAGCGTTCAAAGCTTCGACGTGAGAACATGTTTGATCTATTGGACCGTAGGTCAGGCAGGCCTTATCGCGTTTGGGCCAGAATGAGATGGTTTAATAAGCTCGGAAGAGAAAAAAGTAGGGCCTTATGCCGTGCAGTGTCCTTCATATTTATATTATCCAGTTCATCCGCCAAGAAACCTTTCTAGAGGAGGAGTGGTAGGGCTGTAATTCTCCTCCAATAAACTTAGCAAGGACATGAATGGTACCTTTCAAACTCCCGATTAATACGGCAGATTTAAGCGGCACCACTCATAGGGCTACTAAGAAGTAGTTTGACGGAATCTCTGGCTTGTGTCTTAATGGGACGGAAGGCTTCGTTCCGCTCCTGATGTTAGCGGAAAGCCTTCTGTATGTCTCAAAGGGGAAGACTATAGAGAGAGTTCCGATTGACGAGATGTCTTGAATGCACCCCACATAATAGTAGCATTAAGCTTGTGCCACCGGGATTTCTCCCTTTTGTTTTCTTCAGGGCCCAACAACCGGCAAAATCCAATTGAACAGATGGCTCATGATTGGACTGCGAGCAGACAAGCCTAACCAGCGTAGGATTGTGGCGGTCCAAGCAGTCTGAAGTTTACTTGCCGGGGATTTGGCGCCCTGAAGATGCGGGACCCTGCGGGGTACCTAGGGTACTTATTCCAATTAAGCATTTATGCCGAGGATACTTGGCCGTGGCTCAAAAGAGCTTAGACTCGGGTGATAATTAATCTAATCATATGATGTAGTTCTATACACATCAACAAGCCTGATCCGACATATGTTGTTTTCAGGGTACACCCACTTTAGACTGCGTGGTATTGAACAGAACGCAGGTTTGTTGCCGATTTGTGAGCTGAGCCGGGTGACCCCTAGGGAAGATGTGCGTTCCTGCGACTGTTTGAAGTACGTTTGTTCGGGCAACAAAATACTGTTGCCTCGGGAGATCCCCCGCAAGAAGATCCTTGCAAGCATTTCCTGCCACTTATCCGCTCAAATACCTTTCCCGGTGCAGAACTAGCGTGATAAATCTCCGGTGGGGAGCGCGAATTCTGCAGAAGTGGCAGGCTCGACAGGGGAGCGTGACCTTGTGAGTTTCTTGACAGTGCGGGGGCTTATCACCCCAGAGCCAGGGCGGTATTGGGAAGACAAAGAAATATTGCTATACACTGGACAGTTAAATGAGAATCGGGGTATAAGAAATAAGTCATAGAATCTAATGAAGACTTAGTTATCTCGATATCCTGCATGTAGTCGAGAAAGGCCCTGTACCGAGGGTCCCCAGGTCCCAACCTTAGAAGTCATGCTTTTTTACCACTAACATGCGCACTATTTTGTCTTGTAGTATCTATTGAACAAGTGGAAATAAAATAAATGCTCAGAAGCCAGCCAACAATATGTCAAAAATATATAAATAAAGGCAAAAAATGCTCACACTCGGAGTCGAACCGAGGATCTCATGATTACTAGTCATGCGCTTTACCACTAAGCCATGCGAGCTGATTGGATGGGAGGTCTGCAGATCTTGGTAACATAAACCAAGTTTGGAGGAATATACGTTGAGAATGGCCATTGGGTGGATTTCGATTTAGAAATTCGATATGTATTCTCTGCAAGTATCATACATTGCGCGGAATTTGCGTGTTGTATGATTCAAACCCCCCACCCATTGCCCATGTGTGAGAAGTCTGGGCTGAATGATTCATGTGGAGGCCTCAACTGAGAAGGAACAAAAAACCACCTGGCTTGCATTCAATACAATAGCATGTTACTACTGTACTTGAGAAATTTGGGTAATTCCCGAAGCTGTTAAGGTTACTAATGAGGATGACAGGGCATAGGGAACCTTGATTTGATGATAGGGTATCCATTTCAATCCTGCATTACTAGTAGTGAGAAATTTCGGATTTGATCAGCGAACATGTTCATGTAAACACAGCCCGTTTGAACCAAAGAATTGAGTTTGAGCATAAAAAAACTCTAAAAGGGTCCGATCGGCATGAGGGGACACTCGACTGCGTACTCCGTAACTGATGACCTGAACATGTCCGCATTCCAAGTCTGCATTAGGGCTGTGTGAGCACTATCTGATATAGATTGAACAGATCCAATATGCTATAAAAAGCCAGGCCGGTTAGAGGTGAAGGCCAAAGAGAAAATATAATTCCAAAGCCTACAAGAACCTAGTTGGATTGTGAATTAACTCGGACCTCATATATATATTTAGTCTCGTGTTTCAATTGGATCAGCCTCAACCAACCTTCATCTGAATCACAATAAAAACTAATCCATTATCGTATTAACTCGCAGAGATAAATAAATGTCTCCATGGCAAATAAGATCATATCTCACCCCGTCAAATGCTGTCAAGGGCTAATTCATTATGTAGTCAAACGTTCGGCTCCACGTAGACACAGCGTGATACCGCTGCGAAAGTGAAATGAGAGATTAACTTATGGCGAATTGCAATATCCGCTCTTGAACAATGCTATAGGCCAATTGAGGCTTGTACTGTTCAACAATAGATATTCAAATTGCTATAATATGCATTCGTAGATAGGTGAGCAGATTAGACAAACTATGGAGGACGGAGATTGGCACTGCGAGGAAGGGTACATGTGCTATCAATCCTGCGGCTTATCAATGATGCCACTGAGCGTTTCAGATAGGAGCCAGGCTGTCGCGGCCTCTACCACGGGATCTCTGTGCCATCAATCACGTTGAAGAACTTGCCCGAGGTCGTCTCCCGAGACGCATTATCAATCTGCACGAGTCAGTCTGCATCCTTCATCCTTCAAGACAGGAAAGGGCATCACTTACTAGGCCTAGAATGGCATCGATACTCTGGCGCTGGGAGTTGGGGGCCTGGGGAAGGCCCATCGCGCGGGCACCCTGGTTGCCGCTCTCCGTTTGCACGAGGCTGTTAGACGGTCAGCTGCCGTCCAAAATCTCCTATCCGGCTGGTGTCTCTGGTGGCTTACCCGGGATGCACGGCAAAGGCAATGAAGCCCTTGTTGGCGCTGTGGATGGCACTGCACGTCCGCCGGAGTTAGCCGATTCTTTCCCAGCCAGGGTAGGCTAAAGCTAGCAGCATCTTACGTGGTGAGCCAGTTCAAACCCGCCTTGGCGATTCCGTACGCCGGAACGATGTGAGTCTTGTGAAGCTCAAGCCAGCCAATCGAACCGGCAGCACTGCTGACCGATACCCACTTGGGGGCCTGGGACTTCTCCAGCAAAGGCTTGATGGCCTGGTACAGAGCCAGAGGCCCGAGCGCATTCACGGTAAACACGTCGGTCACGGTCTCGGAGCTCACCACGTCTAAGGGGATGAAGCCCTTCTCGCCGGCTCCGCCGGCATTAGCCACTACCACATCGATGTGGTCGACGTCCGTGAGAACCTTGATAGCCGCCGCAGGATCGGCCGAGTTGCTGCTTTCAATCTTTACCAGCTGTAGACGCGAGCCATCAGCCTTGGGCAAGGCCTCTAGCTCCTTGACGTAGTCTGCAGCTGTGTCGCGGACACTGGCAATGATGGTGTGCTTAGGCCGGAGTAGGAGGGTTTCCACTAACGTCCGTCCGATTCCTATCCTCCGTCAGCGCGATCCCAATACAAGTGTAGGCATGACTTGCCTCGACTAGCGCCGGTAACAAAGACGACAGTGTTGTCGGAAATAGTCATGGCTGAGGATGGATGATACAAAAGATTCCGGTGGGAGTCGTATCTGGTAGCGTAGCGTTGCGATTGGATCAATAGGCTTGATGAATGGAATAGAAAGAGAAAGAGGAGCTAGGTTCGTGTCAGCCGCCTTTAAATAGCCAGCTATGGAAGGTGTTGAGAGTTTCCCTATATGGGATTAATAATGCTTTATGCTCCCCCATGGATGCTTTGAAATCGGGACCTCAGGATGACCGATCATTGGTAGGGACATGAAATGAATCCTTGTGTAAGACTAAGAGGGAGTATGGACCACGAGCGCTGAGGCCATCCATGTTCATGCATGTCAGATTCTCAATCTCGGATTATTCTCACGACAAGCCCGGGAGCGGACTAGTATGAACCCTTCGGGCCGTCTAGTCTCTTGGTATTCGGAGTACTCCGGTATGGTTTGTCTAATTGGGAACGCCGTGCTAGTCTTCTGCACCTGGTTTGGATGAAGCAACTGTTAGGGATTACTGTTTGTAGGCGCCAAAGATCAGAGGGGAGAGAGTTGTATTAAGAAGAGAGGTGCGAGCTCCCAATCAGCTATCTACCCAGCTCAGCCTAAGACAACGAGGTATCCAAAGTAACAGCAACCATACCAGAATGCGCGGGCAAGTAGAAAGTGTGCTTTGTACGGAAGACCTAGGGTCAACAAATGAGGTATCATCCCGTCTTTTTACCGGGAAAACATAAGACCAAGTTTAAGGTCAAAAAATGCCAGCTTGATATGGTCTACTTTTAAGATCATGTTGGAGAATTCCTCAAAAAAGGGATACTACCCTGTCTGTGACCATGTTATCTGTAGATATTTAAACGACAACCCGCAATTAGGCTCTCACTTTGACCTCTTACGACTCGATCTTTTCTTCCCATCCTTTGTCTTCGAAGTAGACTTTCCTTTACGCTTTTTCTTCCTATCCTCCTCTGATGAAATCAAGTCCGATTCAGGCTCGGAGCTCTCATCGCTTTCAGCATGTCGAAGGTCTGGCTCACTGGACTCTTCGTTATCCGATGATGTACTCGAGTCCGAATCAGTGTCTGAAGGCTGCGTTTCCTTGAACAGCCCTCTCTCAGGCCCTCGGCCTTTGGAAGGACGGCTCGGCTGCCCAAACGCATATACTGAGCGACCCGGATCCGTGTTGGGTACCATGGGCACCACCATGGGTTGGCTCTGGAAGTTATCGGCGCGCCAGCGATGCTCTTCGGCAAGTTGTGAATCATTCTTTCCCTGGCTGAGGGAGAGGAGGTATCTGTCGAATTCCTCGGCGGCGGCGGCGACTCGGGTGAATTGTTCCTTACCGAGGATGATATAACTTGGTCGTTTGTTTTTCCGTGCGTCGAAGGCAGCCAGAGCAACGGCTGTCTGGAATGCGTTGCGAATTTGTCTACAAATAAAGGGCTTTGATCAGCATAAAGTTTTTGGTTGAGTGTGTAAAATGAATGATGGCAAGTTGTACAGTACCTTCCATTCCAGTTGAGCAGGTTCTTATCTTTGATCTCCTTGAAATGTTCTTTTGCGAACCGGATGATTTCTTTCTCCCGGATATCGAAGTCCGGATTCTGCGCCTCGAACTCCTCCCTGATCCGCCTGATGTTGTTCTTCCATATCTGGATGGATGTTTTCTTGTCCAGTTTCGGATAATACAAACTGACATGGATTCGGGACTTGAATGCCCGGTCGATTTGGCCGACGCGATTTGTGGTCAGGAATAGGATCCCCTATCTGGGTTAGGAGAGACTCATAAAGTATCATTGCTGGATGTGTTAAACTTACACTGTAGTATTCCAAGGTTCGAAGGAAAACTTCGTAATGGAATTTGCAATTAATATCATCTATATAATCAACAAACGGAGGGACGGACCTACCTGAAACAATAGCATTGCGAGGGAGGTCGGTATCATTGCGTCGCTTAAGAAAAACACTATTGTGAAATTAGCAAGGCCTTGATGAAGAACTTGAGGAAGGATGCAACAAACTCGGCTTCGTCAAGAAGGAGAACGCATCCCCATTTATGAGCAAGCTGGAAGTTCCGCTCCAAGTTCTTCTCCACAAATTCAGCGTTGTCTCCTATGTCACCACATGTGACTGGGAAAAGAGGCCGTTTGGTATGATCGGCAACGCATTCAGCTGTACTAGTCTTGCCAACTCCCGGTTCGCCGTGCAGCAAAATAATCAGACCCTTACCTTTGCCCTGAATAAGGTCGACAGATGGCAGAGAACCCCCCTCGCCCTTCAGACTTGCTTGGGATACTCTCATGATTTTCAACCATAGCCAAGACTGTTTCTTTAATACTGTCATTGATAACCAAGTTTTGCCACCCATCGGTATACTGAACATCGCTAATGCTCTCGATATCGAACGTTGCCCATTTGCGAGAACGGAGAACAAACCCATAGACCTTAAAGGGAAGTAGGGCCTTCTGGTCTCGGGTCAAGTCTTCCACATATCCCGTGGAGTCAATTAAGCTCCCATTCAGGACTTTGAATTCCTGTTCTTCTTTCTCATCGATGCCGTAGTCTGGGGCAATCCAGTCGTTCCCACAGCAGCCTTCTGAGCCACATGGAATACAATGGAAATAACCCAAATTCGTCTCCCGGGCGTCATGGTCGACTAGACTATCCAGTCCAATCTGTGGTTTGTTGTCTGACATCTCTAGAAACGCCAGTTGGAAATCAATGATTACCTGGGATTCCACTTGTTCCGGATGCTTATCCAGGGTTAACCCACGGTATTGCTTATGTGCTGTCTTTTGTGGGTTCGATAAAACTGCGAAGTTTTCACCTCGGGTGACCATCGCTTCACGAATGCTTTCATGGTCCGGATCGCATTGCAATGGATATACCGGGAGAGCAGTCATATCTCGCTCACCTTCATACTTCCGGATCTGGAATGTACGGTTTACTGGGCCATATTGGGTCCCATCAAAGTCGATGTAGAAGCACTCCATTATGAAACTTCCCGGGGAGTATCCTTGGTCCTTCAATTTGACCCCAGCATAGTTTGCCGGGGGGTCAGCCACGATGGAGTAAAGCGGTCTCCCTCCCGTTACCCGAATCACCCGGTATCTAAAATTCGCGTTAGCAATCCACCATCCATCATATGATTCCGATTTAGTCGGAAGGCTCACAGTTGGATCTGTTTTGTAGCGGGAGTGCGGACGGTGGTGCCTGGTCGAAACAGATGCCAAAGATCACAGAATGCTACTTTGCGAGCCGTGCCCTTCTCAAAATCCTCCCTTAACTTGAAGACACGACCTAAATGATTTGCCATAAATTCATTCAATAACCGTAGATGTTCAAGGGCCTTTGGACTCTCCGTTTCTTTTAATGGGCCAAGTGCCGTTGAAGGGACTTGACTTTCAGCTGTGCTGTCACGATGGATCTGTTCGAGTTTCTTTTGATGTTCCAAGAGCTCCTTCCAGAACAGAGTCAACAGCTTAAAGGGCCTCATGAAGGTGACTTTATGCTCGTGGGGACCGCGCGACGGGAGCTGGTCTGTAACTTCATTCAAAACCTTCAAAAGAATTGGCGAGCGAAGCCGAATCTGAAACATAGGAAGGCTGGCCTCTTTGCCATCAATGATCACTTTGTTCCCAGCGCCAACCCCGGGGGACTGTTTTGTCGTTACCGATCGCGCCCCTCTGAACGATAGAGGTTCTTCGATTAGAGTCTCAATGATGCTCTGTGGGCTGTTGTCGATTTCCGGGACGTGCTTCCACTCGCCTTTCGAATCAGGTACGTCGCATGCAACGGAGTACTCTTGCCAGCTGAGCCATTTGGTGGTAGCCTCGCTATCAGGCACCTTGCTTTTGTTATAATTGGTAGGGTCCAGTTTCTGCGGTCCAAGAATTGCAGCCTCGAGTGCCTCAAGACGGTCGTGAAAGAGTCGATGGAGCATTGCCTCGTGAAAAAGTCGCGCTGGGACGTCTTGAATCCGCTCTTGTAAAGGACGTTGCTCAACGAGCGTGGTGACTCTGTTCCAGTGTTCAACCAACCATGGAGCATCTTTCGCATCCTCGAGTCGAGGTTCTGCTTCATTCCTCTCATTGAGTTGGGCATTTTGAGGTTCATTCTCTGTCTTGCTAGGCCGACCGTTCTCCGCCGAATCAGAGGATAAAGAGGAAGACGGGGTGCTTGTTTCAGTCTGAGACGAGACTGTGTTGCTGTCCACGGCGGGTGTGAAGACACTCGGTTCGGAAGACAGAAAGGAGTGAGGATTTACACTGTCGACGATCGCTGTTGCCATGATGCGAAAGCTCCTGCAATGCTTCTTGAGCCTTCGAAAGACGAGGAAATTCCGAGATCACTGAGTTGGTCACTAAGTTGCGCCTGTGATACTCTGGTCAGTTTACCTCACATATACACGCGCTGTACTGTAACAGGTGTCAGCGCGTCAGCCTTGCTTTAAGGCAGCTGAAAATCTCACCCCGCCAGAAAGACTTTTGCTTTTTATGCTCGGACATCCTTTTCGACAAGTAATATTTTGGGCTCGAACTGTTTGCCTATCTCCCAGCGCCTAGTGCTGCAACTAGTACAATATAGGGATTAGCCGGACCAGAGGAAACCACCTGGACGGGGAAGTTCTATTTTGGTAGTAGCGCCCCATCGGCATATACACGTGTCTCCACTAGACACAAATCCTTCCTAATTGTTCCTTTGCCATCCCTCCTGGCCCTTGCTCGCCATCAGCAAATACTTGTCAGCTTTCTCCCCTCTAGCGTGGTGCGATGAACTGCGATCGAATGCGCTCGCCCCCAAGCCGCGCTATATTTAGTTTGAGTGTCAGCAAAGGACGTGGAAATGATCTTGACAGGGAGTACTTGGGGCTTCGGGCCAATGATTGATCTGATGTTATCCCTCAAGCGTTGGAGCGCCCAACAGCCTGAAGGCAACCTGCCTACCCCTCACCATTCTTCCGCTTAGTGGTCGGAGTTGACCTGATTCTTGAGCTGGCAGGGTCATAGGAGGGTTTGGTCACTCCATCAGCTAAGTAGTAAGATCATCTTTGCGTTTTCTTCAGGCAACATAGGCCACGAACAGGATGGCAAAACAACCCGTAACCAAGTTCCCAGTTCGTCATTCAACAAATATCCCCGCGAGCTTCATTGAGAATCACCAAACCACTGCCGAAGACGAAGAAAAAAATCAAATTTGTTCATCGCATCAACTCCTTCCTTCCCGAGAAGGACGCAGCTCAGGATGAGCTAGAGTGTAAGCAACGAATGTGTGTGTATTCACCTTCCGCTCATCATATGCCGAAAATCCCGGAACCTATCACTTATTATCGAGGATTCTGTTGTTAGTGAGGAGTCTTTCAAAAGTACGACCAACAATGTTCAGGCCTTAAATGAGGCACTAGAGGCTTTCCGCCTGAAATTGTGCAAACCTGGCCAATTCCAAGTCAGCCAGCCTATGCCATCAGGCCAGAAAGTACACTGGTCGGATGTGATGAAGGAGCTGCAAAATGCCCAGAACTACTACAAGACCCGTCATGGAGGTGGACCGATTGGCAAAGCGCTTTCCAAATTCGTGAGATATACGGAGTCGCTGAAGGGGTGGTTAGACCTGCTTCCTGCTGGGGATTATGGGTCTACTATATGCGGTACGTATGCACCTATCATATTCGACACGATCGATGCTAAGCGCCCGAGGATTGTACAGGAGGACTCAAGCTATTGTTATCGGTATGGCGACAGGAACATTCCAAACTGAATTGATTCTCAACTTCCAAGCTCCGACTGACGCCATTTAGGCCCTTGATGAAACTCACAAGCTGGATAGCTTAGTTTTTGTGGCACTGTCGGACATACCCGAGATATTGTACGAAGCCCGGTTCTACCTGGATGCGTACAGAGTTCCTAGGTTGAGTATTAATATGCTGGAAAAGATGGCTGACCTATGTAACCACGTTCTTATTGTGCTGCGGGAAATTGTTTATTACTGTCTCGAATCAAAGTCTAGTAAGTACACATATTTGCTCTTCTCTAGGAAGGTCGCGTCTCTAATTTTCTTTTTTTTTCAATCTTTGCATAGAGCATTTTATTTCGACGGTCTTCAAGGGGCTGAATTCGAAAGACTCTCTACGACAGACGATTTCCGACCTCAGGGAGCGCGCCACCTCTCTTTCTCGAGAGGCAGAGCTCACGAACCATCAAACTATACAGAATATTAGCGAAGATATTCAAGGCATCAAGCAGAGTTCTCACATAGAAGGTAGTCGCACGGACATTTATGTCAATCTATACGTGCTCTATTCTGGACACCCATCTCTCGATAGCAAAGGCGAACTTCTGTCCGACAGTATGGATGGTCAGTATTATGCAACTGTCAAACTTCTTTACAAGTTTTATGAAATCTGAACGTGGAAAATGAAAACTAGCGTCCCCTCGATTGTCTCTCGCCGGCGTCCAACTTCAAAACTCCATCAGTGCAAACTCTTCCCCAGGGCTCCAGCCTTCGCGGAGTCCATCCATAACCGACCTACCAGATCTAAGAGATTTGCTCACCCTATGTGTCAATTCTCAATCTAATGATCATTTAAATGTTCCCCAACGGACTCATCGCCGACATCAATCTTTCCCCAAGCCCGAGGAGCCCCTGATCACCACCGAAGGCCTTTTGCACCTCCTCGCATTCGACGAAACCAAGGTTGCCAGCGACCGGGGCACAAACGTTCACCCAAGCAGGTTCGACAAGCGCGAATCCCAAAAACTTCCCTTCATTACGAGATCCACCCAGTTTCAAAACTGGATCAACAAGACCGAGGGGAAAAACGCCTCCCTACTCGTTCAAGGTCACTTCGACTCTGAAGATGGCACGTCGGCTTTGACACACCTCTGCGCAAGGATCGCTTACGAGTCCGCTCCCGATCCCAAAGTACTGATTCTCACTCACTTTTGCTCGCTCCACACGGCCAGTCGCGCGGAAATCGGTCGCCGGGCTGGTGCCACGGGGTTAATCGCCAGCTTAATCGGTCAGCTTCTCTCCTACGACACCCATCGAGTCCAATTTGATCTATCGCAAATCACGAAACATGCATTATCACGGATCGAGGAGTTTTCATTGAAGAAACTGTGCAGGCTCTTCGAGATGCTCATCGCCCAGGTTAAGAGGGGAATCACGATTATCTGCATTATTGACAATATCTCATCGTATGAGACGGACGAAGCGGTGGGTGATCTGGAGAGGTTGGTCCATTGTCTGCAAACCTGGGTCATACGGGCAAATCAGACTTCGTCGAAGCCAAGGATGAAGTTGTTAATCACCGACACGAACCAGACCACCCGGGTTTACCGGTATTTTCAACAAGATGATATTCTGGACCTTGAAGGTGAATCGGGGGATGATTGGGAGGATGACTCTGAGGAGGACAGCTGGATAATATAATCGGGGAGGGGCCCACCGTTCGCAAATTGGTATTATTAGTACAGCATAGATAGTATGGTCTTGTTTAGCTGATGCGACTACTACCATTTGGTGGTTTTGCAAAGGTCGGCATTCATAGACCATTTTCAAGGTCCACTCTGAGTGTATTCAATTAGTACGGCACGTGGATCAAAGCCATAGTTCTGTGTTGACTGGACGGAAGAATTATGATGGACGGTGAAATCCGTTGACTGCAGCTGCGACGGTGTAGATATTTCACGATATCTGGCTATGCTCGATAGCAGTTTCGTTTTGGAATTGTCTTATTTCCGACTTCCTCTGCACGTGTACGAATATTCTTATATATTAAATCGTAGTCTACGTTTTCTGGTCTCAAATGTTCTCCAAGCTCTGTAGCTTGACCAATTCGAAGTATATTCCCCCCAGCCCCATTAACTCCTGGTGCGTCCCCTGTTCCACAACATTGCCTTCGTGCAGCACTTGGACCGGTTAGTCCAGTTATCAAATAGAATTGAGACCTGTTCTCACCATAAATACAATCGGCCTTCTGTACCGTACTTATGCGATGCGCAACAGCGACTGTCGTTCGGCCTTGAGCTGCGGCATTCAGTGCATCCTGGACGACCTTTTCCGACTCCGAGTCGAGCGCGGAAGTGGCCTCGTCCAGGAGGAGTATGCGTGGATCACGGAGAAGCGCTCGCGCTATAGCTATCCGCTGTTGCTGCCCGCCAGAGAGCATGCTGCCTCTCGCGCCTATAACCGTCGAGAAACCATCACTAAGCGGAACGTTAGTATGCCTTCGTTCGAATCCAACAGACAAGAAAAGGCTGTAAGGGAAGAGGTGGCTTACGGTAGGGAGACGATGAAGTCGTAGATGTTGGCGTCCTTGCATGCTTGGATGACTCTCTCCTCGGAAAGATTATCGTCGTCGGTCCCGATGATGATATTCTCCCTAATTGTTCCGTGGTATAGTGTCGGCTCTTGACTAACTAGAGCAAGATGGCTCCTGTAGCTCTTGACATTCAACTTTGAAATGTCTTTTCCATCAACCAAGATTTCTCCGGCTTCTGGATCGAAGAACCGCTCCAATAAAGAAATGATGGTGCTCTTCCCACATCCACTTGCCCCGACAAGACCTATATATTGTCCCGTTTGTACACTTAAGCTGATGCCATTCAGAACCACTCTCTCCGGTCGGTTAGGGTATCGGAAATAGAGATTTCGTATCTCTAAGCTGCCATCCATTTTCGGTAACTGCTCACCAGTCTCTTGATGGGCGTCAATGGTGACAGGTCGACTTAGCAGCGTTTTGATATCTTGGGCTGCTTGACGGGATTTGCTCATATCTGGCGCAAAGGAGAAAATCGCTCCGGCGCTGAATGCGCCGGCGATAACCGCAGCGTAAGCAATAAAGAACTGCACCATTGAATAGCCTTCGTGGATGACCAGACTTCCTCCATACCAAAAGGCTAGCGCGATGCAGAGAAAGTTGGCCGACTGGGAAGCCGCATAAAACATGGATAACTTTAGCGTTACAATGACTGACTTTTTTCGTTGCGTTTCCAGTATGGTGTGGTACTCCTTTTGCACATGGGTCTCGAGATTTAGCGATGCAACCGTCTTGATAGCAGAGCTTGCCTCACAAGCATAGGTTGCTGAGGCGGCATATGCAGCCTTTGACTGTTGAGCAATTTCCCCAAGGAGTTTCAGTCGGACGAGACCACAAGTAAGAACGATGGGAATAGTTGCGGTACAGACGAGTCCCAGCTTCCAACCTATAGCAATCGACAAAGCCACTCCAGCAACCAATGTCGTCGAGACAATGAATATAGAGCCCAGTGTGACTCCACTCATCCCAGCAAGGTTGGTAGCATCCGTGGATAATGCCGCTGTAAGCGAACCGGCCGAGAAAACAGGTTTGTCGAACATGAAGATATCCTGATGGAGAATTGCGCGGAAGGAAGAATCTCTGGCACGGTGAATCAAGCGCTCGGAGCAGTAGGCAAAACAAAGACCTGATGCTCCCCACCCCAGAAATGCAGTACCTCCCAGCATCAGATACATCAAGCTCCAGAAGTTGACATCATGGCGGAGCTGTCCATACATATTCGGAGGCAGGGATAATGCCGCGATAGCTTTGCCGTAGAATACAGCCTGCCTGGTGGGATACTAGTCAGCATCAATACTCCGCACACCGCATGATGAGGAGTCTTACGTGGGGTTTCCTGCGCCTGTAATGACCGAAAAGAACAGGCCCCAAAGCATTGTGAATGTTTCTTGTTTGTTGAAGTTGGCGACGAACTTGATCAACTCCCATAAGGAGTATCTGCCGTCAGCCTTGCCGTCTGAATCTCCCTCCTGGCCTTCAGAAACTGGGTCCTGGTCAATTTGGTACGCGTGCTTGTTGGACTCATTTCCCTCATCTTTCGAACCGGGGAGTTCCGCATCTACATCGAACGTGGACTTTTCTTCACTGGGGCCATCATCTCTCTCCGTGGACATGCGCTGCTTCTCCACCAACTCGTAATACACTGATCGTTTCTCAAGTAGGTCGCTGTGGGTTCCTTGCTCAACAACACCCCCGTGAGACATAACAACAATGTTTTCTGCCGCCTTGATAGTAGATAGTCTGAAAAGTGATCAGCGTGTGTCGCCAATATTAAACGAAAAACGCATACCGATGACTGATTGTGATCGTTGTCCGACCTTTAGCAGCAACATCGAGCGCCGCCTGTACCAGCCTCTCGGCCTGGGCATCGAGAGCCGAAGTAGCCTCATCCAGTAGCAAGACTTTTGGATTGCTAATAATAGCCCGTGCGATGGCGACTCGTTGCTTTTGTCCCCCCGAAAGCAAGGAGCCCCTTTCTCCGACACTGGTGTGGAAGCCCTTCGGCAAGTCGGAGATGAAATCAAAGCAGTTCGCCTTCTTGGCGGCATTGAAGATAAGGCTTTCTATCACATCAGGAGGGGAATTTTCGTGCTCGGTGCCGACCAGACCAAATCTGATATTTTGGAATACAGTTGTGGCGAAGAGTGTGGGCTGCTGTGTCACGATTGCTATTTGTTGGCGATACCACTGCAAATTAAGAGACGCGATATCGTGGCCATCGAGTACTATTGTGTCAATATTAGCACGGTTCGTCGCGCACAGGAAAGACCTCTCACAAATTTCGCCGTTTAGTGGTTCATAAAATCTTTCAATCAAGCCTGCTAACGTACTTTTCCCACAACCAGAGGCACCGACAATGGCCGTCGTCTTGCCAGCTGGAAATCGAAGATTCACATCATCTAAAGTGAGGACATCCGGTCTCGAGGGGTAAACATAGCGAATGCTCTTGAGCTCAATCGTCCCGGACACAGCTTCCAGTCTTCTTCCTGCGGTGGAGGATGGATCCAGTGGTGATTCCCTAGATACTGTTGCAAGAATCTTTCCTGTGGCTGCTATACCGGTTGAAAACGCTTGGAAGTTGGGTGCTATGTTACCGAATGTGAACGCTCCGGTCAAGGTAGCAAGGAGGATGGTGATCAGCGCCCCCAGCTCCACGTCTCCAACAACCAGATAACAAGATCCTTGCCAAAATGTCAGTCCATAGGTCCAGAAGATGACACCATTCATGACGGCCATCATGGCCGCAAGAGCAATGCGACTTCTAAGACCATATTTCTCGGCCTGGGTGAGAAACTTTTGGTACCGATCGGCCAATTTGTCTTGAATCCCGAACGCAGTTACGTGCCTGATTGAACTGATGGCTTCCTCCGCAGCTGTCGATCCGTCTGCATATGCCGCCAGTGACTTGTGGGTATACTTGACCATGAATGAAGAGAAGAAACTCATTGATCCAGTTTCTGCGACATAGGCCGATATCAGAATAAGCGCCATACGCCAACTTTTCACGAAACTGATGATGAGCGCTGCCCCGAAGTTGGAACAGGAGTACAAAGTCAGAGATAGCTTGCCGGTCAACGAATCTTGGATCAGATTCATGTCCGAGGTGATTCTGGTTGTGATCTCTCCAGCTCCTAGGACATCGAAGAATGCGATGTTTTGGCGAAGGATAGCGGCGAGGTATTTCTCTCGAAGTCTTTGGGTGATCTTTTCTCCTCCAACCATGAATCCGGCTGTCGAGATGTAGACCGAAACAAATTGTCCGATGGCGATATAGACATAGTAAAGGGCGAATTTCGCGACCAGGGATGAAAGGTGCGATCCTGAAGACGTTCCAATGAAGAACTCTTTGAATGCTTGAGCCAAGCCTCCCAAAAGGAGCTATATGAGGGATATCAGCTTGGGGGGTAGAATACCGGCGGAGAGCAGCTCACAAAGGACACAGGTTGAAGGGCACCCCCAATGATGGCTGCAATTGAGCTGATAACCAGAAGAAGTAATTCATAGGGTGTTGTGCATGTATACAAAAGAGCCAAGCGGCTCATCTGCGACTCTGGAATGTCGATTTGTCGCCTAAGGACCTCTTTTTCATCGTCCTTTAACTCCAGACGGAGCGTCCCGGGAGAAGAGACCCGCATTTTCCTGACATGCTGATTTCACCTTCGGAAGTGGGTTTGTCGACAACCGCTTGCCAGAGGCATTGCAACAAGCGGGTGGTCAAGATGAAGTATTGATTCCAATGCCATCTCTTGGTATGTTGGACCAATTAAAAGCAGCCATCACCGGCCACTCATCATGACTCATATCACACTATCATGCACTTAATTGTGCCATCCGAGAAATCAGCAAATAAAGGGCTCGCGGCAAGTACCCTGGTCCCGGCGACATCCAGATAAAGTAACATAATGTGGGGCCGAGTCAACTGCCCGCAACGCGAACCCACCGAATAAAGCCCACTCCGAGAATTGGAGTGTAAATTGTTTGCTGAATATGGCTCGACATGTAAGGACTCGTTCTAAATTGCAATCTACTCCACAAAGCCACCCACACATACAAGGATTCGGCAGTAACGCTTAGGATCCTCCAGATGCGCCATAGATTCAGGTCCAATCATCGGTAGCAGGACCGACGGACTCCGCTCCCCTAGCTCCGCAGCCCATAGCCAGGATTAGGGGATCCTTGCTCTCCATTACCACGACGGGTGAATGTTTGAAAAGACGCGCCAAGTCGAACCACCATATCGCAGAAGGCCGTCACATGACCTAGGGCAAAAAGGTACAGTTTACACCCTAGGCATCAATTATATGCAAACATTGCAAACCTTCCAGCGACATCTTTTCAAGATCACGTGTACCCTATCTAGAATTTCTTGAGCCATCACCTTATCTCGTGTCACCGCTGGGTTTATTGCCGTTAATACATCCTCGACCTTTATCACTCTCGCGCCTTTCACGACTAATCTCTTCCCAGTGATCCACCTTTTCTTCCCAATTATCCTCCTGTCGACCCTATTCGCACATTATGGATCACACGCGCGATCCCTGTCCCTGGGTTGCCCTGAGCGACTTTGGCGGTGCCTTCGCTATGGGTGCTATTGGAGGTGCTGTCTGGCATGGTGTTAAGGGATTCCGCAACAGCCCGTACGGTGAGCGCCGGATAGGTGCCCTCACAGCAATCAAAGCCCGCGCCCCCGTTCTCGGCGGTAACTTCGGATGTTGGGGAGGTCTTTTCAGTATTTATGACTGTTCAATTAAGGGTATCCGCAAGAAGGAAGATCCCTATAACGCTATCATTGCTGGTTTCTTTACTGGTGGCTCCCTTGCTATCCGTGGTGGTTATAAGGCCGCCCGAAACTCCGCTATTATGTGTGCCGTCTTCCTCGCTGTCATCGAGGGTGTCGGTATTGGTTTCCAGCGCATGATGGCCGATAACACAAAGCTCGAGGTATGTTGAATTTTTGATCTTCCGAGTATACAATTGGATGTGTCTGCTAACCATGGACATTATTAGCTTCCTCCCCTCCTGCGTCGGAGCAGAAGGCCCACGCTTGAATTCCCTCCTCGGTTCATATCTTCCTTCGATCACCATCAACACATCCTCCCTTCTACCTTTGTCTTCATAACAACATCTTCGCATCGATACTCTCTCTCCTCAGGCGTTCGGTTGATATCATTGTTCCTAAACGACATAGCACAGAGGCTCCCGTTTTGTTCCTACTTTCCCCCTCGCTTTTAATACCGCGCCCTACGGTGTCGAAGCATTGTACATTAAAGACCGAAAATTCATGCTCACGGCTGGTTCTAAGACTGGTATATGTCTTTTCATGGCCGGGTGGCTAAACCACAAAATTTCGTTAACATTTGTTTTCTTCGCCCTTTAGATAACTGATGAAATAGACAATACAAGCCGCATGTCGCTCGCGATCCTGCTAATAACCCGTGGACCGAATAGTGCTCACAGATAGCAATGCGTAGTCTATCATCTGCGCCTCTTCGATCAGCTCTCAATCACTACGACGTAGATCGGGATGCCAACTGTATGTAGTTTATGGACCCACTTGTTGTATGGTCCTCCAAGGCTGAGGCCGCAGGACTCTACCCGGATCGCTGAAGGCGGTCACTTTAGTACTTCAATATTTGAAGTCGAATTTGGAATACCAAGTGCTAGTTATATGCTATAATTGCTATAATCAGCGACTAAGTGGTCAATAACATAATGCATTCGCTGACCCACTACCGGGTACCGCAAATCCAGCTGATACCGGCCTTTCTCAAGGACCCGTCTCCATTTATCTTAGAAAATGGCCCGGCTAGGCAATTCATGGATGCTGTTATTATAACCCGCCAGAATTCACTCAAGTAAAGACGGGAATCCTTCGGTATCTCGCCGAGTCCTCGCCTCCGGTCTAATACTAACTGCTGTCATTGCAGTCGTCCGAAGAGCACTCGCTTATGGTAGTGCCAGACCTACCACACGGGACACATTTTCTTGTTTCCCGGCCTATTAAATCCTATTTGGGCATTCGCTCTGGGGCTCAGGCTTGTAGAACTCTCACATTGTGGGTATTTTACGGATGCCGCAATAAGATCCATGGATATCCCAAACTCAGCATGGCATGTCGCTTTTGTCACACGAAACCTGGATTTGCAATCAGATTTGCAATCATTGTTCACTTTCATTCTATTACTTTGCTGCTAGCACCGATCAGGCGTGGTATTCAAAATCTTTTTCGAAAAAGTTGCTTAAAAGGGTTCGCCTAGCGAAGATTCTGCATCACGATACCCTTCGTAAAAGTAAAACTTTCTTCTCCTAGGATCTCAAATGCTGGAGATGACCAGTCTTGGATGAGAGTATCTCTATCTGTAAGTCCCAGCAGTGATTGCAATAGAGTGGTTGTGAAGAAAAGGGCTGCCGATAGTGGTAGAGAGGTAGCAGGCACTTGTTCCAATTTGAACATGAAAGGGAAGCTGCTGTAGATCTCCTGCGACAGGAGCGGAATAGCAGCATATGACCGGGCATGTTGTAATTTGAAAATACCGTCTGGGAGCATTGCGGGGACCATGATGTCGCAATTGTCGATGATTAACCGGTTGGCTAGAATGCGGGCTAGGCGATAGTAGTTCCACATTCGAGCATACCAAACGTCCTGGTAAATGTATTGTGGCCCTTTAGGAAGCTCCTGATACGCCCACGACGCAGGCAATGAAGCTGCCCAGTTTCGGAGGGTTTGATCACTTTTTATAGCGATTTCAACTAGCTGGCCAGGTGGGAAAAAGCTCTGGTTGGCCAACACACGAATATTCACCAAGGTACTCAGAATAGCAAAGAGTCTCATTGCTGACAACAAGGGATCCTCGTCGGCTTGTGAGGTATTCGATGACGCTCCAAAGCGACCTGGTAATTCCAGTAAGAAGTGCGGAACCGTCTTGCCACTGATAAGACACGCCAGTGTCTTGACAGTACGAGTAGTTAGTACATTCCTTGCTCTAATGGCATACCAACGTACTGTGGTGTAACATATCTCTATAATTTCTTTCACCGGTGAGACTGGTAGACCGTTTGTAGAACACAAATAGCCCAAGAATGCAGCAGCGCCGTGAACATGCTTTTGCCAGGCATATGAAGAGGAGTGTCTATCACATGTTATCATCTGCAACACCAACCATCCGTCAGTCCGATGGGTAAAGTTGTATTAGTAGGATTTCAGAACACAGAACCTCGAAGATAGACAAAATGAAACTTCCAGCTACAGATTGTTCAATCCCACCGCTCTGATGGCCAATGGTTGCTTTAGTGAGGATCTTTATAGCAAGGTTGTATTTTCTGCGCGCCAGATCCATCATATCGGGATCTTTGTGGACAACAGCGAGTGCAGCGAGGCCAACAGAGGTGAGGCTGACAGTGACGGAAGATGGGTGCTCCGCACCGGAGTCCATCCACTTCTTGCATTCTCCACCCAAAATCGCAAAGTTGTCAGAAAATACTTTTTGTGCAAGTTCTTCGACGTTAAGTGTGGATTTGGTTACGACTGGGCTCCAACACGTGGTATGCTTGTTAACCATGGTCCGCCTAGTACTTGAAGCATGCAACCTTCGAACTGTCGATTTGGTCTGATCGCGAAAAAGCAGATCTGACTGAGACCTATAACCAGTACAGTCTAGACCAGCTCGGGCGCACTGGCTGCATCTTGGTCGGAGGAGGTTGCACTATGGAGAGGTTAGCGTGGCGAACAAAGCTGATGAGAGTGTTTTGGAAGTGGTGAGCAAACCTTGATTCTCCTAGATCTACAGTTCCCACAAGCCGGGCTAGCTCTGGCAGACGCCATGGATGGTGGCAGAATGAGGTTCCAAAAATGATCCAGTAAAGAACGTTGCGACGGTACCAGCACTGCCTCTTGGGCACCAAAAACTGGTCAGTTGACAGATACGAAAATGACCGACGGTGTATCTTTTATGCGGCTCGAGACATTAGAGAGACGGTCAGATATATTGCGAGTCTTGAGTTGATCTTGAGTGTCCAGGCGAGGGTGGAGTAAGAACAAACGGCTCCTGATTGGCTAAGCTTATAACGCTAATCCACGACTGACTTACCTAAATGGGAATGGTGCGAACCTTGCTGTTGCCTTCCCGCTGATCTCCGAGACAGCCATGGAAGTGGGATAGCCTTGCACTATACTACGATTGACTTGTCTGAATGGGAATAGAGTGTACAGTGGGGTCTGATTATTTGCTATTTCATGAATGAGTTGCCCAATATAGACACCGCCGATGATCCTACACAGGACTATATATTCTGTCACATTTCTAGCTAAGAAAGATGGCGAGACTGTCTTCGATATTGTTATCGCATTGGAAATATATTTCTCTTCCTTGTGTCACCCCATATAAAATTCGCTTGAAGCATCACGTCCATCTAGTATGGAGCCTATCCGGAATGTCGCACTCTTAGGGGTTAGTTTCCTGCTACGAAATATCTTCGTTTGTTATACTGATACGCGGTCAACAGAAAGGATGGCTGGGATCTGCAATCTTGGAGCAGCTCGTGAATACTGGCTTTCAAGTCACAGTGTTGAGTCGCGCAGCTCGCTCTATGGATGAACCGCCTTCCAGCACCAAGACTGTGCAAGTCGATTATTCATCTATCAACAGTCTTGTAGCTGTTCTCCGGGGCCAGGATGCTGTTGTATCTACTGTCGGAACATCTGGTATTAGCGTACAGAAGACGGTCATCGATGCCAGCATCCAGGCTGGCGTTAGACGCTTCATCCCTTCCGACTTTGGGGCGCTTACCACCAGACCTGGAGCTGAGACACTTCCACTAAACGCTTTATGGATAGACATCCAGAAGTACCTCAAAGAAAAGGCGCTGAGCGGACAGATCGAGTACACACTCTTTGCTGTTGGCCCCTTCTTGGAATTCGTCATGTCGATGCCGTTTTTAACCGATCCGCAGACTCAAACTGCCCCAGTCTATGACAACGGTGTGCATACTTTCAGCTCAACTAGTGTGTCGAGTGTTGGGAAAGCCGTTGCTGGTGCTTTGAAGAATGCTACTGAGACCAAAAACCGCCTGGTTAGCGTCCACGACATTGTCCTGACTCAAAACAAAGTCTTGAATTTGGCAAAGAGGTACTCGCGGCCTGATGACAAATGGATCGAGAATCCAGTGGACGCAGCGACTGAGCTTGAGACAATTCTCGAAAATACCAAGCAGAGTGGCCTGGACCTCTTCAAAACACTTGCGCTGCTGAAAGCTGCGCTTTTGGGTGGCAAATTCGAAGCCGAGTTCAAGATTTTGGATAATGACCTTGTTGGAGTGCGCCTTCTCTCCGATAAGGAATTTGAGAAGATATTTGCCACGGCTTTCAAGACAGGCCAGATGATTGCACAAGAGGACCTTCAGGCAAATGTTGAGGGGATTTGAGACGAGGCTTAGCAAGAAGTTGAAAAAAATGTCGCAGATGTTATTACGTAGTGTCTTCTATTTGTGTGGTTCCTGTGACCGAGTGCTCTGAAGAACGGATGCGAAGAGAAGAGATTCATTTTTATTTTATTTTACATTTTCTTTCGGATGTTCCCCTTAATACAGCCAGCAAATGTTCCTGGTCTGGTAGGACTTCGCCATAGGCACCATTTTACGAGGGGGATAACCAAGGAAAGGTAGGAAAGGCGAGAAGCTTAGACCCAATTGTCCGACACACCCACTTGCCCCAGGTGGCAAAGTACTCCGCAACCCCTTGCACTTTTAATATCATTGAACGAGGCTTAACGAGAAACAAGCACTGGCTAATCATTTTGGCGCCCACTGTCAAAACGATAGCTCCACAAAATATCGTGGCAACAAAGGTGGCTGAGTTGGTGGATTATATGGACCGATTTGGACCCTTGAATGGATAGAACATACGATGTTGGACAAAAGACCAGAGCGTTGAACATAAAAGAGCATATCTTTTGGAGAAGTTACTCGAGCTCTTCAGTAGTAGATAGTTAACATCCGGAAGTCATATCATCAACGTTTTAATAACCAGCTGCTTTGGTTGTAGATTTCTCTAGGCGAAAAGGACAATGCCCAGGTGAAAAATCGCCACAGGTAACTGACGTAAAATGCGTCTCTATTATATTGCCGGGCAGCTGCGGATGAATGGATACATAATCCTGGGGGCCATGAAGAACTGATGTCAGGGTACCCATTTTTTTTCCTATCGGATTTGTTTCGGACTGGAAACGAAGTGTTCTATTTGCGAACCGAACTCGTTGAATGATTGGATTGATCTGAAGTTCAAGAATCGAAATTCTAGAAAACGCCAAGTCCACTCGCAAGACGATGACGAAGTGTTCAACTTTGGAAGATGACGAAGCGTTCGAGACCGTTTGTGGAAACCTCAGCCGCATGGTTTGATTGGCTGGTTGCGCTCGGAAGCCAACCTTATTGACTGAACCCGCATCTATAATTGTAGTTTATCCACACCCTACTGGGCACCTTTTGGTCCTCTCACAAAGTTTCATCCTCATCCGGACGACTCCACCAGGCGCAATAAAAAGATGGACATCCGCAGATATGGCTTCCTTTTTCTTTCTTTCTTCAAACACATTCATTGATCCTTCAAGTCACTCTCTTCTTGAAGTCATTCATTCATTCGAGGTTGATCCTCAATTACTGTCACTTTAGTATCTCTGTAAACCAGTGAACTACTTTGTCTTACCACATTCACTCCCTCAATTTACAATCTTCCATCATGACTTTCAACGTCTTCCTTACCGGCCTTCTCGCTGCCACCGCTGCTGCCCTCCCCCACTCCGCTCGATCCGGAGAATCCGGCGCCGTTGAGACCCGCGACTCTGGCAGTGGCGGTCTTCAGATCGTCAACAACATGGGTACCGACGTCTACCTGTGGACCACCGCATCCGACCCTGGCAGCATGAAGACTCTCAGCACTGGAGGTGACTACAGCGAAGACTGGACCACCAACTCCAACGGTGGCGGTATCTCCATCAAGATCTCGACCAGCGAGTCTCAGGATAGCGTTCTTCAGTTCGAATACACCCAGGATGGCGAGAAACTGTTCTGGGACATGTCCTCCATCGATCTCGACGAGACTTCCGACTTTGTCAAGTCTGGTTTCACTGTTCAGCCCAGTGACTCGAGCTGCAAGTCGGTTTCTTGTGCCGCTGGAGATGCGAACTGCAAGGATGCCTACCAACTCCCGGATGACGTGAACACCTACTCTTGCGCTCTGAGCGCTGGTTTCACCCTTACTCTGGGATAGGTTATCCTTTTTCTTTCCTTCTTAAAACCGGCAGGACCGATGGAATTTTGATTTTTTGATTTTTCTTTATGATTTGCAGAACATTACTGCCTTGGGTTTGTTGACACACTCTTGGATATGTACATAAACTTCTGCAGAAGTCAATATTTACTATGTAGCAGTGAGCTTATCAAGTATCACTAGCACAATACAAGAATGTGTTTGAAAAAAGAAAACATATCTCGGCTCTCTGGGTGTAGGTGTGTAGGTGTGACTTGACGTTCGTCTTGTTCGCCCTGAGCGTCTCGACAAAATTCCTTGCTATTGTCATTAACCTATCGGGGGCTTCGTAGCCGTTTCTATGAATCGCGGGCAGCGAATTTGGGTTCAATAACATTCACGGGACTTGCGAAGTTTTAAGATACATATGTAAGATACAAATGCAAGCTGTTGTTGAGGCTCTGAATTGAACATATACTAGGCCTTGCTTCTCCCCTCCCCAGAACTGAACTATCCTCCTTTCTTCTCTCTCACCCTTCCCAATAGCAGATAGGTCAGCCATGGTTGTTCTCACCTTTCGCTCCCTATAGCCTATCGTTGTTGATGGACACAACCACTTTCGACTTTTGCTTCCTGTCAAATAACCTTACTACGGTCACGTCACTTACACAAGAGGGGCCTTTTACCCCTTTTAACCCAGCCAGTTCATAGAAGAGGCATACTCGATTGCCACTCGAATGAGTATTTGTCCATATTCCAATCCTCTCCGGACATATGAGGATTTCTGGAAAGGAGACGTCACGTCCCATTGTGCCCTTGGGAGATACATCCTGCTCACTTCATGACATATTATTGTAGATATTGTGATGCTGAAACTCAACGGCGTCAAATATGGCTGCCAAGAGTGACCATTTGATCCCCGGGAGCAGTGAATCCGGCCTCTTCTTTCCACAAGATAAATTGTGTAGGGCCATCCACCCCCCATAATAAAACCCTAGAAAGATCTAAATCCCTTGTGTTACACGTGGTTACACATGGACTGACCGTTTATCCGAGTTTATCCGAGTTAACGACTTTGTTGCCGACGTGATATGGCTACAGATGGCGGCAATAAAGTAGAGTGACAGTATATGTATGACAGGGACCAGGGCCAATTTGAATGACATGATATCCTCCAGTATGTAGAACCTTGGAAGGAGAGTCCTCTTAGGTAGACACGTGGAGGTGTCTGCCTCAGGTGTCAAATTCCAACCCCGCTTACGGCACTTCCTCCACGGGCCCCGGGGTGGTAACGTCGTGACTAATCTCTCGGTCAAATCGTGTGGACCGAGGCTCATCGCAAGTCTGTGAACCACCGAGGTTGCTTTGCTTTATAGGTTGGTTGCACCCCATCCCTTCTCTTCCCCAGGTTTTCTTTTTACACCTTCACTCCTTCACTCCACATATATTCATAATGGCTTCATCTCGTAAGTGACTTATATCCGCTATGTTTACCCTGCCCATTATTTTCATGTGATTCCCTTCTACTTAACTGATGGCTCCACATGGGCCCATGGCCTCAAGACCGATGTTAACCATGACCACTGTACAGAGCAAATCCGCACCCCGATCACTGATCTGCTCAAGATCAACCACCCCATCCTGCTGGCAGGCATGAACGTGGCTGCGGGTCCCAAGCTCGCCGCCGCTGTCACCAACGCCGGTGGTCTGGGTGTGATCGGTGGCGTTGGTTACACCCCCGAGATGCTCCGCGAACAGATCGCCGAACTCAAGAGCTACCTGCAGGACAAGAACGCTCCCTTCGGTGTCGACCTTCTCCTCCCCCAGGTTGGCGGCAGTGCCCGCAAGACCAAGTAAGAACACTCGATCGCTGCGGCACTTTTTCCATTGTTGACACGTGCTAATCGCATTTTGTTTCGGCAAATAGCTACGACTACACCAAGGGCAAGCTCGGTGAGCTTGTCGATATTATCATCCAGGAAAAGGCTAGCCTTTTCGTCTCCGCCGTCGGTGTTCCCCCCCAAGGCCGTTGTCGAAAAGCTCCACGGTGCCGGCATCCTCTGCATGAACATGATCGGCCACCCCAAGCACGTCCAGAAGGCCCTGGATGTTGGCGTTGATATCATCTGCGCCCAGGGTGGTGAGGGAGGTGGTCACACTGGTGATGTCCCCACCACCGTCCTTATCCCCACCGTGGCCAAGCTGGTCCAGGGCAAGAAGAGCCCTCTGACCGGCCAGCCCGTGCAAGTCATCGCCGCTGGTGGTCTTTTCAACGGCAACTCGGTTGCTGCTGCCCTGATGCTCGGTGCCTCCGCTGTCTGGATCGGTACCCGTTTCATCCTGTCTGATGAGGCCGGTGCCCCCGCTGCTCACCAGGAGGCTGTCCGCACTTCTAACTTCGAGGACAACATCCGTACCATTATCTTCACTGTACGTATTCCCTGACTGTGTCAGTATCAAGCCGTTCTTGTTACTAACAAATGATATAGGGTCGTCCCCTCCGTGTTCGCAAGAACCCTTACATCGTCAACTGGGAGGAGAACCGTCACGAGGAGATTAAGCAGCTCACCTCTAAGGGCATCATCCCCGTCGAGCACGATATGGAGAACTTGCCCGATGACGTCGACGATGATACTTTGGACAACGCCCGCCCCTTCCTGATGGGCAAGGTTGCCGCCGTTGTCAACGAGAAGAAGCCTGCCAAGGCTATCGTCGATGAGCTCGTCGGAGATGCCGCTGTTCTCCTCAAGCAGGGCAACAAGATGGTTTCTAAGCTGTAAATAAAGTATTCTCTATATATCTCAGTCTCTATAGTCATCTTCAGCGTTGAATAATTGACCTCGGACGGGAATATTCGCCGCCGAATTTTGGAACCTACCAGGATTATGCTCGATGCACCTAGATTCTACGCGATGTCTAATGTGGTTAGCGCCATGTAATCCCCTCTCAAGACCAAAGGATTATCCCTGCTATTTCCGAAAACTTTCGCTGATCCAAAAAAAGCTATTAAGCGCCGGGGTGGGTACTCAATCACCAACCACTACTCCGTATCCCACGTGGAGATCACATCCGTAATTTCGTTACCGGCATTAGCTTGTTAAATCCTGATATAAATAGATCTCTATTCTTGTTTTAATGCAAGCGACTTCGCTCCCCAAGTCTATACTGTAGATGGATGCTTCGCTCACTTTCTTTGTTCAGAACGCAACCATTTCCTCTTGTAGAAGCTAGGTAGTATAGCTCGTGCTGGTTTGGATCTTTATCAAAATTGACCTAGCGCATTCTATCACTATGGAAGAGATATGCGTGGAGGCCGTTGGAAATGGATGAAACACATCTATGGGCAGATCTTGAGTGATATCCCTGCAGGAGAGCCTGCAACTGATTCCTTCTTTCTCGCACGGACTGTGACGGGATATGCGGACCTGATGGATGATAGTACGCGATAGATGGGTCGTCCACTGACGGACGAGGTGCCTAGAAACCGAGGCGTCAGTACCAAATTGGACAAACAGCCAAGGTGCTGCGCGCCACCTTTACTATTATTAGATGGCCACTATCGTACCTCTGTAGGTTTAATCTGTTGGAGTCAAGAACACGCGTATAGCCCTGCAAGGTACCTAGGTAAGGTACACACGTAATGCAAGTGGTTCAATCCTCAACGTTCAAGTGGGCCTCGGTGGGTCTGACACGGAGTATCAGGCTTAGCTCGAGAGATTAGGCTTGATCAACCATGGAATTCCCGAGTCAAGTAACTCTTGGAAGGATCTGCTGTACGCATCAGTGTCACAATTATCTGACTGATCAGCAAAAAGTCGGCTCCATGGCTAGTGGCATTAAGCCAATGGCATCGTAGTTTGAAGATCGAAGGTCTAACGGCCGAGAGTTCATCTAAGCATAGTGACCATCCATGGATCTAGCAATTACATGAGACACACATGAGGTGCTCGGGAAGCACGGAGCTCATTCAGAGTGGTTGAGACGTTCCTTCCGGAAGTGGCTGATAATCATAATGGGAAGGAGCGTGGGGAAGTGGCTATATATCAAAGCCAGTGTGGTAGTAAATGCAAACCCAGGTGGCCTAGTTGGGAAATCGCCAACGAACCATATCTGTTCCAGACTACCTGTCTAGGTCACCTACGCGGGTTCGAATCCTCAGACCGCAAGTCGCAGGCTGATGTTCGCCATTCCCCTGCTGGATTTGTTCAACTTTTCTTCTTTTTTTTAGTTCCTCGTTTCCCTCCTCAAATGAAGTAAAAATCAACAGTGTGCTAGATTTTTCAGCAAAACGGCGCCGCTGATGGCTAGATCGTAGCACAGAACGACCATTCATGACTTCCAATGTTGAGCCCTCTTATCTTTTTCAACTCGCGTCTTGCCTTGTAACTGACTATTGCACATTGGCTCCTACACAATTTTACTTACAGGAAGTCCAAGAGAGCAAAAGAACTCCCACGTCCTCGGCATTCTAGGTCAACCGCCTCAGTGGCATATTCTGGCGCTGCTCATCCACCTAATTATAGATTAGTCCCACTGCAAGTCGCCCACGTCCCACTAAGGACCGAATTGAGCCTGGGAACTCACACTCACCGAGTGCTCTATGGTCTCACATGATGGGATGTCTCCTGTACGTATTGCAGATGTGCCGCCTCGCAGGCCCCGCACGGGTGTTGGCGGACTACGGAGAGATTCCAGCCTATGATTCACCGCTATGTCCAGGTCTAGGGTGCCCTAGTCTTTTTGGCTATGGGATTGAGCTATCGAAATTAAAAGATGCTTGCTAGTCTCCGGGATAGACTCCAAAACCCCCTTGCGATGCGATATCACTATTTTTTCCCTTGAACAATGGTCTCCTGTCAACGGTTTGCATCATTGATATGTTTGGTGAGCGGGTCGGGCCGGTTCCATAGTGGACCATAGGTGAACACTTGGACAGCCTCCAGCTTGTATAGACTATGACTGTAAGTAAATTATATTGATGTTTAACTTGGATTGATATTTATACATCAATTGATCTAGAACAATTTCTTACTGTCGAAGTGTTGATGTGGACTCGGTGATATGTTCATCAACCGTTCTTACCCGTGTACAACCACCACTAGGACTTGGCGAGAAGATAACAAGACTAACAGACGTCAGCATCAGTCCATACCAAGCCATCCACTTCAATCCAGCAGACGAGTCATTTTGCGTGTGTAACAGCTCAAATTGAACCATGGAACTCGAATGTCGCGGGTGAGCACTAAAACGGAAAAGGAAAGGTCGTGAAGTGTATATATAGTCCTGTGGATCGAGCATCGGCCCTAGCACGTCAACATGGCTCAAGAAGTATGTACGGAGCAACTTACTATCTCAAAGCAATCTACTTTTGATGAACTCGTAGCGAGATGTTGGAAAATCCATACACTCGGGCCCTGTTCAACTCTAAATAAAGCACTGCAAGCGCCGTGGCGGGGAATGAATTGAGATGACAGGGGGGCCGAGGACCAATGAATGGATTCTCGCGATAGACCGCATTCGAATTCCAAGAGAAACCTTGGAAATCCCCGCACTGTCCAGACGCCTTATGTGATGGGTCTTTCAATTATAGAGTTGAAAGTCAAAAAGAGGTTAGGGAGTCAAAATGGGAATATTGACCGAGTAAAGTTGTGTCACCGATCACGATACGATGAAAACCTGCCCAAAATCTGCCCACTCACAGGCTCGGCAGAAGGAAAACCCTTCTGTGAGATCCTATTGACCAAGACGTGCATAATTGCTGCAGCAAAGCGGGTTATTTTTGTCCCATCACTCACCTTTTCGGTCGAAGTAGCCTTTCCAGTACTCTCCGTGCTCCGTACCTCTTCCCCCCCCTGCCCCTCCGTGCAGCCCCTCTGCAGGTTCTCTAAGATTTGGGCTTTTCTTTGCTTTTTTATTTTTATTTTTATTTTTTATTTTCTCTACAATTCATCTTTTCTTTTTTTCCCCTTCTTTTCCCCCCTTATCCCGCTAATACAATCCTTCTGGGGTCCAAGTTACTGGGCCCCTCATCTCCACTCTCCAAACCGTCAAGACGTTAAGCCAATTACTTTCTCAATCGCATCTGATATAATCGGCTCCAGAGGGGATTATATTCTATAAATACATTTCAACTGGTATCCAGCCTTTTCGCGTCAATCTCGGGATATCACATTACACGGGATTACTCGACTTCAACTTTCTGAAGTCTCCCCTCGTTCCGCCCCATCGGTTCTTGGCCCCTTTACGAGAGGTCTTTTCGTCACACCGAGTCCTTGGCGATTGGCGATTATATTATCTGAGCTTTCCCAGCTTTGCGCTGGAAAGTGACCCCACAAGCTGGCGGACATCTACGAAAAATACTATCGTGCCCTAGAGAGTTGGATGGAAAGTACTTTCGAAGTCTTTCCCCAATCTATATAATCTAGGCACAGGAGACTCGGACAAATAAGTTGTTAATTCCGAGACAATGTCGCTCAAACAAGTAAATATATCTGGTGTGATCTCGGAACATTAAGCATGCTGACATTGTCCAACAGGAAATCGAAACATGGGTGCAGGCCCTTGATGCCTACGATAATCAAGAATTTGAGGAGTCCCTACGGTGCTTCGATCAGATTGCCGACACATCGAAGATCTTGTTCAACTGTGGAGTGATATATGCAACGTTAGGCGAGCATCATAAAGCAGTAAGTGAACTCATGAGATGTTCTTCCGGACAGTTAATTGATTTTGATGCAGGTAGAATGCTATCAACGTGCTGTCGGCCTAGACCGGTATCTCGCAATCGCTTACTTCCAGCAAGGTGTATCCAATTTCTTGCTTGGGGACTTTGAAGAAGCGTTGGCCAACTTTAATGACACTTTGCTGTATCTGCGAGGGAATACTTCCATCGACTATGAACAGTTAGGCCTGCTATTCCGCCTCTTTTCATGCGAAGTCCTGTTCAACCGGGGTCTCTGCTATATCTACCTGCGGCAAATGAACCCAGGTATACAGGACCTTGAGTATGCAGCCAAGGAAAAGGTTACCCCGGACCACGATGTGATCGACGATGCCATTCGCGAGAATGCCGATGTATGTGGACTCTACTAATCCGCTGGAATGCAAGCTAATCCAGATACAGGGCTATACTGTCTTCTCGATTCCAGTGGGAGTCCTCTATCGTCCCAACGCAGCCAAAGTCAAGAATCTCAAGACAAAAGACTACCTAGGCAAGGCTCGACTAGTTGCCGCATCGGACCGCAATCAATCATCAGACCATCAATGGAGGCCAATGCCCATTGACAAAGAAGCCCTCCAAGGCCGCGAAGGAGTCTCCTTCGCCTCATCCAACCTAGTGCGCCAAAACCTCAGCAGCCGCACCCGCCAACAATCCGAACCACCCATGAACCGCAACGTATTCCCCCCAACACCACCACCAGACGACCGCTCCGTCAGCACAGCATCCGGCTCAGGAAGCCAATCAGCATCCGGACACCACCGATCATCATCTCTCCGAACTGTCCGTCCACCACGTCCAGACCTGGACCGCGCAGGCGCCAGCCTAGACCGGCGACCCTATGCACCAGAACCAGCATCAACCGAGAAACCACGGATAGGCACAACCCGCACAGCCTCAGAGCCGCGCGGCCCATCACGACAAAATAACATGCGGGGATACACACCCGAAAGCACCCGAAACAGCCTGCGCGAGCAAACCGGCCATCGCAGAAACCTCAGCGACACAAACCCAACCACCTACCCAACGGAACCCGACTATGGCCACGCAGACCCGTACGATCCCTACTCAAGCCAGCGCAGTCTAGCCAGCACAGGCTGGGGCCGCGGATCCCGCCACCAACCACCCCAATACATCGACGAAGAGGAAGAATATGGCAGCGATGCATGCGATGCAACAACACTCCACGGCGGCGCTTTCGAGCTCGTTGCTGCGCCGCCCGCTGGTCCGAGCCAGTCACCGCAACAACGCCGGACTCGCTCTCCGACGCGATACTCCCGCCATGCGAATCCGCGGAGACCTGAGATTCAGAAATTCAGGACGAAAGTACATGCCCCTGATGATACTAGGTATATCATGATTGGGCCGAGGATTGAGTTTGCGGAATTCGAGAATCGCATTCGGGAAAAGTTCGGCTTCAAATGTCCTTTGAAGATGAAGGTGCAGGATGATGGGGATATGATTACCATGGTTGATCAGGAGGATCTGGATTTACTGGTTAGTTCGGCGAAAGAGGTTGCTCGACGGGAAGGGAGTGAGATGGGGAAGATCGAGGTGAGTTTATCTGTCCTTTCTTTATCCTTTCAGAATTGCACTTGCTGACTGTTGTTTTTAGATATGGGTGGAAGAGCGCTCGATGATTTGATGCATGATTGGGTTTCTTTGTTGATATTAGCATGATTTTTGTTTATACCCTTGCTTTTGCGTATTTAGCATGAAAATATGATCAATGCACGAGAAATACTAATAATTCTTCTTCAATCCGGGTCCGGGTCTAAACAGAGAACATTGTGAGAGGTCCGTCGGGACTAAGCGATCTACTAATCCATGGATGATCATTTACCCTGGTGAAAATGGGGAAAAGCATGGACGTTTATTCCTGTACTACTAGTACATTTTAGATAGTCGCTTAGCAGCACATGTGCCGAGTGAATGTCTTCGTTGTTTCCGCATGTCTTGCTCGTTTTCCAACAATATCCTCTGCAGGCAACGGCTTCCGCTGGGATTGTGCTTCACACGGTCGTCGTTGAGAATGTTTGTGAGAGTCGCTTTGACTTGGTAGTGGTAGTCGCGGATTTGGTCATTTGCGACATCGGTGGTATTGGTATTTCCAAAGCTCGACAATAAGGGGTCACTTCGGCAAGGCATGGAGTATGAAGTGATCGACCGCGTGATTGGTGGTGTCGAGGGTAGGGTGGGCAGCTCAGTAGATGATGCTGCTGGGTGCATGTTTTGAGGTAGACGGGCCATTTTGGATGTGCATATGGAATTGTTAAATTTGATAACTTAAAAGGGGAGGGTGAAGTCCTTTTAAGAAAGAAATAAATAAATCTGATACAATATACATGTAGGCAAACGAAGTTGTGTCACTAAGGTGACGTGTGGCCCATATCTGAAACCTGATTCCTAGACATTTAGCGTTACAGGTATAAGACAAGTAGTTCCCGCCAATCGTAAGTTGATACTTGATTAACCTTTGTCTAGAGTATTCCAAGGCTGCCAAAGGAACGTATCTATGACCTATCAAGAGTAGTAATATGTATGATATTATCCCTATATGTAGGTTGTCGCCACTCGGACTTTTGCACTACAGAATAAGCTATATCAGACTCTATATAACTATATAGTTTTATAGTTATAGTCTGCTCAGCCTCTATAATATATTTCAATATCCTTAAAGCTCCAGAATTAATCAGGCAATAGGTTGATATTGTTTCAATTCAGATTTCTTTAAGGCGTTATAAGCCGCTAGACGTCCAAAACAAATCACCCCACGTGTCTCGCCACCTCCAGTCTCGTATCGATACTCTGGTCTTTGTTTTTCCAGTGCCTTCTGGTGCCTCCAACCCAACCTTGGAACAGCCATCGAGAGAACACCCAAATCCCATATTCTAAACACGTTAATCTCATAATGACGGTCCTTGTCCCAAAGCTGCCTAATCTTGACTGATGGGGACACTGTCATGAGCTAATCCATTCTGCAGCATCCCAAAAGCTAAAACAGCCATAGTATCCTCCTGATATCTATCATGTGTAGGAAACTGCCTCAATTCGTACTCCTGCAGTTTATGACTGATGACGCCATACATAGCACAAACCATTGCTTTCCATTTAGCCAAGAAGCTTCTCGATACGATGATATCTTCAAACCATTCAATTTCAAATTCGATCGGAACCAGTGTCTTCACCATTTTGTTCGCGCCAGCAGTCTGAATTGCTAAGGTGCTATGTCATCTCTCGAAATCCAACCCAGGCATTATGGTGTTAACGCATTTGATATTCAAACTGTTCATGACCGCACATCCCGGGTTGTCGAATTCCAACCAGGTCTCCTCATTTGTGCGTTCGTATTGCCTGTAATTTCCGTGGTCCTCGCTTTCACACGGCCGACTTGGTCAGGATGTGGAGTTTGGCCGCGGTACCATCCCTAGCTTTGACAGCAGCCACATGGTTCCGATCATTGCATGGGCGCACTTGTCTAGTTCATAGGATGGGTTTCCAGAACCGTCTGCGGCCCGTGTGGGGAAGACGAACCTGGTCATGTGGCCATGGCCTTGAGGCAACCTTGGAAGACCTCGCATTTCTTCGTCAGGCATGTCCTTGGCATTTGGCATGGAAAGAAGATCGTCACCCATCTGGGCCTTCAGGAACGACTCGTAAATGGTGGACTTGGGCTCCCTCCATTGTAGATGGATATGATGATGGTTAGATGGGTTGGGTTAATCCTATGTAAATGGGACACCACCTGAGACGTGATGAGTTGCATAATGAAAAGCAAGAGAAGCAAATAGAGATAATTTAATATACTTGGTGGCAGTTCTCATTCCATCTCTGTCCCAAAGTACACCTTACCCCAGACACAAACAAATACGGGGCGCGGGATAAACCACTCACGCAGTGACGTTGAGTGTTGATCGACAAGTGTACAGTTGGATAGCAACACTACACATTTCAGACCATGCCACTCCCACAATGACCGACCTAACACCCACCCTCAACAATCTGCTTTCAAAGCAAGGCTCATCAATCCCCCAAACGAGAAAACCCTGCACAGAAACCGCCGATGAGTTCTTAAAGGAGGCATACCGAATCGTAAGCCATGTCCTCCGCACTCACACCCATACCCAAACCCCAACGCCAGCAAAGCAGAAACAAAACCTAACAACCCCAACAGAACTCACACATCAACTCCCTCCTCCAATACCTACAATCAATCCGCCACGCCTACCTCTCAACAACACAACCCCAACGCCGCAACCCAAACCCAAACACCAACCCCAAAAATGCCACCCCAGCAACCCCACAAACAAACCTCACAGACCCCGAACGCGACGAAGTCGACACCTCAACAGCCCTCCTCCTCCGCGACCTAGCAACCTCAATCGCAAACCTCTCCTCCGCCGAATCCCTCCGCCAAGAAACCTCCTCCACCCTCCTCCACAAGAAATACGGCCACTCCGCCGCCGGCGCCCTCCTCTGGCGCTGGGCCGGCGGAAGCGGCGCACTAGATGCCAGCGCCGACGAGGGCAAATCCGCAGAGCAGGTGCACGCAGAGGAGAGCGCGCGGTCAACAGCGACGGTCCGCGAGAGCGTGCTTTGGTTCCTGAGACGTGGGCTAGAGTGCGCTGTTAGCGTGCAGCGTCGGATGGTCGAGAAGAGGATTGAGAGGGTGCGGGAGAAGGAGAAGAGCGTGCTTTATAAGGTTGGAGCGGGGGAAGCCTGCTGGGGGTGCGGCTCGGAAGGGGTCTGTTTCTGTGTCGGAGAGGACAGGGGTGGAGTTGGACCTGGGGTCGGATTCGATGGTTTCCAGGCGCCTGAGGCGGCGGTTCTGAGTGAGGCGGATACGGCGCGGATTGAGGCGCAGCTTTCGCCGGAGCAGTTGCAGCTTTTTGCTGAGGAGAATGATTCTATGCTTAGGCATTATGAGGATACGTTGGGGAAGGTCCAGTGTGTTTTTTCTTCTTTTTTCGTTGCTGGGTTTTCCGGTTGGTTTGTTGGAGGATGGTGCTAATACATGCTCTTAGAAACGCCGAGAAATCTCTCCTGGAGATCTCCTCTTTGCAGGAAACGCTTGTCTCCCACCTGGCTACGCAGGAGGAATATATTTCCCAGCTTGTCTCGGACGTGGATACGACGCAGACGAATGTCGGGCAGGGAAATCGGGAGCTGAAGCGTGCTACTGAGCGACGGAGTACGGCGCAGGCTGTCTTCTGGGGTACTGTCGGGTTGTGTACGTGGCTTGTGGTCTGGGATTTGGTCTTTTAGTCCCGATACTACTAGACGTGTTTTGACTCGGAATCTTTCGTGGAAGCCTTTTATACGACACTAGATACCATTATGTCTATTTCATTGGAATGTAGCATATTATCCCACGGTGTTATGCTCAATTAGGCAGTAGTTATTGTGTACTTCCTCGGACCTTACTGTTGACAAGACAGGACAGTCCAGCATGGCCAATTGAAATGATATTCTAACCTCCAATGCGAAATTCCACTAAGACCAAGACTAGAGTATGGGTCATTTTGATGCATAAGAAAGTCCAAACTTCCATGGAACAACTTGTATTCAAAAAGCAAATAGAACGCCAAACCAAGTCTCTTCGAGTGTTTCCACTCTATATCAAGACCGGGGTATCAGATAGGTATCACAACTTAGCAGACTCGCGAACGACACTATCAACCGCCTCGGCGAAGTAATCAATGTTATTCGTGTTCAAGCCGGCCATGGAGATGCGGCCGTTCTTCGTCTGCAAGTAGGAAAGAAAAGAGAGTTAGCAACCGCAATTCCAAACGTATATCTACTCCACCAGCCAAAAAAGGGAAAGTCAAAACATACCATGTAGACATGCCACTTAGATCGCAGCGTCAAAACCTGCTCCTCAGAGAGACCAGTGAAACTAAACATGCCAATCTGGGAAGTAATATGATCCCAGGAACCAGGGGTACCGCGCTTCTCCAGACGATCCCGGAGACCCTGCCTCATCTCCAAAATCCGGCCGCTCATCGTGCGCAAGTCCGCCTCCCACTCCTTGAAAAGAACAGGATCATTCAGCACACGGCTAGCAATGCGCGCACCGTAAGCAGGCGGGTTCGAGATCTCCGATCGCTGCAGGATAGCCAGCTGCGACGCGATGTGCGAGCAAGCAGCCGCGGCATCCGGACCGGGAGCGGAGACGAAGTGGAAGGCGCCCGTGCGCTCGCCGTAGAGACCGAAGTTCTTGGCGAAAGACTGCGCAACGCACAGCTCGAAGCCTTGCTCGACGAAGTAGCGGATCGCCCAGGAGTCGCGGATGAGATCGCCCGATGCGAAGCCTTGGTAGGCGGTGTCGAAGAAGGGGAAGTGCGAGCGCGAGCGCATCACCTCGGCGATTTGCTTCCATTGGTCTTCGGTGGGGTCGACACCTGTTGGGTTGTGCGCGCAGGCGTGGAGGAGGATTACGGAGCCTTGGGGGCGGCTTCGAGGGCGGCTATCATGCCGTTGAAGTCAAGGCCTTTGGTTTTGGCGGAGAAGTAGGGGTACTTTGCTAGGGTTAGGCCGACGTTTGTGAAGATTTGGTTGTGGTTTGCCCATGTTGGGTTTGAGAGATAGACGGCGGGCTTTTGGGGGTGGAATTTCGAGAGGAAGAGGCCGCCTAGGTGGACGGCGCCGGTGCCTGAGATGGTTTGCAGGGTGCAGATCTAGTGGGAGGGTTAGTTGGTCCGGGTGGGGTTGTTGGAAGGTATGTGGGAGTATGGGGTAGAGAGGTACGTACTCGCTTTTCGCGAATTGCAGGGCTGTCTGCGCCGACGATCAGTTTCTGAGCTGCGGAGGTGAACTCGGCGAGACCACCGATAGAGAGGTATTCGTGGTTAAGGGTGGGATCGTTGTGGATAGCGTCATCGGCCTATAGATGTAGATGTTAGATAACTGCGTAAAGATAGAAGAAATATGGATATTACCTTCTTGACGACAGGGAGAATCCAGGGCTTTGCGTTGTTGTCGCGGTAGGCGCCAATACCCAAATCAACCTTCTTATCGGAGGGGTCCTCACGATAGGCCTTCATAAGACCAAACAAAGGATCTTCGGGAGCGGCAGCCACCGTGGCCGCGGTAAACACTGAAGGACTGGAGGAACCCATGATGTGTGATGATAGAGAAGAAAGACGATCTCTGGCGGATTGAATGGAAGTCATGGTGAAATTATATAATCCGCAAGTTACCCAACGTAAGTTCACCCCGGAATCTGACACCGAAACGGGATATTCCTGCTTGCGTTCACCGGATGGAGTGAGGGGGTGGGGTTGTTTTGGGGGAATCAGCGCACTCTTTTTGGTAATCGGAAGATATTCTAAACTTGTATTCTGTCTCTCTTATATTTATCTCTATCTATGTATCTATATCCTCGGCGCACAAGATACCGAGGGAAGAGCTTGCCGTATTTTTATCGTTCTCCGTTCACATGCCGGTATTTACAGATTTACAGAGTAGTTATTGTTCTAGTAATGAGTATAAAGAGTCCAGAGTCCACAGAGTACAAAATCAAAATAAAACCGGAATCTCCAACATATTCCCCTTCTCCGACAGGCTACACCCGCCGAGAATCAGTGTGTCATACAACGGAAAAAGACGCACTGTGGGTACCGTTTTGGAAGGTCATGGCATGACAAGTTTACCTAAACACTCTCAGGGGAATCTCAATTTGTTCAATTCCGCTATAATATGTTTATAAAATGGTAAAATGGTAATTGACTTCTATAACTGAGAGATACTTGAATTCTAGAATATGAACTCCAGAACTCCATAACTCCATGTCATTCCCCCACACCCGTGAGGGGACTAAAGGAGGATCCCGGAGAAATCGAAAAGAACTTGGGGGGACTTTCTCCGATTCCCCACAGAAAGATAATATCCCGATCCGACGGGGTCGAATGTTAATTATTACCTACATATAGTGGGTGAACGTAATAATATGAAGATCAAGAGATTCAACGAGTATGTTGTACTAATATATCCCTCAGATACTCCAAAGTAAAACCAGATTTGTGTCACATGCGATCAGCCAATCGGTCAGATGGTGACTTGTGCCTGGCGATCTTACACATTATGGGTACGGAGTACAATATACTCCAAGCTTCGATATGAGTTTTATAAAGCCTCATATATATCTATGGATATGGATGTCTACATATTTATACCTGGGGATTGTACATATGAACATTTTATGTACACAATAAGAAAAGATATTTGATATTGGTCAAGATAATCGAGATAAAGCTGCAGCACCCATGGTACTGCTCCCTGCTGACCTGGCACAGCCCCAACTACCTAATATCTGCTGCAGAACAGGGTGGATTGATGACGAGTCTCAATTTGAGTCTAGAATGTCCTGATGGAAATTATTTCTCTGTCTCTAGACCTCTAATACAATATATGCATTGCATAACACATTTGAATATATGTAAATTGAAACGTATGTGACCCTAAATCCATGATATACAAAAAAGTATATGCAGAGAAAGTAAGTAAATACAAGTAAACAAGTAAATCACTGAGAAATCCAGTCTCTTTTCCTCCAAGCCCCGTTCAAAAAACGCCATGCTCGTTCAATATCCATCAAATAAACAAAGAAAAGAAATCCAAATCCCATAGAGCAAAACGCCACATAGCCATATAGCCTCCTACCGAGGACCTGAGATCATATGAATCATAAATCGAAAATATATGCAAAATGTAAAGGAGTGTTATGTGAAAGAGCGGATCCCACATCATGCAGTAGACGGTGTGAGATGGGCGGGCGCCGGAACCGCCGGAGAAGGCGCAGCATTGTCGTCAGCAGAAGTTTCAGCCTCGGCACCGTGGGCGCGCGTTCGGATGCGGAAGCGATCGCGTAGTCGGGTGGTCAGGCCACGGTGTGATCCTTCGGGCGCGGGCTCGCTTTGGTTTGCTTCGCGAACGCGTCGGAGTGCAGCGAGTCGCTCCTCAACGGTGGCATCGCGCATTCGTCGGGCATTGAGAGGTCCGTGGAGGTAGTTGGTTAGACGGCGATGCGTATGGCGGGCTTGCTGACGGGCTTGCTGACGAGCTTCTTCCGTTGTTAGGTCTTGTCCTTCTGCAGATGGTTGGTCGGGATTGTCGGGATGGTCGGTGTTTTCTTCGGTTTGCTCTGGGTTTTCGGCTTGGGGTGGATTGAGGTCGATGCGGCTGTGATATGATTAGTTTGGTTCATGCATGGGGGTTGATATATTTGTATCAATATCAACATAAATAGAAACATACCAAAGGGGACAGGTGCCGGACACGTTCATCAACCATGGATCAATGCATTCCATGTGGAATTGGTGGTTACAGGGCAGTACACGTAGGTCTTGGCCCTTGATGAAATCATCTGTGCAAATCGGACACGAGAAGTTACCTGCGTCGGGCATCTCAGGCTTGGCTCCGAAGGCTGTGGGTGTGGGGCGCTCGTTATCGTCTGGGGTTGGCATTTCGGATTCGCGGGGCGTTGATAGCCCCGTTGTGTGGCCATCCTCCGGATGGGAGTGCTCGCGATCTTCAGGGTTCATGGTCATCTCCACGTCTCTTTTGGCGGCCTCCACGTCATCGTTTTTGTCGTCAAACTTGACGACCGGTATAGTATCTAACATGGCTCGAGCTATACCTCGGGCTCGGCTTTGCCGGACTCGCCCGGCAATCCGGCGAGGGCCATATCGCTCCGGATGGCGATGAGCCCGGACTGCACCTGTGATGATAATGCCCAGGAATAGTGCGGTGATGATACCCGTGATACTGTACAGGATGATCATGGCTGGAGAAAGTCAACGGACTGGCCAAGGTAGAGGAGTCGAGATACGAACCAGTGTTTGGACTGTCACCACCGCTACCGGTATCACCGTCCGTTGGGACGCCTGAGAGGTACGACATTGAGACGATGCTGATAGTTGTTGGTTGATCGAAGGCACGGAGTAGTGCAGAGTAGCCGCCTTGGCTTGTAAATGTGAAGATATAGGGAGACGGTGCAGCGGTCTGGTCATCGGAAGTGAAGTTACAGCCGATAGCTGTTTTGCTATATAGCAGAATGGCTGCTGCGGAATGAGCAGAAGTGACGTATTCAATTGTCTCGTCAACTCGGATATTTCCGGTATACTCGTCCTGGTCGCAAGATATACAAGCGATCTGAGATTCCTTTAAGTCGAGAGAATTGCTTGGGACGACTTGAGTGGCAGTGCCAGAAACATTAAAGGACTGAAGATGTCAGCAATGCCCCAATGAACAATGGGGAGCATATAGCACCTTGAGTTGGGCAGTGGTAATGGACGACTCGGCTAAGGGGATAAGCTTCTGGCCAGTCAGAGGGCTTCCCTCAATACGAAACCCAGTGGATTGACTAGTAGTATTTGATGGTAGCGACACCACCTTTGCTTGAACTGAGAAGAACAAGAACAAGAGAAAGAAAAGAAACCCCATTATGCGGGAGACGGCGGAGAGGAATAATGTGGGGGGCTCACATTAGTCAATAAGAGCGAAACCGGGAAAGAAAATGAGGGGAGAGGATCGGCCCTAACAGGGCTGGGGGATCAAAGCGGATGGGGGAGATTAGAGGATTTTCGATTTTTTTATTTTATTATATGTTGTATTATAAATTGGGATGATTACTATCTATTCCTATTCTTTTTCTTTTTATTCTAATTCATGTATATTATATTAACGTATATGTTGATATTCTGGTCTTGATCTTTTAACAATATAATATCATCGGATGAAAAGTGTGATCGTCAATGGCCACACTTATTAACCTTAGGTACGATGAGGGCAACGTCATCGCTGGACTTACCTATGTATGTAGGCAAAGGTCGATCTTCTTCTGATGGACTACCACACATCGGTCTCGTATTCGTTCTACTCGCCCGACTTGCCTTAACTTATTAGATCACTTATTAAAATCTCGGACTTCCGTCCACTGTCTTATGTCTTAGGTCTTGGTTTTGGGTCTTGGTCTCTTTTTTCTTTTTCCACTCTGCGCCTCCAACCCCCGGACCTGAGACATTTTAACCCGATCATCCCCATGTCCTGATATGCTGATCTGGACATGATCTGACCTGACCTGACCTCAATAGACTTCTTCAGCTCCAGGATTATTGTTCCACGATCAGCGCTCCCCCGCAGATACCTATTAAAACCGACGCACCCCATATTATTTGACCCAAGGGAAAGAGAGAGAGAGAAAAAAAAAAAAAAAAAAAAAAAAACCAAAAAGAAAGAGGGGTCGAGCTCTTGAAATGGACCAGAACCTTAACAAGTTATTAAGTTCTCTCCAGAATGAAATCTGGAGAGGCGAACACCCGGAGATGTTTTAAGTATAGTTGTATAGTCCCCGCTTTATTGGTATGATCTGATATGCGATCAACTATAATATGCTTATATGTTATACTTATATTCTATGTCCTATACCTTCCAAAGATAATCCTATCATATTCTACTCAAATCAGGTTCAATTCTCCTGTGGCGAGACAGTAGGGCCTCGGCTCTCATCAGGCCCGGAGGGCATTTCTTACTATCACTGTGGATAAAAAAGAAAAGAAAAAAAAACAAGGAAAAAAAAAAAAGGGCCAAAGGAAAGACAATAAACAAAGTGAAATAAACCCAGATAAGACAGCTCTAGATTACCTTGAAACCAGAAAAGATAGAAGGGGGAAAAACGGTATTAATAGAAACGCCTGTCTCTTCCTTCTCTCATTTTTAGCCTTCCCCCTCTCTGAGCGGCAAAACCCACCCTTCAACAAAGTCCAATTCTTCCTTCCCCATCCTTCGCTTCGTCTTTTGTCCTAGACTCAACATCTCCTTTTTGGGATATGTCGTGAAAACTGCAACTGCTTTGTCTTTATCACCTCTGTCGGATCATGCCCGAGACTACCATCCCGAGCCGAGCCTGGCAACACCGCTTTGACGGGAAGCCAATCTCGTCGTAAGCATCCCCATATACCTCTCGGGAACTGACGACCCATCATGATGGCCTAGTCTGAACCCTGTCAAGTGTCTCCCTCTAACCCCGTATCCTTCCCAGGACTCCCGCCATCGCCGAACTCGATATCGAACGCAATGAGTTGGCCCACACCTGGAAACGGTTCATCAGCCTCCTCCTGCCCCAGGATCAGGTCCAATGGGAGGAGCGGCCACAGACGGTACTCGACGTGCAGGCCTTGCTCGGCAATATCAAGACATTCTGGATGTCCCGCCCCCGACAACGGATCTTTAGCGATTCCATGGACTTGTGCGATCGACTCCTTCCGACTATAGACACACACGCGACCCTCCTTTCCGCCCTCCCGGACCATATGGCCTATACTCCTTTATTCTATGGAGTCCTCCAATCAGTGATCAAGGTGCGTGGATGATCTATACACAGGTCTCGTCGCATCGCTAACATACAGCTCAGGCATCGTCGCATTACCCACGGGTAATGGAGGGCTTAGCTACTGCCCTGCTAAATATTCACGATGCTCTAGGCCTTCCCAGTGATTCTACGCTAATCGCAAACGCCGTTCCACATATTACGAAAACCTACGCTCTAATATTCTTCTTTTTGACCGAATTCATGGATTGGTATGTTCGGAGGTCCACGTGCCAGTTGTTGAACATGCACAGCCAGGACGTGTACTCCGAATTTCATCATCTGGTCCTTTATATACAACTGCAAGCCCGGAATCTTCCTTGGCAACATGCGGCGATGGATGTCGACAAGGAGGAGGACCCGTATAGCCCCCGGGCACTTTGGGAGGAGTCCCGACTCAGCCAAGTAGGACGCCGGGGAAAGGACCGTCGGATAGCGGCGCAAAACACCATCACCCGCCGTCTGATTTGGGAGATTCAGCAAGACGCAGAGGAGCGCAGCCGGTATAGGGAGGGCCGGGATCGGTTATTGGCAGAGACATTGAGTTCTGTGCGCCAGCAACTGCGGCCAGTCAGTGAACAGAGCAGTGGCATTGTTTGCATAACTACGCCTCCAGCTCCAAATATAGGTAAAAAGTCATACGCATCTTGCAGCTCGATTCAGCATCTGACGCAATTTGATAGACACGTCCTCTTTTGAATGGTCGAGGGGATCCAAGCGCCGCCTCGCACGACTTGAGATTCAAAGTTCATCCAAGCACCTCCAGGACTTCTTCGATAGTGACGATCAGATTTGCGACTACGAACCCGACGTCAAGGTCGTCGCCGAGGGTAACATCGTTGCATCTCTACAGCAATGGGCCACCAGTTCGCGATCTCAGGCCCTAGCCGTGGGCGGGACACAGCCTACCGCTTCCCTCGACCCGGTGGCTCTAATTTCAGCCTGCTATGCCTCATTCGCACGTCAAGCTCGATTGCCCGTCGTCTCGCATTTCTGCGCCCTCCCTAGCCAGGAGGCCAAAGAGCTGAACCTACACGAGCAAGGCTTAATTGCCCTCACCTACAGTATAATTCGGCAATTAATCGACTGGCTTCCTCCCGTAGTCGACAGTGACGCTGTTCTGGATCTCAGCGCGGAACGGTTTCGCCAACTAGACGGAACTCTCACCAGCTGGAAAGCCGCTCTATCGCTAGTCGACACCCTCTTACAATCCGCCCCACCACTACTGGTCTTTATAATCGATGGGTTAGACGCCATCCACCATCCGTCTACTGACGGAGCAATCCGTGAACTCGTCCGCGTGCTACTCACCCACACCCGGCGCCAACCCCAAGGCGGTCTCAACGGGCAAGGCCCTACTCTCCTCCTGAAGGTCCTCTTCACCGTCACCGGAAGACCGAGTGCCCTGATTGAGACGATGTCTGAACACACACTCATCCTCGGCGAACCCAACAAAAACAACCAACCTACGCCGTCCGAAGCTGTCCTGACATCGGACCTCGGAGCGGTCATGATGAATGCATGAATTGCCACGGGTGCCCAGTGCCCAGTCACGCACCGTTACGAATTCTTTTCTTCCTGCTTTTGGTTAAAAAAGACGCTTTTGAAATTCAAGCATAGATTTGCGTGGGTTGGGAATATTTGGATCTTTATGAAACAGGCACAACACGGATGCCACTTATTTTATGCATGGGCTTTTGTCTTTTATCTTTTACAAGGCAAGGCTCTCTTGCGCTCGGCGTTCTCCTATTGCTTTTTGGGGAGGACACCGAATTGTTTATTTGACTTCTTTTCTTTTTCTTTTTTGTGCTTCAGTGGTAGCGGTAGACCTGTCCTGTACTGCTTGATAGCTGTGATACCCCTCTAGGTCTAGAACTCTTTTGCTATTCTTATTTTCGACCTTATTTATTCAAAACGGAAACCCTTTCCCGAGTCGCAACTTGATGTCCACTTCTCCGTATATCCGACCTTAATGCGGGGACCCGATGGACATTGTTTTCCGCCCAAAAAATATTTAAGCGGTTCACCGAATGGGTCAATTAGGATATACGCATACTTTCTCCATATGTCATATACAGAAGTACGATATATATCATGAACGGTCACCGAGTTACATCCCGTCTCTACTCCCCCTCCACCCCCCAACTCTCCGAGTTCAAGGACATCTGTTCGCAAACCACAGACCCAGCAACCTATCCTTTAGCTAGCGAAGTCAATTCCAACATCCCCATCTATGACCTCGCCGCTCTCGAATCCACAGGCCTAACATCAGATCTAATCAACCGCCTCCAAGATGAATGGCACCACATCCTCCACACAGGCCCAGGCGTCTACGTGCTACGGTCAATGTACGCCCCCGCAAAATTCGAAACAACCCTAAACACCACCAACACCGCCTTCAACGAGATCATCGCCCGCGAAGCCGCACAATCAGACAACAAAAAAGGCGACCATTTCGCCGTAGGCGGCACAAACGACCGCATCTGGAACTCCTTCTCAAAACACGCCCTGCAAGACCCATCCTCCTTCATCGACTACTACTCAAACCCATGGCTAGCAGCAGTCTGCGAGTCCTGGCTAGGCCCAGCCTACCGCGTGACAGCCCAAGTGAACGCCGTACACCCAGGCGGCGCCGCACAAGAAGCCCACCGCGACTACCACCTCGGCTTCCAGGAAGAAGTAGCCTGCAAGCGGTATCCGGCAACGACGCAGCTGACATCGCAGTTCCTGACGCTGCAGGGCGCCGTCGCGCATACCGATATGCCTGTCGTTAGCGGACCAACCCGGTTCCTGCCTTTCAGTCAGACCTACAAGCCAGGGTATCTAGCGTGGCGGAAGGCTGAGTTCCGGGATTTCTTTCAGGAGAGATATGTTGCGCTCCCGTTGAATTTTGGGGATGGGTTGTTCTTTAATCCGGCGCTTTTCCATGCTGCCGGCGCAAATCTGATGGATCCTGAGGATGGGGGGTTCAGACGTGTTGCCAATTTGCTGCAGATTAGTAGTGCCTTTGGGAAGCCTATGGAGACGGTTGATTCTGTGCCGCTTGTTGAGGCGACTTGGGATTTACTGGTTCAGCGGTTCCGGGCTGCTGGGGGTGTTTTGGCTGGCCAGGAACTTGATCCTGAGACGCATTCGTTGGAACAGAGGGAGATTAGGGCTTTTGTGCAGGCTGTTGCGGAGGGTTATCCTTTCCCTACGAATTTGGATCGGAGGCCGCCGGGGGTGGGTGGTATGGCGCCGGAGAGTGAGCAGGATATTGTTGTGCGGGGGTTGCAGGGTGGTTGGGATAGGAAGCAGGTTGTTGCTGCGCTGGAGAAGATGCATGTTGACTCGAGGGCGTAAAGCAGGTTTTCACCCCCTGCGCTTCAGTATAAATCAAATACAACATATTTTGTATATTATTACGTGCGTCTGATGCGTCTAGAACCAGCTATTTGTTCTGCTTCCCCGTCGGGCTAACCGAATATTCTGTAGACTGTTTTCGATCTCAAGCCACCCGATGATTTGAGCTGCTCATTGGACCATCAGACATGTCAAGATGTGGGGTGGTAGTGGACCTGCTTGTCGGAATTCGCGTTCTCGATCCTTTTCGAGGATCACGTGGATTAATATATGAAATGGAGCGTAAGGCGAAACGGAGAAGGAGAGGGTCTCCAGCACGGAGCAATCTAGAGTCGATCAGTAATATAAAGGCACAGACTAAGAGATAAACAGCGAATGATGAGGTTGGAAGGATTCCACAGGGGGGAAGAGGGCGGTCTCACATTTTTGCCTTGTTCCCCCCCCAACGGGTCCTGCTGAAACACGGCATGCCCGTTGGATGTGTCCATGGCCTCGCGTTTTCTTCAAGTATTTTGCTTCCTTTCTTTCTTCCACCTCTCTTGCAATTGACACTCTCTTGATTTTAGTCATTCTTTTGCTGTACATATGTACATTTACGGCTTTGGGTCGATCTCTCACTAGTAACACACCCAATTCGCCGATCTACATCTCCACCTACTGCTTGACCATTGACAATTGGACGATCGACTACCAAAGTCCACGCACACTGGTTTGGCAATCATAACCACCCATAGCCTGGCGGCGATCGCGAAGCAAAAAAAGTTCGCCGCGGAAGTTTCTGGTTTACCCGGCGAGGGGAGGCGAAAAACGGCAAGCTACCAACCGTTGGTGTGCTATAACGGGACTGTTTTTTTCGCGTCTCCACAATAGACACGAAGGCCCTCCGCAATTGAAACTACTGGTTTAGGGGCGGATCTGCATTGACACAATAAAGGCCCTGTCTGCCCTTCGAGCTCCTTGCAATGGGACGCTCGAGTCTTTCCACCAAACGACTGACGGCTCATCGATTCGAGCAGCTGCACGACATGCCAGACCATGGCAATGGGATGTTGAATCCCAACGACGTGACCATTGATATCCCTCTGACCGAGACGACTTCCCGTGGTCAAACGGGTGCCCGTAAATGGAACACCAATACCAGCCCCCAGGAGGCCACGGAGAAAGAACCTATCGTTGGCCCCCATCGTCGTGGCCCTGGCGGCAGGCGTCGCGCGGATACCGATATTAATGAATTGTCCGGAAAGCCTGCTGAGTCGCCCGAGGATGGCACTATCAACCGTATGGGCCGCGTCTACCAAGCTGTCCTGAATTACTCCCTCATCACTCGTTACCTGATTTATGTTATTCCCATTGCGATTTTGATCGCGATTCCCATCATTGTGGGCGCTACGGTTGCACGGTACGCCAAAATTGGTGGTGTTCATCTTTACTGGTTCTTTACTTGGATCGAGATCGTCTGGGTCAGTCTGTGGGCGTCCAAGATCTTCGCCCGTTACATTCCTTATGTCTTCCAGTTCTTGTGCGGCATCGTCAGCTCCGGTACCCGCAAGTATGCGCTTATTCTGCGCGCCCTCGAGACCCCCATTGCGCTTGTCATCTGGGTTGTTATCTCCCTTGTGACCTTCCTGCCGATTATGACGTTGAATCCTGGTAAGAAGGGATCTGGCGACACGGCTCCCAAGGCGTGGGAGAAGAGTGTTAAGAATATTTTGTTTGCGCTGCTCATCTGCAGCCTCATTTATCTGGTCGAGAAAGCTCTTGTGCAGCTCATCTCCATCAGCTACCACCGCAAGCAGTTCGATGCCAAGATCCAGCTCTCCAAGCGCAATGTGCGCTTGGTCACCATCCTCTTCGAGGCTTCGCGCAATATGTTCCCCGTGTACTGCCCTGAATTCAAAGAGGAGGACTCGCTCATTTTCGATTCCATCCTCGCTCAGGCCGGCACCAGTGGCGGCAAACGGTCATCCGCTATGCCCCTCCGCATGATCCGTCAGGTCGGCAAGAATGTCGGCCGTGTTGGCGACAAGGTCACTGCCGCTTTTGGGCATGTGGCGTCGGAGCTTACTGGTAAACAAGTATTTAACCCGACTGCAACACACACCATGGTTATCGATGCCCTTGAGCGCAAGCGCCATGCGGCTGCGCTGGCCCGCCGTATCTGGATGTCGTTTGTGGTTGAGGGCCGTGAGTCTCTGTACATGGATGACATCGTCGAGGTCCTGGGTGCTGAACATGAGGCCGAGGCCGAGGAGTGCTTCATGGCTCTTGACAGGGATGGCAACGGAGATATCAGTCTGGACGAGATGGTCCTGACCATCACCGAGTTTGGACGCATGAGAAAGGCTCTGAACCACAGCATGCACGATGTCGACCAGGCTATCCGTGTGTTGGACAATCTTCTCATGTGTGTCGCTGCACTGGTTGCTGTGCTTGTCTTCATTTCTTTCGTCACCAGTGGATTCGGTACCGTCATTGCAGCTGGTGCCACCTCGCTGCTGTCACTCAGTTTCGTCTTCTCCGTTACCGCCCAAGAAGTCCTCGGTTCCTGCATTTTCCTCTTCGTCAAGCATCCCTTCGATATTGGCGACCGTGTCGAGGTCAGCGACAAGCCTTTCGTCGTTGAGCGTATCTCGCTTCTTTTCACTGTCTTCCGCAGTGTTACCGATTCCCGCATCACGCAGATACCTAACAATATTCTGAACAGTCTCTGGGTTGACAACTTCACTCGCGCCAATGCTATGCATGAACAGCTTGTCATCCCCGTAGCCTTTGACACTAGCTTCGCAGAGGTTCAATTGCTGCGCGAAGAGATGGAGAACTTCGTTCGCGATAAGGATAACTGCCGTGACTTCCAGCCGGATATTGACATCGAGCTCGACGGTGTTGGTGATATGGACAAGCTCCAGCTGCGTGTTGATATCCGTCACAAGTCTAACTGGTCGAATGAGACTATTCGCGCTGCCCGGCGATCCAAGTTCCTGTGTGCTTTGGTCCTAGCCGTCCGCAAGATCCAGGTCCGCGGTCCAGGTGTTGAACCTCCCGCGGAAGAGGGTGCCGATGCCGCAGATGGCGATGACAAGGGTGATGATGCGGGTGCGGGTGCCGGTGCAGGCGCAGGTCGCCGCAAATCGACTCAGGGCGGCGGGGCCGATTCCAAGCCCGACCCAGGCGTTGCCGCTGCTGCCGGAGGTATCCTCAACTACGAGAACACAGCCCAGTCGACAGGATACGAACAGGGTCGCTCAGGAACAATCACGCACCGCGGCTCCACCCAGACCAACGCTGAGCGCGAAGCGGCCATCGTCGAATTGCTCAACGCTCGCTCCCCAACTGTCGATACCGGCCGCGACGACTACGATAGGGACGAGAACGCCCTCCACCGCACTGCTACCAACGCCTCCAACCAAGGCAACCAGCTAAACGTGCATAACGGAAACGAAAGCATCAAGCGCGGCCTGTCAACCGGCCACCGCAAGGTCGGTGATCGCGTCTCCTACCACGAGCAGGATGTGCACCCCGCCCTCAGAAACCCCCCTCTCTCCCCGGTCCCCGCAGGCATGACCCCATCCTCAAGCCAAGTCCCAATCCTCGAGACCCCCAAGCCAGGCTCCCGCGGCAGCGCCCGCTACGAGCCCCGTCCTCACTCAAGCCATGACCAAGACCAGAGCACCATCCAGATGGTGGGCTCCCCCCGACCCCAACCCTTTCAATGGCTACTACTCCCACGAAACGGGGTACAGCCAGGTCCCAGTCGGCAGCCACAGCGCTGAGAACACGCCGGGACGTGATTCACGCCAGGTTTCGAACCCGAACATCTCCGCCGTGACGGCGGCTAGCAACTACCAGCTCTCTGACCGGTATGACCCCGTCTCGCCGCCGACTATGTACCCCCCGCCCCAGCCGACGCCCCCACAGCAGGCTGCGCCGTACAACACTGCTCCGCTCAGGAAGAAGGATAAGTCTCCTTATGGGCAGCATGATGCTTGATCGTTTTCTCTTTTTTTGTTGTACCCCTGGTCCTCCTTGATTACCCATTCCTGGCTACCTGCTTTTCTTCCTTTTCCTTGGGGTGTTCATATTATGTGTGATATGTCGATAGATACTGTTCTCTGCGTTTTTGAGCCGTCTTAAAAATTTTCCTCTGTGGTGTGCGGATATGAAGCTATGCTATTCCTGATATTTGGGGTAATAAAATCAAATCTACTTCTTTTTCTATCTTCACAGGACTCTTTTATTGCAGCTTGTACTACCTGACTATGCTACGGTATCTAATGATGCCTTTCGATCTAACATCAGAGACAATAGACTACATGGTGCCTTGGGAACAGAAAAGAATGGTGTTAGACAACAACCTTGAGACCATCTGATGGGTGATGTATGCTTAGCATAAACCCTCGAAACACTCCAATGAAAATGTCGAGCAGAGAAACAGATAATATTCCCAAAATTTAACACCTATCCAATACAAATTGATATAATACAAGTCTGACTGAGTCTAGGTAAAAGCCAAAGCCCAGCTAGCAACTCCATCTAACCCTCCTACCCCTATTTACTTCCACTCTCCTTCCAAGGATATCCAACGGGGTCATCCTTCCGTGTCCAGATCTTAGTCTTCCTCTTAGTAACCACATGCTCAACAAACACCTCGCGCGTGTACTTGGCCTTGTACTTTCGGATCCAGCGCGGGTCCCAAAGCTCGCTCGCAATGCCTAGATCCTTGCAGCAGCGCACGAGCGCGTTCGACCGACAGCCTTCTGTAGCGGTGGGGATGCCGTCCGGGGAGAAGTAGTCCTGTTCGCCGCGGGCGACGGAGACGAGGCTGGAGTGGGAAGAGTGTTAGCTCAGGGTTCTTGTTGTAGTTTCGCAATACACGATAGGCTAAATATGATTCAAGACTGGTAGACAAAATTGCATAAAAAAAGATAGGGGAAATGGGCTTACCGTCCATTGCAAACAAGAGCATACTCCCTCGTCACCGTCTTAGGCGTAACGATACTCTCACTCCGCGGCACGAGACCCCATCCACCAGGACCAAACGCGCGGTTGAGAATCCTTCGGTATTTGATCTCCGGTAGGTAGAGGATGCCATCGGGCTTGATCTCGACCTCGTCTGGATCCGTCTCCGCCAGGAGAATATCGGCTGCTTCTTTGGGGAACGGTTCAGCGGATAGGCCGTGGAAGGACCGCGTCCAGTCGATCCTCTCTTCGGCTGGGCTCTCGAGCTCGAGGGGTTTGTCTGATAGACCTGTTTTGGAGATGTTTTCGGTTGTTGCGCGGTTGGGGGTTGGGCCCGGGACGCGGGATGCGGGGACGCCTGTTGGTATAGGTGTTGCGACTGAGGGGGGAGGGCTTTGAGGTGGAGCTTGCTGGTGTGGGCTTGACTGCGGATTGATTGTTCTGGTTTTTGGTGGTGTGGCTGATTGCTCTTCTGGTCATGGGGCTGGAGAACTTGCTGACTGTTAGATTGCGCGCTCTTGAGGAGCGCGAAAGCTGGGTCGCATTTTGGAGGGTCTCAATTGTCCATAAGGACCGGATACGGAGAGGAGCAGACATCGTGGCTTGTGTTGATAATGGAAGGAGGAGGGAGGTCTGGCAACGAGGCGAATATGAACGATCACGTGATATGGATTTGATAGCTTCGTTCTGTCGATATTGGAATAATCGGGTAGATATTGAGTGGGATTGATTGGAGAGACTATTTTAACATGGTATTATAAATGAGTAGAGTACATTATGCGTCTTTGGTCTGTGTTCGCTGGTCGTTGCCCTGGCGCTTCCAGCACTCGCGGAAAGCTTCCATCTGTGTTGATCAGAGTCAGTATGAACCGGATAATTGAAGTTGTGTGCTATTTCTTCCATTCGTCGGACTTCGAAGAACTGGTATGATGATTATTGTAGAAATGACCCTCCAATGGCTTCAAAGGGGATGATATAGGTTCAGACTGGTGAATATTATAGCTCACCTCTTTCTTGCATTCGCGCCAGTCCCTCTTTGCGTAGTAACAGTCATTCATCTTATCCTGCTCAGCTGATACAGTATTAGTATGGCTTTTGTGACTCGAATTGAGTATAACTTACTATGGCAGCCTGTGCTGAAGATCCGCTTGTCCCTGTCATAGTTAGCACCACGCAGACCAGAAAACCGTAAAAGCCCTCACCAATCATCCGGCTCATCATCATCCGGGACAACAGTTGTCTTCTCCACGTTGTTCGACATGGCTGAGGTAGGGTAACAAGGAAACCTAGGAAGTTGGAGAAGGGCGGTTGGCCTCGGCGGAAGATGGAGAACTATCTCTTATCGCGCGGATTTCCCTTTGCAACGAGACAACAATGGCAACGCCAACGGGCAACAACGCCAATTTCAGTGGCAAAAGGCTCAATGTCTTAGTTTACTCCGGTTCGCTCATCCTATTCAGCCTGACAGCTCAGCCGTTTGCTGACCGACGACTTCTCGATAGGAAATGGAACCACTGTTGACTCAGTCCGTCACTGCCTCTACACCCTCCGCCGGCTGCTCGCCCACCACTATGCCGTTATCCCTGTGACAAGTGACATGATCCTTAAAGAGCCTTGGATGACCACGTGTGCCATGCTGGTCATGCCAGGCGGCGCGGATATGGGATACTGCCGCACACTCAATGGTGCGGGGAACCGGCGCATCGCGCAGTTTGTCCGCAATGGCGGACGGTACCTCGGTCTATGTGCTGGTGGCTACTACGGATGCAAGAGGTGTGAATTCGAGGTCGGTGATAAGACAATGGAGGTAGTGGGGGATCGCGAATTGGCGTTCTACCCGGGCATCTGTCGGGGCGGGGCATTCCCGGGTTTCGTTTACCACAGCGAGGCAGGGGCACGCGCTGCTGCACTCGAAGTGGCCAAGGAAGCTTTGGGCGTTGACGCCGTGCCAGCCGACTTCCGGTCGTACTACAATGGCGGTGGTGTCTTCGTTGATGCACTGTCGCTCGCAGATAAAGGCGTGGAGGTTCTTGCGAGCTACACTGAAAAGCTGAATGTCGACGGAGGGGAGGGTTCGGCTGCTGTCGTCTACTGCAAAGTCGGTAGTGGAGCAGCAGTCTTGACCGGACCTCATCCTGAGTATGTTTTGGATTTCAATTGACAGGATTGGGTCACTGACTTGTGGACTAGATTTGCGGCTGTTAATCTGGACCCGAAGGCGGGCGGGCCTGAATATGCGGACATGGTGGCGGCTCTCGCTGCCGATGACAAGGAACGGACGGACTTCTTGAAGGCTTGTTTGTCCAAACTCGGACTTGAGGTCACGCAGGACACGACAACAGTGCCTTCATTGTCGTCCTTGCACATGTCTGGAATCGATGCTGATGGTCCTATGGATATCCTGTCGGGACTTGGAGCTGCATTCACCCAAGAGGGTCAGACCGGCGTTTCTCAAGGACGACCACGATACGTTCCGGATTGAACGCCCTGGAACATGGAATCTTGGCGAACTGGAAGAATCACTCCCGGCAGGATCCTCAGAGTCTAGCGAAGGTATAATTGATTACCAGGCAATTGTTAAGCGACTTGTGTTCCACGATGATATACCATCTTCGAAACTAACTCCATACTTCAACCACCATGCGTTCTATTCCCACCTCCGCCAATACCAATCCGAGTCCAAGGGAGAGGCCACGACATTTGGCTCCAATCTTTTATATGGAGAGGTAGTGACTAGCACGAACACAATCCTTGAAAAGTAAGCATTTCGGTCGATAAGTCTGGGATTGGTCACCTCTAACGAACAGCAGGAACACGAAGCTGCTTCGTCAGTTGCCGCAAGGGTTTACTGCTACCGCTACAGCCCAGATTGCTGGACGCGGGCGCGGATCCAACGTCTGGGTCTCACCAGCAGGTTCTCTGATGTTTTCAACTGTGGTGCGACACCCAATGGACAAGATTCAGTCGGCACCGGTTGTGTTCCTTCAGTACCTATCAGCCATGGCGGTAGTCAGGGGAATCAAGAACTACGCCAAAGGCTACGAGAAGATCCCCGTCAAACTAAAATGGCCGAACGATATTTGTACGTGCCAGTTGCTTATATTACTATCGATGGTTTACTAATGACAAATGTCTACAGATGCACTAGATCCGGATGACCCCGAACAAAAACGGTACACAAAGATCTGCGGCATTCTTATCAACTCCCATTTCATGTCAAACGAGTACATCTCCGTCGTGGGCATCGGCGTCAATGCCACCAACGCCTCTCCGACAACCGCGTTGACCACTCTTGCCGAACGCTACGCATCCCCGGGCGCTGCTGCCGCTTCACCCGTCACGCTCGAGAGGCTCCTGGCTCGCATTCTGACTACCTTTGAAGCCTTGTATACCCGTTTCTTGCGTGCAGGCTTTGATCGTGGCTTCGAGGCGATGTATTATGAAGACTGGCTGCACATGCACCAGATTGTCACGCTGGAGGAGGAGGGCGGTGCTCGCGCTCGCATTCAGGGTATCACCCGTGATTTTGGTCTTTTGCTGGCCGAGGAGTTGGGGTGGAATGACCGTCCGACGGGACGTGTGTGGCAGTTGCAGAGTGATAGTAACAGCTTCGACTTCTTCCGTGGGCTGGTAAAGCGGAAGGTATAGCATACCAAAATAGGTAAATAGGTAAATAGGTCAAAATACCCATGTCTATAATTACGGTCTATCTGTGTTTGCACGACGACATAGAGGACTTATTTGGCAAACACTCTACTTCTCGTTCTGATATCAACATCTGTGCATTCAGCCAGATCGAGTATTTCGGCAGCTAGCATCCATTGACATCCCAAGGTTAACTAACCGAGTCTGTCGTCCCACTGACCCTCAAACGGCCCTCATGGCTGGCTTGCGAGAGCAAACCACTCCCAGAGCGATGGGGTGGATTTGACAGGGCTTAACCAGGCAGCATTACCGTCCTCGTCAAGGGTAGTCGCGGATCATGAATTTTGCCAATGCTCTTGAATGAGAGTATCAATGTCACAGATGGTTAGGTCGTCATCAAGGTCGCAACCTAAATACGCTACACGCGCCATTTGGGCATAAGCACATGGACGGACAACTCTCCGCAAGACACACCCGGACAGTTTTCGGTCCAAATTGCTCCTCTTTGAGAGTACCCGATTCCGATCCCCCATTTAGGGTCAAGAAAATGGCCCGCTCATCGGTTGAATTGTTCATGATTATATGTGACTTCCAATATAGGCCCCTTTCCCAAACAACTCACAAGTCGGGTCTGATATATAGAATGCGTATAGAGACGTTTATACATGCACCTAACCGGACCTTTCCTAGCGGGTACAACCAGAGCAGCATATATAAAAGCCTGAAATACAACGTGAGCTTATACGACTTTGGTGGGCGATCATGGTAAGGAGGTATGGTCTTGAGGGATGCAGTTTGTATACGTAAAGGGAAGCGACTTGAATTCAGATACATAGTCCGATATCTCGAATTTAGGTCGGGAACAGCAAGTTCCCAATACAAGAGCAGGATTGTATTTCTGGACCAATGCCTCAATCAATCTGGTCCCAGACCCCGTTCGCCATATTGAGTGCAATCTCACTGAACTGGTCGGGCGTCAGTTCGTGTGCTAGGGTGACCCGAATCGCATATGTTGTCGCAATGACTGAATCCAGCTCCAATTTTCTATCCCCAACCACCTTCATGATATGACACAGGAGAGTCTCCATGGGAAATGACCGTGATGCACGGTAGATGCACTTGGCGGTGTCAATATGCTGACTCCGAACGATAATATCGACCGCGGGTGGGCCCATATACTCCTGATGATCGCCGTCGGATGCAAGCCTGATCTCGCCGGTAGCGCGATCGCAATACTTGCCATCCACAACTGGTGTTCGTTCCTCATCATGCCACCCAGGGGCGTGGAACTCCAAGGGATGAGTCGACGACATAATAGAGAAGAATTGGAATAAAATGTTTTGAGTATTGAGTTTCAATGTAGGTTTAGTATGATAGTATACTCTTTTGATGGGTTTTGTCGTATGTTGTGAAGATGTGGATGGAAAGTCTGAGATGTGGATGGAAAGTGTGAAATGTGCGACAAAGGATGCTTTTATATGCGAGAGGGGGGGAACCCTGATTATGCCATCATCCAAGCCGGGAAGGGGTAGCATTTTAGGACAGGGGTAGCGGAAAAGCCGGCTGGTAGGCAGCATTATAGTCACTCATAGCCACTCACGTCCTTGACATAGGTGATCGCTCCTACGTGGAGGCTCTTTGTTCGCTATGGTTGGATGGCCCAGGCATAACCTGTAGATAGAAACCGAGTAGTAGACTCTCTCTCTCTCTCTCTCTCTCTCTCTCTCTCTCTCTCTCTTTCTCCTCTTCCCGAACCCGAATACATACATTGCTTCTCATACTGATTTCACACTGTATCTGTATTCCATGAATGGTACATGTAGGAGTATCATCCGTTGGCGTATGTTACGAAGATCACATTCTGAATTATACGTAGGACTCGATGTATTATTTTACGATGGCCAATCTGGTGTATTGTAAAGACTGTCTGATTGTGTTTGTCGAACTAGTAGCCACTTGCAAGTAAGGATAGACACCCCATTCCCCATTTCCACTTGCGAGGATAGACACCCGTTCCCCATTTCACTTCCATCCGGTGGCAGAGTTACATGATGCCGCATTTTCTAAGGAGACCATGTTAGGGGGTTTCATCTCAAGCCGTCGAGGCACTGGGTAACACAGAAACAATACTCACTACGACGCATGGCAGCCACACTTGGCACACTGGCCGCCCTTCTTCGAGAGACTTCGAGAGACTTGAAGGGTCACAAAGGTAAGTTCCCTTGCTGTCACATCGGCAGCCATCTTTCTTCTTCCCGTTGGTGCAACGAGCGTCGGGGCTCAAACCCCCATCGCACTTAACGGTGTACTTGGCGCGGGGAGCCACCTCGAACCGGTTCGGCTCAGGGCCTGCAACGGGGTTGGCCATGGCAACGGTGGCAAGGACACCGGTGAGGAGGACTGCGAACTGAGTGGTCTTCATGTTAAGGAGTTTGATGGTGTTTGGAGGAAACGATTTTGTCGATATCCAAGTTCATGGGAGCGTCCTTCCGCGACTTATATAAAGACATGGCCGGAGACATTCTTCTACTTTTGGACAACACGGCCACCACGGCAGAGAGTATGAGAATAGCTACATGTGAGGTGGGGTGCATTATGCAGAGCAGAGAGTATGAGAATACCTACATGTGAGGTAGGGTGCATAATGCATGTAAGGAGAGACGGAGCGACACGCTCACGGGTACACCCGGCGTAGCGACGTCTCATTACCATGACATCTCAATTCTTTGGATAAAAGGTATTGCATACAAGGTTCTCCCTGCTTGCTAAGGCTTCGACTGATATCGGTCTCCCATATCAAGCCATTTTTCATATAAGCCCAAAAAATATAAAGGGATGGGTTGTCACATATGAGTTCAGCTTTTGTCACGGAGCAGATAAGATGACTGTTCTCGAGGAGTCTACGGCCTGTGAACATGAAATTGACATTAGGATCCGTAAGGCAAACTACACGAGCTAAGAACCAATAAGGGCGGTGGCTTCCGTAGACCTACAGGCGAATATTATGCCTCCACCGAGGATCGGTACGCCTTCGCAGCAGCCTCCCCCGCTGCCCAATTCAGCATACTACATAGTGCATACGGAAACCCGGGTGCTACCCCCCCCGAGACTAGACATGCACATATTGGGCGCAGCAGCCCCCATAGCATGGATCGGCCCGCTACCCGAGTCCCATTACGCCGCGCCCCCAAAGCGGGGTCCAGCAACTCCTCTCGAGTAGCTGGGGCCAAACCCCGTTGGGAAATGACGCAAATGACAAGAAAAGGCCACACTGGTCGCATCTAGAACGATGGATGCGGGCTAGAGGGAAAGAGGAAACAAAGGATATGATCAACGAAAAGGGGACCAACAGGGTATCGTCGAGCGAATTACTCGTACAAGCAAGACGTCCCCGTTGGCCATGGTGCGAGTGGGCTACGACAAATGCATCAGAAGCATTTTGAAATAAGTACTGAAAGTAAACAAACGCTGATCGGCAAAAGCAGTACTATTGTATAAGCTCATACGCCGATCCTGACTCCAAGACAGCCCTATCGGGTAGACTAGCAGCCAGATTCTTAGCCTGGATGCGTCCAAAATTTAGCCAGGTGCCCCGGAAAATGGAAGCCTAGAAAGCGTTACATTTGACCCCGGTCAACGGCTTCCCCATAACGGACCTGGGCCGGGGGAATGATCGGCTGACAACCCATTGTCCCTGGCCCCTGGGTGGCATTAGACTATGAAACAAGACAAAAGTAGTAATTACATGTATTGCCCACCTATTTTTTTTTCCAGTTCTAGAAAAGCATATATACCAAGTCAATACTTGATGCAAAGTCTGGTATGGGTAATCAATATTTAGAATGCAAATTAAAACGCGGGCTAAGTGCAAAGACACCGGTTGAAGAGACATGGTGTTGATGAACAATAACAAGCAACCAACGGTTATTTGGAATACTTCATTTTCTTTTTAAATGACTTGAAGAAGTAGGTTTATTGAAATATTATTGGGTAGGCAATAGTCTCCATTCCAAATCAGCGCATTTTTTCCTAATTTTTTTCCTAATATCCAGGCACCCCCCAAGTCTACAGCCAAAAATTATTTCACCCAGGTTAGAGATGTCCTGGGCAAGCCCCGAAGCATCCGCTTATAAGATAAATACTTGGCCGGTTTCCCGAAGGTGTATGCCCACACAGACATCAGCGTCGCACCATCTTGCTGTATTCAGACGCTTTTTTCATTAGGCTTGATTTGCGACGACCTTGTTTTTTGGCGCATGGACTTTTCGACAGATTCAGATCGATTGGGATGGGTGGGAGATGCGGAAGCCATGTTAAGAGATGCCTCAAAGCGTCACTACTGGGAATGGCCGAAGAAAATCAGGGCACTAAATAGATTAAGTAGCTCTCAGGTATCCTAAAAAGCTTCAAATGGCGACAGTATGTGCCAGGCATTATCCGGTACATATGCACCCAAACAGAATGTACGAGGTGAAAAACAGGCTACAGTGTCAAGGCATCGACTCGGCCCAAGAGACCCATCGTCGAATACACTCATCCACCCTTCTCAGCGACTCCTTTTCCGCCTCAACCTCAAACCATTCCCGATGCTCCTTCCCACACTCAGGACATTGTCCTAGGTCTTGCACACGCTGAGCCGCCAGTTCAAGATGAATAAGCCTTTCAACACGATGCATATGCGGGACTTTCCTTCCAGGTACTGAGGATGCAGAAGGGGCCCGACTCCGGTTGTGGGATGGTGGTACTCTAGCAGGGGAAGACGCGGATGACGATGGTGTATAAGGATAATAACGGATCAAAGTCAAGTCGTATGAGCACTGTTTACTCCATTCAGCGAGGCGACGGTGCACATTGCTCGTGCGTCCGATTTTCAGCCTGAGCGTTCCGGGTTTGGTTGATGTTGGGTTGGAAGTGAGCGCATTGAGATCTTGTGCTGCGCGAATTGCTTCGCTGACGCTGCGTGGCTGGGTGGGTGGGCGGAGGTTGTTGCTACTTTTTGGGTGTTGGGTAGTAGAGAAGATGCTATGTCTCGAGGTATTGCGGATTCGGCGCTCCGGTTTGTCGTAGCTGTTGGGGGCGTCACCCAGAACATATAGATATAGCCTTCGTCGTCGGCGCTGGAGATTGGTTTGGCCAGTTCTGTCATAAGGATGGATGTTGTCTGCGGGGAAAGTGTGGATGGAATCCACGACAATAAGGCCTGTGTTTGAGAGGTAGAATGCTTCCCTGTGCCTGACAAAGTTGGCCGGGATGTTTGAGGAGTGTGCGGCACTTGCGCATGCTGTGGTCTTCCGGCTGAAGAAGGCAGATTGATCTTTTGGTTCGGATTTGGAGAAGGTGTAGGGCGAGGGGGTTTAGGCCGTTGAACTGGGGCCGGCCTGTCATCCTCGCCGCTGTCTTCCATGATCTGGAAGCAGCAGAATATGGACTTTTTCTTCGGCCGACGCTTTTCACTGGGCCTACTTTGATTTGTCCGCCGTTTGCGGGGAGGTTTTGGCTTTTGGGAGACTGGATCATCGTTTATGTCGAGCACACCCAGTCGATCCATTAATGTATCGATACTTGTCCTCGTCTTGGACGGAGTGATGACAGTCATATGTGGATTGGCCGAAGGATCTTGATCTTTGTGCTGCCAGCAGTACAAAGATGCCACATCTATAGCTTCTTGGCGAGGATCCTTCTTTCTAGGGGTAGAAGCAGGCGATGGATTTGGAGATGCCAAAGAGCGGCGGCAGGGCCGGCCTTGTGCGGTTATGCCTCTACATGTTGTTGCTGGATTTCGAGAATCTGAGCGAGGAATCAAAGATTCTGGAGTGTTTGAAATATGAGGCATATATGAATGCAAATGCAAATGATCAAGCAAAAAGAACAGTATAGATGGGGAACTTAAGAAACTATCGGCAGAAAAAAAGAGACTAGGCTGCATGGACTGCGGTGAGATTCCTGCAGCCTAGAGTGCTACATATTCTCCACTTGGAACTTGGACCAGTTCACTGATTGAAGGGAGATATTTTTGTTTTCGTTGTTTTTGGCAATTTAGGTGATCCGCACCGCCACAGTATGGCGGTGTTGAAGTGGCTGTGTCAATGCTCTGGCCCGCTATAAACTTGCCGTGTATTCGATTCATCCTTTGTCTCATTCGAACTAAATATAAAACTTCAATTTGTCTCTGCTAATACTTTCTGAACCAGGCCAGTGCCTGGTTCTCCGCTTCATCAGCCTGTCTACTCGCATCTTCCAGAACAAAATCAGCCCGGACACAAAAGCCATGACCGGCGCCCTCATAAACCACGACTTCTCCTTTTCCAGCACCGGACTCGCCAGCGAACACTTGCTTGATCCGCTCAATCTGTGGAGCTTTCAGAACTATATCTTTATTCCCAAGCGCGAAGCTTACAGGGATTTTGATTTTCTCGATCTCGTTAGGAATCTCGAGAAGGCTCGGGTGGCCCGTAAACCCAGCATTAAGTAGCGGATTTCCATTGGAGGCCATGTCCGCTCCGGCGGCTAGATTGACGATATGTTTTCCACCCCAGCAGAAACCAGCTCCGTAGATAGGAAGCTCGGCACCTTCGTTCTCGCACACGGACTTGAAAAAGTCCCTGACGATCGGCCATGATACCCCGAACGTATTGTAGTACATGAAGGGCAGCATTCTTGTCAGCATTGAGGCCAGATGGTATCTATAGCTTGAATTAGTGGCCGTTTTATACAGGCGCGACCCGGTTTGTTGTTTTATCGACTTACGGTTTCATAAGCCAGGTGGTTAGTCCGGTCGTCTTCAACAACTCTTTTGTCGCAGACATCATACTGACTGGGGCCGCGTGCCCTAATATTACGCTTAGCGAGTCATCCTTGGGGGTCTTGAGGGACACTAGAACATACCGTCCATGAAGTCAGGTAGATAAACCAGGTACTTCCCCTTTTCGGCGTAGTTGTCAGCCAGAATTCGATTGTTCACGAACTCCCAGCCGAAGGCGTCGGGCACTATGATGATAATGCCCCGGTGGGGTACATCGTTGAGAGGTTTGGTCGCGTAGGCCTGTAGGCCATGGAGAGAAGGTGACTTCCCCACGGGGAGTGCCTTGGTGGATATGACCGCTGAAACAATTCGGGCACGACATGGTGAACTAACAGTTCAGGGGGCTAGTAATTGCAGGATGTGAAGTGCAAGAGGCTAAGTACTTTCACATGCCGGGGGTTGCCGCTTACTTTCTGGGGGCGTTCTTCGGCCGAACAGAGTTAGACTTCGGCTAGTTATTCGTAAAGAATGCTCAGCTTAATATTTTGAGGAGGTAGCACATATATATTATCGAAGTAACCGGTGGCTTCTAATGACATGTGTTGGCCTTGCAGCCTGAGGTCCGCTCCTTCCTCTCATGTAATGTGGCTAGTATGCCTACTATCCACAGTACTTTCACTCCATATTGATCCATTTGATCGCACGGAACATGTTCGCGTGAAACTCCTCCGAAGCCTTCACCAGAGCCGGAGATGGATATGACCAGAAATAATGGGGATACCCGGGATAATCATCGTACATAATGGGTACACCAGCCTCCTCCAGGGCTCCTTTTAACAGTCGAGCATCATCCCTCAGTGTATCCGTCCCACATTCCACAATATACACCTTCTTCAGATCCTTCAAGCGCGGGTGCAGCAGAACTGAGAAATATTTATCAGCAGGCGGCGGAGCATAGGAATCCAGGAAACATTTCATCGCAGCCGATGTGTTAACAGTGTGGTAAGCGTTTTCCTGGTGAGCAGTAAAGTGCTCCTTCTTGTCTTCCGGTACTGCATCCGGGTGCACAGTACAAGGAACCAAAGCCACGATACCTCTGACTTTATCTCCAACCCCGGCATCGACGAGTCTCAATGCGACACCAAAAGCAAGGTTGGCACCTGCCGAGCCTCCCATGAGCACAACAGATGAAAGCGAAAAGTGCTCGAGTGTCCACAAGGTTGCCTCGACACAGTCGTTGAGACCGTGGGGGAATTTGAATTTCGGTGCGAGTCTGTATCCAATACTGACGACTTTCATGCCGGTGCTCTTGGTGATATGTCGGCATGCAGCATCTTCGTGGTCGACGCTTCCCATAATCCATCCACCGCCATGCATGAACAGGCCGACTAGTTCGCTTCCCGTTGATGATGGGGGTGTGAAGACTCGGACCCAGGCATTTTTAAGTTTGATGTCTTTGGTTTTGACAGAATCATCCGGTGGCAGGATTTCGTATTTAGATATGATCTTTTGTATGTTGACCTCGGAATCTTTATACAAGTCCTCGACCGTGGAGCCTGTCATGAGCAGTGGTCCAATTTCTTGGACAAACTTGTTAAGGTCAGCATTTGTTATTATTCTGTGGTTGGACTTGATTTACCTCATCCCACGCAGGTGCATATATCGATGACATGTTTCTTTTTGATTCGACTGGCAAGGATATGTAGGATGTTGGAAATGGCCATTTGCTTAGTCTTTCGATGAAGAGAGGACATAATTATCTACTACGTTCTTAATATAGTGGCCTAGGAATAGATAAGGGTGTCTATTCTCTCTTACCGGAGAATAACTTTGAATCATGAATGATATTTGAAGAGTGATAATGACTCATGATTATTGGCTTTGAGGATCACTGAGGCTAGTCTGCGGATACTCATAATGACTCATGCTAGCGACAACGATCTTCGAATCCATTCTTTTTGGGCCGATTTACAAGAGAACAATAAAAGGAAAAAGACAAAAAGTCTGGTTCATATTGTGTTAGGCAAGTGATTCAGTGTTGTATTGGCCTTCCCATTCTTCTTCTCTCTTGGCACAGACAAAAAGTCCATACATCTCCCCATCTATTTCTCTGGCTCCTCTGCGAAGAACACTGGCTTGGAGGGGTGAGTGTTGACACGCAAGCTCAACATGTCTGGTCTGGAGTAGTGTCCAACAACATCAAGCCATTGCTTAGCTCGAAGTTTGTCGTTGACATCGACATTGGCGTACAGGATTCCTTCTTTATCGGATGGCATGGTAGAAATAGGCTCTCCTCCTGGGCCGAAGATGGCCGAGAAACCCCCGCCAGTACCCTGAATATGTTCTACACCTCGTACCTTGTTCTTGTCGAAGTTCTCCTCAGACAGTACTTGGGTGCAGACAAGGACAAAGCATGCACCTTCGAATGCCATGACCTGAGATAGTCTGGAGCTCATATCACCGGTGATAAAATAGGGCCACCGCGAGCCGACAGATTCCGGCCTATCTGAGAGGACTGGCCACGACGGAACATGAATGTCGACATCCTGCTGATACTTATAGTATCTAAGGAGCGGTTGTGTGTGCTCCTAACAATTGAGTCCTCCAATTCTTCCGAAAGGCGAATCGACGACACATTTCAACGAGTCGCCCTCGCCGGTACCCCAGTACGCTCTCTCCACATGGGTTGGCTTGGTCTTACGCCGGTGATGGACAATCTGGCCATCAGTATTGATGAAGACCTATTGAATCCAACCAGTCAGCTCGGTCAAATCGAGACACCTATAGACTGGGATCTCTCTGACCTGGGAAATGTAAAGTGAGCCCTGGTGACGTTCACTGAATCTAAGAACACAAAATGTCCCATTTTCTTTGACCGCAGCCTGGATACGGCGCATCTCGTCCGAGTCGACAGCCAACGAATTATGGAAGTACTCCTCCATAAAGGGGGCGTTGTCCAGTGGAGTTGCGGTGAAGATACTCCTAACACCACCTTAGGGACCATCTTCAGTCATTGGAGATGAAGAGCTTACCACGGATAGCCGGGAATAAAAACCTCGGGGAATCCAACAACATTGGCGCCTTCCTTGCCAGCGTCACCCAGGAGAGAAATTACCTTGTTGACACCACCCTGCAGATCATTCCAGGCAGGCTCTGCCTGAACCGCTGCGACACGAACTCTTCTTTCGGCAGGGGCAGTCATAGTGTAGATCAAAGACACTTGGTAACCCGTTCGATCGGATAGTTTGGTGAAGTCGCTTCAGGGAGAAAGCCGGCTTTTATCCTTTCTTGAATTACTCTACATGCTTAACCTGATTTATAACAGACTCGGCGACCAATAGCCTGTTGTCTACCCAGCCCTGTGTTTTCTAGGTAGGATACCTACATATGCAGGTAAACCCCGGGGACCTATCCCGGGGGATTATAGCTCCGCCGAGTGGATTTGAAGACTTTGTCTCGGTTTACCCCGCTCAGATATTGCCTTGAAGCGGAGATGGATGCGCTGTAAAGCTTCATGTACATAATGTGAGTACGATACGTACAAAGCTTCGAGCCTGTGGTCTCAGAGTAGTATTTATCATCGGCAAGCATTGTGCGGTAGAATCCACCGCTCGATGACAATCGCCTGCATACGAGATGCATCAGACATTGCTGGCTGATCTTGCGCAGGTAAAGCAATTTCTGGATACGGTGACATCTCCATAAGGTGAATATATAGTTGACATAGTGGTCCATCGCCAGCCATATATGCTGAGCAGGGATATCAAACTAGATATTAAATGCGACAAAATAGCTAATAATCTGCCTTGAATTTTTAATAATATATATGAGCGCCTTTCGTAGAGAAATACATGATACGCAGTTTAAGTAAAGCGTAGGTGTGTTTGATAAAGTTGATAAAGTGCGAATATAAGACGAGTCCCCCCGACATTCATACGTACATGTGTAGACCCTGTAGTTACCGTCGATATATAATTTCTATTTTCAGTGCTTCAGTGCTCGTCTCCTGTCCCTTGATCACTGGGTAACTTCAGAATATGCCTGACTGCAACAGCATCCTCTTTCCTATAGTCCTCAAGTACCATACTAAGAAACTCATCATCACGCAGAAGATCTACATCTGCTTTTGCCTCTTCCACAAAGTATCGCACCATTTCAAGATTTCCACTCAAGACGGCGGCAACAAGTGCATTGCCGGCCGCATTCGGTACGTTTACAACTGCTTTTGCCTCCTCCACCAGATATTTCACTACGTCAAGAGTTCCCCAGGCGGCGGCAGCAAGCACAGTAACAAAAGTGTCCTCGCCAAGCGGAAGATTCACATCGATGTTTGCTTCCTCCACGAGGTATCTCACAATATCCAGTTTACCAGAGAAGGCAGCGGCGGCAAGCACATTGCCGTGGGTTCTCACATGAACTAGAAGATTCACATCCGGGACCTCCTCTGCAAAATATCTCACGATAACCAAGCTTCCATTCCCTACGGCGGCATATAGTGCACTGCCGTAGTCCCCACTCTGGAGTGGGAGATTCACGTCTGCGTTTGCCTCCTGCACAAGGTATTTGACCGTGTCCAGTCTACCCCAGTTGGCTGCGGCTGCAAGTGCGCTTCCATATCTGCCATTGGCATTGCACTGATTGACGGGAACTCCTTTTGCAATAAGAGTTGCGCACAGAGGTATGCAATTAGTCATGGCAGCTATCGTGAGCAAATCTTCTCCGCGGTCATTTTGTTGAAATGGGTCAAAGTCATTGCTGTCGCACCATTTGCGAAGAGTCTTTTCATACAATGAAAACTGGGCTATAGTAAACATTGGTGTCGTAGCGGGTGCCAGGTCTTCATGAGACAAAAGTGGCCCTGCCCGGAATGGCAATTGGACTGAAAGACTGTGCTCTTTAATGTGATCTAACCATCGAACGTAAAAGGCGCTACTTTTGTTGGGTGAACCAAGGAATTTCTTTAGCAAAATGACAGATTGATCTTCCTCAGGCTGCGGCGCAAGGGCGTAGAAAGCCCAGCAGGTCTGAGCGTGGTGAGAGAAAGGATGTGTTTCATCAAATGGATCCTGGGAGCTTCCAGGAAGTGTTTCTGGGCCAAATGTTCGCATAAGAGACAGAAGACACACCTGGGCACAGTAAGAGTGTGCATTTTGATACATCTCAAGGGCCTTCTCGAGGTACTCCCTCGCTGAAAGGTGGAAAAATCTCCATCGACCATCGGTATCAACTATGAGCAAGTTCTCACAAATTGAGAGCAAGGTCTCTTGCTTCACACAACTCGCCAACTTTATGTCGTCTTTCTCAATGGCCATGCGAGCGGCGGAGAGGAGTTCTTCACTTGTGAGCGGATAAGGAGAGCACAGCACCCACTTGAACGTGCGTTCTGCTATGGCTTGTTCCGGCGGAAATCGGGTTTGGATTTTCCGATATATTTGGTCATACATCCCGTCCAGCCCCTTCGGGAGGGTTTCCAGTGCGTAATCGATCGATTCAACGGTGTCGCATTGTACAATTTGCTTTACCTGGAGGGCGGCCCAGAGGAACCTGGTTTCGTTAGTGTAGAGCTTTTTCGGTCATTATAGTCATGAGGTCTTACATGTTGTCGCATTTCTCGAGAATAACTCGAACAACAGTGTCCTTCATAGCGGCAAGTTCTGAGTTGGGATGCTTCTTCTCAAATTTATCCATCTCCTTGGTCACGAATTTCTCAATGTCCTTTTTGTTGTCCTGAGCCTGGATGATGACCGTTGAACTTGAGCCATATTTTGCGCCAATGTTTTTCTCAGGCCGGCTGGCAACAAAGAGCTTGACTCTGCCTCTGTCTTTAGTCTCAGCAATGGCATCCTCAAGAGCCTCGACCAAAATATCAAGTTCATCGTCCAAAACTTCATCCAAGGCATCAAGAATGATGACACTGGTTGAATATAGATTGAATGCTTCCACGAGCTGACGACAGCATTCTGAGGAGCTGAGTTGTGATGCTCTATTGGTTGCTCTTTCCCGTGCATCTTGAAGGCTTCTCCTCACCGATTCGGTGCTGCCTTTTGGGGCAGCAAACTGACGAACTAAGCTTCGAAGCACTGGTAGTGCTTCCCGCCGATTTTTCTCGTCTTGGTTGCAGAAGAAATAGCCAAATCCTTCCATTTGGGATCCCTTCATGTCCTCGATATGCTTGACCACAGCTGAAGTCAAAAATGATTTTCCCGTGCCAGCTAGCTTTTGTCAGGGAGGTAATATATTTCGAGGATTGGGCAGACTCACGAGATCCTTGAAGCCACAGGGTACTGGATAAAGGTGAATCCATCCACTCACGGAATCTCCCATCTTGAACAAGCCAATCACCAGTACCAGGCTCCCTTCTTTCTTCGATCTCATCGTGATGACGGCCATACTGGATATCCGAGACCCATTCAAGAAGGTCCCTCCGTTCTTGGTCATTCACCCATTGGAAGACATGTTCCATATGCCGAGTGATTCTGTTGAGGGACTTCTGAGCTTCTTGGAGATAATCCTTGAAAATAACTTCTTGGTGAGCGCGAGCCGTGTCTTCACACTTACCAGCCGCTGTTGCGAGCTCTTGTTCCAATTTTTCCAATTCCAGCAACATGTCACACGACCTCGTAGTGTCAAAAATAGCCTGACAAAATTGCACGGCAGTGTTGGACGAAAGATCTGACGACGTGACCAGTAGTTCCAACACACACCCATACAATGCCACGATTGCATCGTGAAGTTTATCCACGACATCCTTTCTCCCCGTCCGCTCGGGGTTGTATATCTCGTAGTAGACCTGACCGCAGAAGATGGCACCCGCCACTTTGTCAACAACAGAAAGTAGGGCGCTCTTTTCTTTGTCGAAAGTATCGATTCCCTGGATTCCACACTGTGTAAGCAGTGCCTTGTACCTTCCTATATAGAGAACCGACCTCGAGGACTGATCTTGCCACAGCCCACACGCCTCCAGCTCCAGGAGCCGGCGCAAATTGAATGGCCACGTCCCCAATTTTCTCGGCCCAGTGAACGATCTGGAGGGTTGTTTGTCTCACTGGGATCTCATGGTCTCCTATTTGGACCCTCCAATCTTTAGCCAAGCTTCTGTCCCGCTGTGTTTCGGCCTCTTTTTCAAATTCCTTAACCTGATCGACCATACTCTCAGAGCCTTGTCGGTTCATGCCTCGCCTTTCGAGTTCTTCTTGCGATTTGCGAGGCAATTTCTCAAAGGCTTCAAGCCACAAGTCACGCCCATCGCTTGCTGGTTTCTGCGGTGGAAGGTTGATCTCTGTGTCTTTGGGGGCTGAAGACGAGAGAATCGCTTTGCCATTGCTTTCGGATATTGGATCTGGCTGGCTGATAGGATCTTCTGCAGGTGTGCGGCGTTTCAATCTTGACACAAGACTCTTGAGACCCATGATTTATTTCTTTGGCTAGAGGGCTTACCCCTCCTTTGTGCTGGGCGCTTACTGGTAAATCATTGACAGGAAACAGGAAAGAGGAAACAGAGAAACATGGAGCGCAGTAACCCAGTATTGCAAGCTAACAGGAAACTGGAGGAGAGGAGAAAAAGAGAGGGAAGAAGGAGAAGCCTCCACCCCACAAGTAAGCAGCAGGCTGAAAAATCAGACGCTAACCTGAAACATTAAAACATGGCCTTTCTATATACAAGAAGTAAATAAGATGCTTAGCTTGCCAGAATCTATGTTTATATTGTGCAATGTACTTCATAGGCCCATTTACAGCCTGGTACCCATGTTCACATGAACCGCCTTAATTTGGCTATAAGCTTCCAAACCTGCCTCACCCAACTCGCGTCCAATGCCACTCTGCTTCACACCACCAAAAGGAATACGCGGGTCACAGTCTTGGCTGCTGTTAATCCAGACCATACCGGACTCAATCTCAGCAGCCACGCGGTGAGCACGCTCCAGATCACGCGTGAAGACAGCCGCACCCAGGCCGTAAGTGGTATCATTGGCCCGACGAATAGCTTCTTCCTCATCATCGAAGGGGAAAATCACCACGACGGGGCCAAACACTTCTTCACGGGCAATGCGCATAGAGTCGGTTGCATTGACAATAACGGTTGGTTGAATGAAGTACCCATCCTTATTCTTCTCGTCAGTCGGCGTGTAGGGAGCGCCACCAGTGAGAATAGTAGCTCCTTCGTTCTTGGCAATTTCAAAGTAGGAGAGGATACGGTCGTATTGCGCGCGTGTCACCTGCGGGCCGTGGAAGACCGACTCGTCCCACTGGTCGCCGATCTTCACACCCTCCACTGCAGCCTTGTAGCTAGCAGTGAATGATTCGAGGATATCGCGGTGGACGAAGATACGTGAGGTGGCGGTACAGATCTCGCCTTTGTTGGACATAATACCGCCATGCGACCACTTGACAGCCTGGTCCATATCCGCATCCGGGAAAACCAGCAATGGGGACTTGCCGCCTGTTTCGAGAGTGATATTCTTGAGTGTGCCGGCAGCCATCTTCATAATCTCCCGGGCAGTCACCGTTGATCCTGTGAATGCGACCTTATCGATCAATGGGTGCGAAGCGAGCGTGGCGCCAGCCTCGCGCCCGTAGCCATTGACGATGTTTACCACGCCTGGAGGGAATCCTGCCTTCTTGATCAAGGTACCGAGAATGAGAGCGCTGAGAGGGGTCTGCTCGGCTGGCTTCAGAACAACTGTGTTTCCACATGCTAGTGCAGGGCCAAGCTTCCAGGTGGCCATTGAAAGGGGGTAGTTCCATGGAATGATCTGTCCAACTACGCCAATGGGCTGGCGGATTGTATAGGCGAACTTTTGGGGAGTTGTATTGATGGTTTGGCCAAAGGTTTTATCAGCCCAGCCACTGTAATAGCGAATTGTTGTGATTGCCTCGGTGAGATCTTCGTCAAGGGCGACGTGGTAGGGTTTTCCTGCGTTCGATAAGCAGATTGTCTCCAGTTTGGGGGATTTCCATACATACCATTATCCCAAGCTTCAATAGAAGCAAACAGCGCTCTGTTCTCCTCCATGAGATCGGCGAGTCGGGCCATCAACTGGCCCCGCTCTGTTGCGGGAAGCAACTTCCATGAGGGGTGGACCAGGGCCGCTTTGGCAGCCTTCACGGCGCGGTCGACATCTTCGGCGCTCGCTGCTTGGACGGTGGCAATGGGCTTGTCAGTACTAGACAATAGTTAGTGAGGTGTACAGAGAACTTCCGATAATGACGTACGCGGGGTCAAGAGATGTGATGGTCTGGCCTCCTGTGGCGGGTACAATCTCGTTGTTGATGAAGAGGCCGGTGGGCTGCTTGTAGCTGTGCCCATTGGGGGTGACGATATCAATGAAGAGGTCCATTTTGATTTTGTTCTTGGGTATAATAGAAGTTTGAACAATTCCAGCTCCTTCACGGCGCGTGGGGTATGATATAGGATATCTCTCCCAATGAGGTTAAGCCCCTTCAGGCAAGTCCTTCCGATATACTCTCCGCGATGTTAGTGATATTATAGGTAAAATAGATTAGAATGGTTATTCTCAATTTATCCTGATCTTAATACCCTCGGCTTATTTCTGATTATTCGATTAATAGATATGCCGGACTCTTATGTCGGATTAAGGTGCATTCTTGCTTTTTTCGATCAGCCATGTTCTCAGCCCTAACATGTCATCGGATGTATATTTCTCAAGCTTCTCTCAAGTTCTAGCTAAACATGTTTATTGCAATAGTGGAATATGTTACAAATGCGAGTATATACTGGAAGGATAAAAAGTTAACTCGTTTCGAAGCTCAACGCCAATTGACTGTAAAGGTACCACCGGTGTCAGAGATGCAATATACAATGACGTTCAACGGCCTTATTTAAACCCCGCAGGTACCTAGGTAGTTCATTTCGGGGTATATCCTTGGCTAGTCGGAAGCACAGTCCACATGCGAGGCCATTGGTGACATCCCGATCCACTGTGTGGCCATTGCGGAATCCCTGCATAGCACGATCTGCATGTCATGCCATCAAGTCTTCCAACCCCTAAAGAACTGCTATCTTATCGCTTTAATCTACATGAAGCAGAATTCCAATCGAAAGAACGTAGAATTCGAAATAAAAAACTCCCAAAAGAGAAAGAAGCCTCACCCCGATGGTGGGGATACATCCTAAATAGGAAACCTGTCCCGATACGGCAAGTCACTCCTCTACAGTCTGAAGTAGATATAGAATCATGAATCTAGAAAATATAGAAACGGTAAGAGATTCCATAATCAGATCAACTATATCTAGATCACCACTTCCTCCAACCCCGCCATACTCACCATATTTCCAAACAAACCAAAACATCTCTCCTCTCACTTCCTATACCTACCTCCAACCTCCAAAATGGACCCCCCTCTACGGAATCATGGTGGCCCTGATCACCCCCTTCACAGACGACAAGACCGCCATTGACGAAGGCCGTCTGCAAGCACACATCGAGCACCTGATCAAAGCAGGCGTGCACGGTCTCGTTCCAGGCGGCAGCACAGGCGAATTCACCACAATGACCGTCGCCGAGCGCAAGCAGCTAACAGAGCTGTGCGTTAAGTTTGCCGCTGGCCGCGTCCCCGTCGTCGCTGGCACAGGCAGTCTCTCATCCGCCGAGGCCGTCGAGCTCTCCGTACACGCCGCCAAAGCCGGCGCCGCAGCCACAATGGTCGTGCCCCCCTTCTACGACCCCGTCATCCTGGAGCAGCTGCACGAGCTTCTCAATGAGATCCACACGGCCTCCGGTCTGCCCATTGTCTTCTATAATATTCCTTCTGCGTCGGGAATCACCCTGTCCCCCACTGAGATCGCCGGTCTGTCTAAGGTCGGCGTCAAGTATCTGAAGGATACCTCTGGTAATGCCCCGGCCCTGACGGAGCTTATCTTTTCTCTGTCGGATCAGATTACCTCGTTTAATGGATGGGATACTTTGACTTTCTATGGTCTTGCTGCTGGCGCCCCCGGTGGTGTCTGGGGTGCAGCGAATATTATTCCTGAGTTGGCCGTTGAGCTTTATGAGGCTGTTTCTGTTAAGGGGGATTTGAAGCGTGGTCGTGAGATTTGGGCTAAGGCTTTCCCCATTTGCAAGTTCCTTGAGTCGCATAACTACGCTGCTGCTGTTAAAACTGGTGTTGAGTTGATTGGCCAGCCCACTGGTGGCTTGCGCAAGCCTTTCGCTCTTCTCAACCCGGAGTTGACGGCGGAACTTAAGCAATTGCTGCAGAATGCTGGTGTTAAGACTGTTTAGGTTTTTGTTCATTTGTTCATTTGATGATTTGGAATGCTTGAATGTCGGAATGAGAATGCGACACGTACTATCCATGTACATAGTTTATAGAATATACAACCTTGGAACCATATTCATCACGTCATAAAGGTGCATAGTACAAATCGTACGATATAGTCAAGACAAGAATAACCAGCTATGTTAACAAAACAAGGGCCATATCTGTCCTTGCTTCACAACGTCAACCCATGATGGCATCGCTTCACCCCGGTTCGCAGTCAAATGCTCATCCTGCTTGCGCCACACTTCAGTGATAATATTTCTGGCCGTTCCAAAAGCAGCAAACCCGCATATTGAGCTCGCCTTATCCAACATGCTCATAACAGCCTCTCGTCTTGCGGTTGACATTGCCTCACATCCTGCAATAAACAACGGCCACGCTGTTCCAGGTCCGGTGGGATCATCTTGGGTCAGTGTTGCACTGCATGCCTGAAGCGCTGCAATAACACTATCAACATGACCCTGCAGAGCGGCGGGGTGGGTCTTTCGGATTCGCCTGTAAAAGAAAATTACTAGAGCTGCATTCAAGGCCTCCACCATATGACCGTGCGGTTTTGAGTCGGCATGGAGCTCCAGGACTCCGGCTCTTGTTCGACCCAGGCTGAAAGAGCAGATCATATTTTCCAGGCGAGTGCTACGTCGCTGTAGTGTTTCCCACGCTTCAAGGCCCATGGTCTGACCCGCCTCACGGGCAATACGGAATGTCTCTAAAACGTTGGCTAGTCTTGTGGTTTGCGAGACAAGGCCAAGCCAGGTTTCTGGGATGCCATAAATCTGCTTGTATAATGTTTCAGGATAACTTCTCGAGTCCTGAAGATGGATGTCGTGGAGTCCTGAAGTTTTGTCCTTGGGTTCATCGATATTGAGATCACTATCCGAGTTTTGTGTTTCGAGGCGGAGGAAATCATCCAGCCGAGGGTTTGGCTCAGCGTTCGCCATCTGTTCTGAGTTCGGTGTGTGTTGTAATCGAAATCGAGAACCGAGTGCTTCAAGAGAGGAGGCAGAGAGGTTGTAGTCATGTAGAACAAATGTGCTCTCGCCGACGATTCTTAGCCAGGTGTAGACGTGGTGCAAAAGTCGCGCCTTTTTCGATATTCGGGTTTTTGAAAGACCTCGAAGCCGTAATAATCGCTCTGCATCAATCATAAAACATCGGGCGTGTTGTTGTTGACCGGACATGATCTGTGGGAGTCAGAGTCATTCAATTGATGTCAAATAGGAAACTCACCGTGTACTGTATGAGAATGCACGCAGCCATCAGCTGGTCTTTATATTTTGCTTTCTTTAAACCCTGTGTTTCTGACTGCAAAGACGTCTGCATATGATCCTTAGCTTGCAGGTATGCCTGGTTGGCAACCTTCCACCAATACTCAGGCGGCTTTGTCGATATTGTTGAAGGGTTGAGAACAAGATGAATAGCAGAGCAGGCGAGCAAGCCGTACAGATTTGCAAGTTTGGCCTGACTGACCTTTTCTGTCCCAAGAAAAGTCGAATCACTGTATGTTACCACCGCCGCCGGCACGTTCAAAATCTTCCAAGGCGATTTCTGTCGACAGGGAATGGCCATTATGTGTGGGATCACAATATCCTGAAAATGCTTAAGCAGGGACGGGGCCTCCTGCAATGCATCTACATCAGCCGAAATAAGCTCTGCTGGTGCCTGTTGTGTTGTGAAAGTGTGCAGTAGATCATCGTTGTGATTTGAGTCGACAGGTAGCAACCCCATCTCTTGACTCATATCGAAAGATAAATCATTCGGCATACTCAAGGCGCCGTTTGTTGTAATCTCCGTCTGGTCTAGACCAAAGCTCAATAGATCAGACCAATGGAGGAAGTCATCGATCTGAGACAGTGAATCAAGTATTGGAGAGGGATTAGACTCTTGCAGATTCTCAGGAGCCACAGTCTCAGGCGGGTCAACTGCAGGACTTATATCAAACGCGACAGGCTCAAGTTCGTGCACCAATTCCTGCTCTAGCTTCCGTGGCGCTGAAGAGAAATCGAGAACCGCAAATGGTCCAATGACAATGTCACCGTCGAGCGAACGTTCAGGGTCTCGCAGTCTCGAGTCCACCTCTGCCAGTGATGCATCAATAGATCCGGATACGAGATCAGACCCAAGCGCAGTGCTCATAGAAAGTCTGGATTGCTCTAGCACACGGGTTAATACCAGCAAGTCCAATTCGTCTCATACTGTCAGGGCCACGTACCCGAATAAAGATACCGGCGAGTCCCACGAGCACTCTCAGTCTCCTCGCCGTTATCAGTACGCATCCACAAGACCTGATCGGAATATCCCTCGCATTTCACGTCTAGGGCCCGACAGGTGCGACACACGGGCCGTTTCTGATCGCATTTCACATGCCGGCGTCTGCAGGTGCTGCATCCTCCCAGCGCATGGGATCGGCGAGGTCTTGATCGCTTAGATGTCGCCATTTCTAATGGTCTGATATATTCAATCTAAAAAGGAGCTTATTGCTGATTCCATTTCCATATTGGAAAGGGAAAGTCGAAGTCATAGCTAACCCCGCCACAATCGGAACCGCCTTCTAATCTTGGACATGGGATTCCTTATCAGCTTATCTCCTCGGAATCACCTGCTCTTCCAATATCTTTTCCTTCGTCCTTTTAACAGCAATTTCATTCCAAACCGACTAAGATCGCCTCTCTGTTTGCCCCAGATCACAAGTGGGACAGGAAAGCAGATTTGGGCCGGTTGGAAACGAAGCCGTCAACAGCCCGTTTGGCCCAGTAAATAATGTAGATAATGTTGTGCACTTCATTGCCACCATTGGGAACGACGACCTTGTCAGAAGTGGCCGTTGACCGTAACCAATACTGACACGGCGCTCGCTCCAGATATCTTGAACACAGTATCTTGAGCCGCATGAACAGCTCTGATTCTCTTTTCGTGGAGCCTTTTCTTGGCAGGCTTGGACCCAGCATGTTTGACTAGACCACGCACAATATCCTCGCTCTTGTATGACCGGCGCTGGCACTATATTTGTATATGTTGTAAATAGTGTTTGGTAGGGTGACACCGTCCACCTGTGGACGGAATCTCAGTCTGGCAAGCGACTCCGATGATCGTCTTCTACAATCGGAAACCAACCCCAGAAACCAATCTATAGCAGCGAGGAGCTACTTGTGCGCAACTCAATCCGGCAATGGAAAATGATCTCGGGAGAGGAGAGGTCGCCGGGAGTCCTTCTTATTTGAACTGTGCCATCGTCGCCTCGCTCTATCCATTTTTCTTATACAATTTCTATAATCACATCCCAACGCAAACGGCACGATGGCTCACCGCGGAGAGACCCTTCACAAAGATGTATGCTGCATTGCTGACTTGAAGAATATGGGGAGTAGTCGGCTGGCTCCGATGGTCCGAGGTGAGTGTCGTCAGTTTACCGCAACGATTTATTGTGTCAGTGCTAACCTCGATAGACTACTACAATGGAGGAGCTATGGATCTAATCACGTATGGAATATCAAAATATCAAACCGCAACGACTGCCCCAATTCCCTAACATTTGTCTAGTCTCAACGAGAACGAAACAGCCTACGACCGCTACAAGATCCGTCTTCGGGTCTTAATCAACGTCGACAAGATCGACACAAGCACCGAATTCCTCGGAAGCAAGGTATGTGATGTTCCGCTTTCGCCGCATAAACGAACGCAGTGCGAACTCTAACACTCAAACCACAGGTCTCGCTCCCATTCGGCTTCAGTCCCGCCGCATCAATGAAACTCGCCCACCCAGACGGCGAGCTCGCGACCTCGCGTGCAGCTGCAAAATTCGGCCTTGCCATGGGTCTGTCCTCGTACTCGAATTATCCGCTCGAGGAAGTTGCCGCACAGGGGACCGGGAATCCGTATGTCATGCAGATGTGTGTACTGCGGGATCGGTCGATTACGCTGCAGTTGTTAGAGCGAGCAGAGAGTATGTCGTATCTGAATGCTTCTTTTGTATGGTTTCATTGGCTGGGCGGGGCTAACATCCTTTTTCAGAGGCTGGGTACAAGGCGCTGTTCCTATCTGTTGATGTACCTGTGCTAGGCAAGCGCATCAACGAATACCGGAATGAATATACCATTCCGGATGATATGTCGTGGCCGAATATCCTCAGTCACGGGGCGGATCACTCGGACCGCACCGACTACGGTATGTACCGTGGAGCTGATTTAAAGTTGATGTAAGGTTATAGAGAACATGCTGATGTCTTATAGACCCCAGTTTGGACTGGGAGGAAACAATCCCTTGGTTGAGACAACATACCTCTCTGAAGATCTGGCTTAAGGGTGGTATGTTTGTGTTGTTGAGTGACCCGAGTAAAGCAGGTCACAGTTCGACTAACAATCGATGATACAGTAACTACCCCCGAAGATATAGAACTGGCGATCAAATATGGCATCGACGGCATCGTCATTTCAAACCACGGAGGCCGGCAACTGGACGGCATGCCGTCGACATTGGATGCACTGCGAGTCTGTGCCCCAGTAGCCAAGGGTCGGATCCCGATCGCGGTGGATGGAGGTATCCGACGAGGCTCGGATATCTTCAAGGCTCTGGCGTTGGGGGCTAGCTTTTGCTTTATCGGAAGGATCCCGTTCTGGGGGTTGGCTGTATGTGGTTCCTTCTGTTGGTAATTCTGTTTACTGACCAAATACAGTATAACGGACAAGAAGGTGTTGAACTGGCGATTAAGATCCTCCGCCAAGAACTGCGGATCACCATGGCATTGGCTGGGTAAGTGAATTCCATTCCAAGGTTGTTCTGGAATGCAAAAAAAAAAAAAAGAAAAAAAGAAAAAGAACGCTAATCGGAAGCAGGTGCCGAACGATCAGCGAAATTCAAAGTTGTTACCTTTCTGTTTTGCGGCCGGATGGAATTCTGTCGAAGCTATGAGGGATATTTTACTATTTCGAGTTCCTTCAACGCACGTCTACACGTACATAGATATCTATGATATAGATCATACAGTTCATCGACCTTTCAAGAGTGCAAATGAGGTTCTTGAAAAAGTGTTACAATACCATTACCCCAATACAAGCAATACATAAGCTGTTTGCCAAGACCTTCAGGTCTTGGCAACTGCCCACAAGGCTGAAGGGCTGATTGCTTTTTTCCTACTTCGGTGGCTTTCCGATACCTAGGTAGAGAACAAGCTATAAAAGGCTGTGCAATCCATATTCTATCTGCCTACAATACCCGAACATAGCCACAGTTCTAGAAGTAAATATAGAGAACTGGAGAATATAGCCCTACGTAGGTATACTGCGAAGCCTCAGTGTGGTCCCTGGTACCAGGCAGCATCATTCTGATTTGTCCAGCTAAACTTAGCAACACTCCGTACTCGTACCCCATCTGACTTGCATAAGCCCTATAGAGTATTGGAATGTGTAAGCGTTTAATCTCTTTTGTCGGGCGCTAGTTGTTTCATTTGACTTTGGACTTATTTTTCAGCCGATCGTCGAAACTATTGGAAAAAACTACATATAGCGTCCTTTTCTCCTTTCTGTTTTATCTTTCTTCACTTTTCTTTGTTCTCTATACCTCTTATCCTACACCTTAACACTATTTCCAACCTTGTACCATATACACATACTACTACCACAATGTTCAACTTCAACTTCTTCAAGTCTACCCCGGCCAACGAGCCCACTGAAAACTGGAACGCCAACACCGTCACCATGCAGCCCACCAGCCCCGCTGCCCCCTCAAGCAACCAGAACGTCGTCACTGAACAGCCGGTATGTGCACCATAACCCATAAATAAAACTCATATTTCCAGAACAAAAATTAACATCTATATCAGGCCAGCCAAGAACAAATGCAGCTGCGCGGTGGTGGCGGCGGTGGTATCTGCTGCGGAGTGTAAGTTCCCTATCCCCCTCTGAATCCAACCCGAAAAAACATATTCGGTCATGCGCGCGATAAAATTCCAGAAGACTAACTCATCCCCAGTTGCGCCGGTATCGCCTGCTTCGAGTGCTGTGAGATTTGCTGCTAGACGATCAGAAGAGACCGGGCCGTGGCTGCCGATGCGACACTGTTGATGGACGCGGACTTGCTAGGGATAATTCTTAAGACCTTGGGACTCGTCGTCTACCGCGTGACATTGGCGGTCTTTCATGTGATGCGATTTGATGTGATTTGACTTGATGGACTTCCTTTTCTTTTTGCTATACTGGATCTTTCTACGCTATACCCCAGAACAATGCCAGTAATGGAGTTCAATTTCAGATTCTTGTGTTTTGACTCGCTTTGATATAAGTAGATGTTCATTCTGGTCGTGGCTCATGAAGTAGTCATTATATCCATGGAAGGACAGGTCTGTCAGACTTTGTGTTTTGGCTAACCAAAAGGACGACGGGAGATCGCTGATCGCAATGCGGCGTCTACATCCCATAGTCGGAAGCCTGGCGCGCGGCCGAGGATTCTGAGGTTTGCGAGGAGTACTAGGCTCATGTCAGTGATGTTGATAAAAACACAAGTCGCAAACGTCATCGACGGTCAACTCACGATCAAAGAAACACTCAACATCCAAAGTATACGAGGCCGAGGATTCCGACTCCATCTTAGTAACAGGAGGAGTCCCATCAGGAGAAGCGTAGAGACTGGAAACAGTCGATCGATCCGGCGAAAAGCCATATAAAGCCCCAACCAAGCTTTCCGGAACACCGAGCCTCAACCCAGACCCATCAAGCACAAAACCCCGATGCTCCAGATACCCCTGGACATCACGACAATCAAACCACTCGCCATCAAGATCCAGCGACCGAATCCTCTCCTCCTCACTCATCTGCGCCAGCCCATCCACCCCTCCCTCCATAACAGGCTCCCGATCCCCACTCCAATCCTCATCCCAATCCTGGATCCCGCCCCGCTGCAAAATCCGCACCATCCGCCGCAGGATCTTCCCCGGTCTCCGACTGTTCTCCGGGTACACGGGGTTCCCGTCGCTGTCGACGCACGGGAAGTGCTTCCCCGCACCGCCGAGCGTGTAGAAAGGCATCTTGATGAATTCTAGCCCGCTCCCGATCTCGGACTGCAGCGTGCGCCGGAAATTACGTCTTATGCCTGCCATGTCGTGGATGCAGGGGACTAGTCCGAAGACGCGGCTTAGCAGGGCTGGATCAGTGCGCGGGTCTGTTAGCCAGCGGTAGGTGTGCTCGAGGCTGAATCTGTGCAGGCGGCGGGCTAGGTTGGATTCTTGGTGGCTGTATGTGTAGATTGTTGTTGTTGGGAGGATGCGGTTTATTAGTGGGGATGGGGAACGGGCTCGGGTGTATTGTGGGTATGAAGAGGAGCTGTTGGAATCCTGCTTCTGGGGATAGGTGTGTGACACTTCGTAGCCGAATGTGGGCTTGTCCGTCGATGGACTGTTGTTCTGGAGTTGGAGATCATCGTCGTGCTCAGAGGTCGATCTGGCCTTGTTTATTTCTGCTAGGATGAGCTCTCGTGTGCGAGCGAGATAGTCCACGCTTGGCTGAAGAGTTGGATCGTCGTTGAGCTGATTGATCGCGTCGCGGTGGGCTCCGCCGAGGAGATCTGATACATTCTCTAGGGTCTGCTCTAGTACATTGACGCGAGATCTGAGGGTCTGGATGGTATTCTCCTTTTAAAGACGGTAGGTGCGTTGTGCCCGTCGGATCTGCAGACGGCGTTCCTGTGGAGCTGGTCAATATGTACAACATATTTCTATGGGCCGATCGGGATCTACCTCGATGGCAGTGGCATCTTTAGCCTCTAATTTCGGTCGGCCTCTTTTCCGTACGGGACGACCCGGGCCCGATTGTTTGTCGGTCACTTCATCGGGCATCTCCGGCTTGGGCTCCCCTTCGGGGTCTTAGATGGGTCAGTTCTCTGGACAAGGTGCCTATTGATATTTCTGCTTCTTGTGCCAGCTCCAGGTAGGATCTCGAGGATAGCATGTCCATCGTGGGTCTGCAGTCTGAGCTGAAATGGTAATATTCCAGTTTAGATTATCATAGAGAACAGAGTTGAGGTTGGGGTTGAGGTTGAGACGTTGATTACAATTAATTGAATTAATTGATCACTCATCTTCATAACCTCGGCCAAGCCCAACGCTAATGCAGACAGGGATTCCCCACTGGCCTTGCAGATATTTGCATATGCACATGACATTATGAAATTATGAAAATTATGAAATTAGCCTTGTGCACATTCTAATGTCAACCAGTTGATTTATTCTGACACAGACCTCTGACGATGCACGTCGGGTGATACATTCGGAGGAACTGAAAGTTCTAAGAAAGGGGGAACATCCACAAGACGGTGAAAGAATCCAACACGGTGACTCCGACGCGAACTCGGGTCTAAACACACACCAAGTAACTGCTCCGAGATCAGATCGGTGCAGGAATTGCATCGAGTGTGAAATCCGAACAGCCGATCGAATTTGACATCCACTTTGTCCGCGATTGGCTCTTGACCCTTAGCTTTGTGACGATCATTCCCATGCTACGGAGGTTTTCCCCACTTATGCTTGCAGCCGAGGTCGCTCCATCCTTATAAAAACACTTGTTTTCCTGCCCGCACTCTGGAAATCCAAATCCGAACTATCTAACCAGGACCATGGCTCTGTCATTCGTCTTGGGCTTTGCGGCCGCAGCCGTTGTGCTGCAGGTCATCCGTATGGTATTCAACTCGTGGCAACACTCGCGCAATGCTAAGAAGCTGGGCTGTGGCAGCGTGCCAATGTACCCTTGCAAGGATCCTTTTGGAATCGACAACTTGAAACAATCTCTGGCGGCAGACAAGGCCAAACTGGTACCTGAGTTGGCCGAGAGCGGGTCAAGGTTATCAGTAACCAGGAGAACCGCTATGTCACTACATTCTCTATCCGCAACCTCGGTCGCACCCACATCTTCACTATCGACCCCAAGAACATCCAGGCTGTCCTGGCTACACAGTTCAAGGACTTCGAACTTGGTTCTGTCCGCCAAATCAGCATGCATCCGCTGCTAGGCACTGGTATTGTGAGTCACATGCTATACCTTATTGATCCTGTCTCCAATCTAGGTATTGACTGTTTATAGTTCACCGCCGATGGAGAGGAATGGAGCCGATCCCGTGGCCTACTTCGGCCTCAGTTCACCCGCGAGCAGATCAGTCAATTGGAATTGGAAGAGGAGCACGTGCAAAAGGCCATGCAGGCTCTGCCCGTCGCAGCCAACGGATGGACCGCCGCAACCGACATCCAAACCATCTTCTTCCGCTTGACCATCGACTCCGCCACAGAATTTCTCTTCGGCGAAAGCGTCGAGAGCCAGCTGGGCGCCCTAAACGGCCTGAACAGATCCGAAGACTCATTCGCCACCTACTTCGACAAGTCCCAATGGGTCTGCGCGCAGCGAAGCCGCTTCGAGAAACTCGCCTTCCTCGCCGAGAACAAAGAAACCAAGTTCTCCGACAAGCAAGTCCACTCCTTCGTCGACAAAGTCGTGTCAAACGCTCTTGCAGCCTCCCAATCCGAAAAGAAACCCTCCAACGAAAAATCCTCCTACGTCTTCCTCGAAGCCCTCCTCGAAGTAACCCGCGACCCAATCGAGCTCCGCTCCCAACTCCTCAACATCCTCCTCGCCGGCCGCGACACAACAGCCTCCCTCCTAAGCTGGACAACCCTCATGCTATCCCGGCACCCAGACGTCTTCACCAAACTCCGCGAAACAATCCTCTCCAACTTCGGCACCTACTCCAACCCCGAGAACATCACCTTCGCCACCCTAAAATCCTGCCAGTACCTGCAGCACGTGATGAACGAAGTACTCCGTCTGTACCCCGTCGTCCCCTTCAACCGCCGCAACGCAACCCGCGACACGACCATCCCGCGCGGCGGCGGCCCAGACGGCCAGGATCCCGTCTACATCCGCAAGGGCCAGTCGGTTATCTACACGACGCATGTTATGCAGCGCCGTAAGGACCTGTGGGGTCCTGACGCTGACGAGTTCAAGCCTGAGCGCTGGACGAGTCGTCGCGCTGGATGGGAGTATATTCCGTTCAATGGTGGGCCGCGGATCTGTATTGGACAGCAGTTTGCGCTTACTGAGGCTGGATATGTTATTGTCAGGCTTTTGCAGCGCTTTGATCAGATTGAGAATGTTTATCCTGATCAGAAGATTCGTTATGGTCTTACTTTGACTAGTGCGCCTGGTGATCTTGTTACTGTGCGCTTGCACCAGGCTGAGGATGCTTGAGATTGTTGTGTTCTCCGCGGTTCTTTGGGTTCTGGTTCGGGTTTCCCGGCTAGGACGGTTTCTTTCGCGGCATTGTTATCCTAAGGGGTATATGCTTATAATGATGATGAGAATGACATATCTACTTAGTTCTGAATACACCTTCTATGATCTTGAGTTATTCTGGCTAGGGAGAAATTTAATAAGTTCCACACTTGAGATGTTAGACAGCATAGAAAATATGTAGTAGGCACTGGCATCTACGGATGTTTCATCAATTAGAGGCAATGTTGGTCTTCTAGCACTGGCCACAGGGAGACGAACGTCAAATTTCTCCTTTCTGTCCTAGTCTACGAACAAAGCGCGCATGATCACGCAGATCCTAGTCCTACATCCCTATTGGGCAGCTCAGAATAAGATTATGGAGGAAGAAAGCAGAAGACCGTCTCTATAACTACACAAGGAATAGAAAGAAGCGTCACCCAGCATGCATGCATGCAGTATTTGCAAATTGTAATTGAATATATATAATCGAAGTGAATCGAGAAGAAAGTAATGTATAAGAATGGTGTAAAAAAACAGTCGATCAAGAAAGAAAGCGCTGACACCAAGCCACCCTGTCAATAAAATCTCCCCCTTTGGCTTGATCCAAGATCATCCCTTAAGCAACGCACTGGTAGTAGTAAGGGTTCTGCTTGACGCAGGTGGTGCCAGTCTCACAGACAGTGGGGCCAGTCCAGTTGATACCACCGCACTGGTAGTAGTGCTTAGCAACATTTCCAGTAGAGGGGCTGTTGGTAGGTACCTGAGCATTGGGCTTGGCAGTGGAAGTGGAGGTGGCGCTGACGAGGGTAGTAGGGGTGACAGTGGTGGTAGTAGGGACAACAGGAGCGACAGGGGCGGAAGTCTGGGCGGGAGCGGAGGCCGAGCTGGACGGCTCAACCACGGAGCTAGGGGCCTGGACGTTGCTGCTGGGGGTGCTGGTGACGTCGATAGCAGCGGTGGTGGTCGATGTCTGGGCAGCAGACTTGGTAGAGGTGGGGGCGGAGGAAGAAGATGAAGCCGGGGCCGAGGCAGTGCCGTCGACGAAGTATTTCTCGAGGATGGGAAGGTAGGTCGAGTAAGCAGGGCCGTCACTTGGCTCCAAGCTGTACATGTAAGATCCCCACCAGGGACCGGCGGACCACCACTCGGCGCCCATCCAGACGTCGCTGTTCTCGGTCATGTAGGAGAGCATGCCGTCGACGGCAGCCTGGCAGTCGCTGTTGACGCCACCTGCGAACTCGCCGATGAAGCCCTTCTTGTTGTTTTCCTGCAACCAGGCGGTGGCGGACTGGAGACGCTCCTTGCCGATGGTGCTGCTGACGCAGGTCTCAGAGGTGCCGGAGCTGTCGCCGTCCAGGTACTGGTGCATCTCGTAGACGATCTTGTCCTCGGAGTCGGTAAGGGCCTTCAGGTTGTCGTTGTTGTCGGTCCAGGACCAGGCACCGCTCCAGGCGTTGCCTTCGACGAAGATGTACTGGCTGGTGGCGCCAGCGGCACGGATAGCGTTAATGGCGGCCTGGTTCAGGTCCAAGACGAGGGTCTGGTCGAGGCCGTGGTACTCGTTGTCTAGGGAGGTGTTAGTAGATAGTTTGATCGTGTGAGTTTGACAATGGGTGCTGGCATACTGGTGTCGAAGATGACCTTCTCGTTGGTGGCGAACTCAGTAGCAACGGTCTTCCAGAAGGCCTTGAAATCGGAGGTCGAGCTGATGATGTTGCCAGCACTGTAGATGGAGCGTTAGTATCATACATCATACCAATAACGGTGGGTAGTTGTGATTTTTGGTGCGCTTACTATCTTCCGTAGTTGTGGGGATCAAGGACGGCATAGGCACCGCTGTCGGTAATGAACTTGACAGTCTATAGAATGGAACTGTTAGACCCTGGGGAAATCAATAACAAACGGCAGACATATCACGTACAGACTTAAGGGCGGCCAGGTAAGTGGCATCCGGGGTGCCGGTCATGGTGGTTGGCACCAGGCGCTCCATCAAGAAGGGCACACGGAAGATGTTCATGCCCGCATCCCTGAGGATCTGAATCTGGGAAGTCTTGGGCCAGGTGTAGTCTTTTTCCAGAGTACCGGGAATGTTGCCCTCGCCGAATTCGGCACCGGATTCGCTCACACCGAGCCAGGTGAATCCATTTGCACGCTTCTTAATATCAGCGCTCTGCTTGTTAGGGACAGTGTCCCTTCCTCGGGGGTATGCGCAGGCCACGGTGGCGGCGCTGGCAGCCAGAACAATGTTTGTGAACTTCATTGCGTAATGTAAAAGAGAGTGAGTGTCGAGTTTGACGATAAAGAATGTGACGGAATAGGAGAAAAGGAATGAAAATCAAGAGACCAGTCTTGAGGTTTGAATGAAAGAGAATGAATGTATTGCACGAAGCAAGAGTGAAACCTGCGGAGGCCGTCTATTATATAGCCATCCCTGCACCGAGGGGCATCAAATAGCGCTTAGTATACGGGTACGGAGTCAACAGAGTGGATTCGGTTCACCGTTTGTGATCTCTCATAGAGCCACTCGGAACATTATTCGGCTTAATTATGACCGCGATACGGAGTACCGGGAAACGCTAACCCTGAGGGCTGCAGGAGATGTCTCTTCTAAACGGTGGATCTCCCCACCGAAGTATCCGGACAAACGGTCAAATTCTGAAAAGCCACTGATTCAAGCACGAGCGGATCAGAACTGTATACTCCGTACGGAGCAGGGACCGATATTATCCATAGTCGACCCCATCTGTCGGAGATTGGCAACGCTTAGCTCCATGGCCTGATGTCTGTGGAGATGAGATTACTAAACGGCGTAAAAGGCAGGTCAGTTTCCATTTTGCTAGTGTAGACAAGTCTCGCCGTCAAGAAAGGTGCAATTTAAATTAAATTGTCCTGATACATGGCTAACCCGTCTTGGGTGTAGTGGCCGAAATGAGAAATGCTCAAGATGAAACACCATGTGGCGTTTAGGCTTGATCACCCTTGGATCCTCCGGATAAATTCGCCAAATGAACTCGGAAGCTCCTTTGCAAACCTGTAAAGCCGAGGAGCTAAGCTCATATAATAATACCGAAATCAAGGTAGGGATTACCTAGTATCCACATTTCTGATTAGTCCCATAACTTATAACCTGAGAGTGGAGATGTTTGATGGGGATCTTGAAAGCTGGTGTGCTCAAATATGCTCAAATGCATCAGGATTTCAATGAAGACTCTTTGCGTTCATGCTGGAAACCAGAGCAGTTGGGCTTCTGGATATATTTTCTTGCACTCGGGTTGGAGAGTTGTATTGTAAACGAGAGAGTGAGCGGTCTACGGATGGGTTTGCGCCTGAGGCATCAACGCATCCTCCCCACAGAAACTTACCATAGAAGCCTCGAAAAGGAAAGATGAACCCATATTTTGACAGTAGGGCTTTGCATACCATTCTGTGGCCAGCCTGGTCTCTCTGGCATGGTCGCGAGTTGGGACCGTCGATCCATACTAGCCATATCGCGAACGATCCACCCCCCCACCATGTCAACAAACAAAAATTAAGGGAGAGGCGAATCCTGCAGGATCAAAGCGCGTGATGGGGAGGAAAGATGAGCGGAGAGTGGACGGGGAGTGTACAAAAGATTTCCGGTCCATTTATAACTTCACACTCTTACAACTTGGTTCTCGGAAATTAATTCGACATGCGCTATGCGCAAACCCAGATATTAATACTAAGCCAGCAGCTGCCATCTCACCTACTAGTGGAAACATCCCGAGGCTCAAAGGGCAAAGCCAGCGACACAAATCCAATAACTACAAAAAGCCCGCAGCAGACAAAGATAGGCACAGAAGAATACACATTGCCCCATGTAGCTATAAACGGGGCCGTCAGCGAACCAACCCGTCCACAAGCCATCAGCAGGCCGCACCCGACAGCCCTATACTTATCGGGCATGATTTCGGGGGTATATCTGGACAAAGTCAATTTCACAAACAAAATTGGTTGTTATGGTGACTCACCCATAGATAACCGCGTACATGGCGTTCAGGAAGAAGTTGATCATACATGAGAGGGCCACGCTCTGGGCCTCAGTTTTGACAGCGGTAAAGGACCCCGCGCAAATGGAACACCCCCAGGCCATCAAAGTAATTGAGCGGCGGCGGCCGAGGAAATGGATCTCAACCAGATAAGAGCTGAGGATAGGGCCGAAGATGCTCACCACCGCAGAGATGCAAAAGTCGCGATATGTTTTGTAAACGCTACCATCGCCAAGCTTGATGCCGTTCGCTTCGAGATAATACGTTAGGAAGACCTGATATACAGGATACCTGGATTCAGTTAGGACTTGCGCTTTGGAGACATGCAAATAGGGAAATAAGTACGCGATGCCGACGAGTAGCCAGATGAAAATCAGACAGATCATGGAGCGGACTTGTTGTTTGCCACGGAAGAGATTGATAATCATGTTGGAAGCATTTTTGATGTTGTTGGATACTGTCGGGTGTTCATGGAGTTGGTCGACCGACATGGTATATGATGACTTGTTGACTCGACTAATTGTGTTGATGGAAACGACTGCTTCCTCTCTATTTCCTTGTGAGGCAAGCCATTTCGGTGACTCGCTCATTCCAAGAACAAACGTGCGGAGAATTGACATCAACAGGCAGAAGACCCCAAGAATGATGTATAGATATCTCCATCCCATGTTGTCAGCTTTTGAGCATGTGGCTGAGGTGGCATTCTGTGGGCAGCAGAAGTTCACGACCAGTGGCCAAGCTGCGACAGTCAGTGGGAAATGATGGAACGAATGAAATCGTTGAAGTACCTATCAATCCGGTGATTGCGCTTCCCAGTCCCCATAGACATACAAGGCCAGTCAGCAGAAATCCCCACCTGCGAGGTAAGCATTCAGTAAACACCGTCAAATCAATCGCCACTAGATTTTCATCAGCAAGCTGCTCGAAAGCTTAGGTAGGATGTGAAAAGACAGGAAAGGAAAGGAAAAGCGCTGACAATTTCCTCCACCAAAGAAAGCCGCTATACCAATAAACACATTCAAAGTAGCCCAGGTGGATGAGCCAGCACCAGCGGCCGTGAAGATCGATACGCCGAAAATCGAAACTTGCCATGTCAGACGACGGCCGATAAGATCCGACACGAACCCGAAGAATACAGCGCCGACGGCCAGACCTGCATACTGGGCAGCAGATAGTAGAGTCGCATATTGCGGTGAAAACTCCTTGCTAGCTTGTGGCATAACAAGACTTATAGACGCTAGAAGCATCTGGCGATCTGTTAGAATATCTAGCTGTCAGTATACCACTTGCACTCACCTGGTCAGCAATGAAACCAAAACCACAGGAAGCCATCAACTTCCATTGGTAGCGGCCCATGCCGATAGCCTCGATGGCATCTTGGATGAGGGCCTCATTGGAACCCCGTGAGTTTGCCGGAGTGTGATCACATATCTCTCCCTCCAAGCAACTTGGAGTATTAGCTAGTTCGTATTTTTTTCTCTGAATCCATACTTTTGAGGAGGGTATTTTCCATAAGGTAGTTAGGGAGGATTCGTATATAAATAAATCGGATAAGAATAGAGAATAGAGAATGTCATTTGCTCCAATCAGCTGCTAAACAATATTTCTACAGACTAATCCCGTCTTCCCAGCACTTTGATAGGGATCTTACGGAAACGGGCCGCCTCCGTGAGGGGAAGTCCCAAGGTTATCTCATTTGGCTATCGGAGATGGCCTTCCCTGAATTCTAATGAACAGCTACCCGGCCCATTATCCGCTACGGGTCTTTGGGGCAAAGGAGCACATGTTCAAGCTTATCACAGTCATGAGTGGGTTTTAGCGGGTTGGTTGAATTTGTATAACAAAACAGTCGCCCTTTCAGGGGACATGGTCCATAAGCATAAGCATTTGGCACCCTGAAGAGTCGTGGATGCCACAGCGGGGAAGACCTTGATTACGGGAATAGGCTATATCAATTCTTAAATGTTGGCAGCTTGCAATGCTTGATGCTGTTTTGTTAGAGAAAGAGACTCGCAAGCCACGGCCTACGAATGAGAAAAATATGCGGAAATCACTAGATCAACCCGCAAGATAGCCCGGTGAGGGTTCATTGGGCATATAATAGAATCAGGACCTTACAGAGTACCTACGCTAATGATTCGTATTGTCATACTTTCTCAGGCTACTCGGATTATAGCCATAGCGACTTTCGTTCAAGGGCTGAACGAAGGTGTAGCGACAGAGTACGGCCTATCTACTAGCTTGTTCTGTTGACTTACGTGGGTACCTGAAACTTGCGGTACAAATAACTGCCCTTTAGTAACCCTGATCATTGTTGTAGCGTAGCGGCCTTTCTTAGGTACTTATCCACATGTTCGCTTGGAAGCTACATTTGAAGATAGATTGTAACAACCTTGAACAAATTGATTATAACTTGCTTTGCTCTTCCGGAGTCAACGTCCGTAAGGCAGGCCCTGCACGGCTTCCATCTCCTACCTTGAGATTACCCTCTCCTTCCGCTAAGCGAAGTCTCCATTTCTGTCTGATTGAATCGGAGACACGATTCTCAAAGCGGTCGGCTACGTACCGGCCCAGAATTGGTAGAAATTTAAATGCGCTGTTTCCATGTCAGCAATAGAGCCTACTCCAGTAGGGTACTAACTTACTGTCCAGCTCCAGCAGTGGCAATGAAGAGCCCTTCCAACTCTGGATGGTAGTCGATCACAAAGTCTCCTTCTGGGGTGTCTGTATACCAGCACAAGCGACGGTTTAACCAAGGATGCTCCGCAAACTCAGGCAGAAGCTGTCGAAGACCTTCTCGTAGGGCTTTGTCTGCCTCCTCAGGCAGAAAGGACCGATCAGCGTTATTGGAATCACGCTTAGGCGAGGATACCGTGCGGCCATCCTCATCGGTTGGCATGGAAGTTGCAAATCCGTAGCTGTGCCGGGCAATCTTTAGGATATTTGTTCCTGGCTGCGGTGGAAAGAGAAAGATGCCACTGCTAAGGTTTATCATGACGGGGATTTTTTGGATCCTGAGGGCTTCGTCGGGGCTCAATTGGATGAATCCGACGGGTTGGCCGGATGCAGACGCAGCATGAGAGAGATTGAGTAACAGGTTGGACCAGGCACCTGTACAGAGAATCACCTGGGATGCGGGTAGGAACTCTCCATTCAGCAGGTTCACTCCAACCACATGTGATCTGGCCCTGCGCAGCGATTTAACTGTTCCCAGTTTCCCAGTGATGAAAGAAACCCCAGCCTGGCTGCACTGGTGACTGAGATACCGTATACTGCCTTCAGCATCGGCCCAACCTCCTTCAGGATTGTGATACGCTCGAAGATGAGCGTAGTCGGCTCGGATGTCCGGGTACATCTTCTTGAGACCGTTCCCATCAACGAACTCATCTAGAGACTTGCCCTCGACATGGGCGATTTCCAACGTCTTATTAATGTACGGGTTCTGCGCCGTTTCAGATAACATGACGAAGCCAGAGTGATGGTAGTAGTCCTTCAACTGTGTTCTCCAGCCCTGCATAGCTTCCTGGGCCATCTGGGAATATAGAGGGTCCGCGTATTCGGTTCGAATAATTCGGGAGATATCGACACTGCTGCCATCCGGAACAGGCGGTGGATAACGATCAAGAACAGTGACATTGGTGTAGCCTCGAGAGGACAGCTCCAGGGCGGTTGATAGCCCAAAAGCTCCCGCTCCTATGATGAGGATTGGCTGCGTGTGAGACGACGTGGACGGATTCACCATTTTAAAATTTGATTCTTGGTCTGCGTACGATCGAAAATGTGGATTTATGCAGAAATTCTCAAAAAAGACAGGGTGCTACATCGTCGAACAAGTTGATGTCAGTTGTCAACACGGACCGGTTCCCCCGCACTGTCCACTCACTGAATGATGCCAGCCGGGACAATTCCGGGTCCATGTTGATGATCACACCCTTAATTAGGAAGTGAGCGCAGCCCTGGAGTGTTTACCCCCAGGCCCAGATATCATGTGGGTTCGGGTCTCTTACCGGGTCAGATCTCACATTTCTCTCAGACAATCAGACAACGTCTATAAAAGAGTCAGCGCTTATGATAAGAACTGGGGATTATGAAGGCCAACACATTTTCTGTACCCAAAACAGTCAAGCTGAATAAGATAGGATTTCCTGATCGACTTACCCGTACAAAAGAAACAAAATCGCCATGACCAGCTGGTTCGGAAGGAAGGTAACTCCAAAGCCGCATCAAGATGACGGCTCGCAAACGGCCAAAGCTCTTCCGGCGTCCTGGTACAGGTCGTCGGCCATGTACGAACTTGAAAGACGGGCCATTTTTTCTCGCAGGTGGCTGCTCGTCTCTCACAAAGCTCGCCTTGTGAATTCCGGCGATTACATTCGAATCACTGAGGCCAACTTCACATTCTTCCTTATAAAGGACCGCCAGGGGCAGATTAGAGCGCACCATAATGTGTGCAGGCATCGAGCCTACCCCTTAATAGAAAATGAGGAGGGACATATCAATATTATCGCTTGCAAGATCCACGGTAAGTATATTATTCCTTCTCTCTTTTCCACGCTCTTCCACTTCCTCACGATTCGCATCGGTTGTGGGTTGCTGATATATCACAGGATGGTCCTATGGTCTTGATGGAAGGCTTGCAAAAGCTCCAAAATATCAGGGGGAAACGTTCAAGAAATCCGAGAATGGGCTATTTCGTATCCACGTTCATATTGACCACATGGGCTTCATCTGGGTCAATCTTGACTCCGAAGACACACCGACAGTTCCGTGGCTGCAGGATTTCGCGTCCGTCGATCTCCAACCACGACTGCAGCACTTCGACATGAACAAATACCGCTTCGATCATCAATGGGAAATGGTAGGCGAGTACAACTGGAAAACCCTGGCGGATAACTACAATGAGTGTTACCACTGTCCAACTGGCCACCCGGCACTCAACAACCTCACTGATCTCTCCAAGTACTGGGTCGAGACTGCAGATGCTCATATCCAACACTTTAACGTCGACAAACCGGACAACGAAGGAATGGGTATCTATAGCACCTACTTCTACCCCAATGCGTCTGTAACAATCTCGTAAGTCTTCTAACGGGTCAACGACCAGACTGATATGATAACCATGGTAAAGGCCGATATTCTTCTACATAATGCGTGTGACCCCCATCTCAGCGAGTCAAACAAAGATGGAGTACGAAGTCTATCGACACGAGGAAGCGAAGGACGAGGAATTCACAGAAATCACCACCTGCTTCAGACAGATTTTGAAAGAGGACAAGGATCTGTGCACTGGAGCGCAAAAGAACCTGAATGGAGGGATCTTTCTCAACGGGGAGCTCCATCCTCGTGCCGAAAAGGTAGGCTTCAATGGTGATTGAACGTCGCACGGACTGAAAATAACATAAACTTGTTATCAACAGGGACCAATATTTTTCCAAGAACTAACACGGAATGCCGTGAAATCCCACCGTGAGCGAGAAGAGGAGCTAGGCGCAGAGATCTGGCCAGCTACACCTAAGCAGGTCACTGGTGATAAGACGCAAGAAGACATCGACTTTTGTAATAGTCTGGAGTGTGCGGGAGACCCAGATCTAGAGTGGTGAGATGTCGTAACGAGACAAGACCTAAGAACAATTACTTCACACTACTATAACGGTTTCCTCGTTCTATTATCGTCGCTACTAGCGATAAGTAATGTAATCCACATGTGAGCCGCGCACCTCCCGCGATTTCCACCGATATTAAGTCAACTAGGTGATTGCTAAGGCTTAGAGTTTGGTATCTTGGAAAGGCCAATATGAGAGATCCGTTGTCTTAGAAATCACAATCCATGTGCCTCTCAAGTGTGTTCGAATTATAGGCCCGTGACCTTCATCATTTTAGAGTCTTGAGAGACACGCAAGGAACTATGTGAGAAAAAGGGTTTACTGTAATGAATCCTGAATTAGAAATTGCATTAAGGCATATAGTATTCAAACATCAATCTTATGGGCTCACACTATTCATTAGGTCCTAGCTTGGGTCTTCTGAGGTATCTCGCCTAGTCTGTACATACACCTCCCTGGCCCTGAACAGATTGAGTTTATTTGTGGGTCATGGATTGAAGTATAAACTTCTTTTTTATGGGGAACCTCAATGGCTTCACTGCCGTCGAAAGTCCTGACGGGTTCTTACGCATTGGTGTCAAGGATGGACATCCTATATAAGGGACACTTTCAAAATAGCAAGTTTGCTATACCATCAAGTGATTTGAATAAAGAATATCCTACTGTAAACATAATTCATATCACAAGCAGCTCGTATCAGAACGTTTTACTCAGACTTCTTTGGCTTGATCATAAAAGGAAAGCGACACCTCTGGATAGTTCACAATTTGCCTGTTGCTGTTACAGTTCTAGGGATTCCAAACAACGAAATGTCCTCCTCAGTCTTTCCATCTATCGCCAGCTCCGCCAGAACTCGGCCAAATGTGGGTGCAAATTTAAAAGCGTGAGCTGCTCCCAAGCCTAAAATGATGTTGGGATGATCGTGTAAAGGACTGATTATAAACTGTCGATCAGGCGTAATAGTGTACTGACAAGTAACCGTGCGAACTTGTTGCCGGCCTTTATCAGGAAACATCCCTCCCATAAAAGAAGAAAGTTGCTCGAGCAACTTTGGAGATGGAAGGTATGTACGTTGTTCAGGTGACATGAGGTTGTTAGAAGTGTCACGGCCGGCCTTGATTGTCGGTTCGCCGAAACAGGGGAATCCATAGAAACCAGGGTTCCCAGACCATATCCAGACAGGAAATCGATCGGCTTGGAATGCCTCCTTGTCGGTTGGCTTGAAGTAGGTCACCTGCTCCTGCATCACGGAGAGAGGGATGCGGGTGCCAAGTGGTGCCAGCAGTTTATTTGTCCATGCATCAGTCGTGAGAATGACTTTAGCAGCATGGAATACTTTTTTGGATGAATCACTGCCGAATCCAGTACTTTCGGTCTCAATCGTGACTCCTTGGTGGGAAGCAACCGGATTAATGCGATTCACTCGGGTGTTCTCATGGATGACTGTTCCCTGAAAACGTGCTAAGTGTTGTAGCGAGGAAACTGTTTTCGCAGCGTGGGCGATGCCAGTATCGGCTGTGTAGACCGTATCCACATTGTCGGGGACGTTGAACTGCGGCCATCGTCGGTTGGCTTCATCCGAGCTGAGGAGCTCGTAAGGAACATTTTCGGCATCCAGAGTTTCCGTTAAATTATCGAAAGGATTGTCGCCGTCCTTTGGGAGAAATACCACACCACCAGTTATTGTCAGCAACCTTTGACTGGCCGCCTGCTCCAACTCTGCCCAGTCCCTATAGGCAGATTTGGCGAGTTTCACATACTCTGGAATGGAATTGGTGGTTCTCACGATTCGCGATGTATCGTGCGAAGCCCCGTGAACGTGCCCCAATTCGAACTGCTCGAACGCGATGACTTTCTTGCCTTTTAGCGAGGCGTAGTAGGCAGCTGCGCTGCCAAGGACTCCCAGTCCAACCACAGCCACATCGAATTGGTCCATTTCTCTCTGTTTCCCAAGAATAATATAAGGTTCGTTCAGTGTGCTGCTCTCATATATGACCTAAGACATTGGAGGGTGATATTTAAGGTCTGCTGATACGGAGACCGGGCCGCTCCCGTGCCCATTTCCTCCAACGGAACACCCCAGGGCTCTTTTCTGGGGCCCGGAATGTCGATATACTCCGTACACAGCCCTGGAGGACTGCCATTGCGGGGGTACGAGCGGCCACGGACCTTCTTTCCTATCATTCCGTCCCCACTATGCAGACATACGGGGAAGGTATCGTTATCGATAGTTGACTATATGGGCCTAACTTCGCCTCACACCCGCTGACTGGGGAAGACGTTGTCACTTACTCCAGACTTGTCAGATGCTTTTGCCTCTTGTTCATGAGCATATATCATTGGTGCTTTGATCGGCCAATTCGAATTTCGCAGTGGTTGTGGTACTGTTGGTTCCGCTAGACCCTGGCATCTTGCCCTTGCAGGTCACCATATGTTGTTCCTACGAGGTAACAGGCCCGTCTATAGGCCGTAGCATAACTCGTTTCTGAATTATCTTAGTCTATAGGAACATTTGAAATAGAAAGTATCCCACCTGGGCAACTTCCACTGCTTATCAATAGACTTTTACGACCTCTCTAATTACCCCGCCTTTAAATAACAAACCCAGGGCTTCCCCAAGAATTTCCAGCAGGAAGGTGAAGTGGTATTAGATCCTAAGTCTCTTACCTCCAGATGGAACGACGAGCTCCAAAACGGGCACGCCAAGCTTGTGAACCGTGTCGGTAAGTTTCCCAAACATGCAACGTCCCCAGTCTGCTGAGACTTTTGAGCAGCCGGAAGAAGTCAAAATGCCCTGGGGAGAGACCTGCATGTGCCTACTGCGTTCGACTAGGTCAGCAGTGTGTGTACAAGTTACCGGTCGATGCCCTCTCGCATAATAGCGATATGGTTGGAATGACCCTTCAAGCTGCCAATATGAGAAGGATCAGCTAATCTTAGCGCAGAGATCTAGATTGGATAATCTGGAGGGGAAGTTGGACCAACTACTCCAACGGCACCGGCTAAGGTAATTGATCGGGTGCTGCCCAGGTGCAGGGGGCCTTGCAATCCTTTAGATATCAGATCCGCTAACCGCTGTAGCCCCTTGATGGACACTCGCGCAACTACGCAGTCGAGACCTTCGTCAAGTCCAAAATCTCATATCTCCGTAAATGACTCGACTATGGGCAATGCCAATGGGGGAAGAGAGGATAATCCGAGGTGTGCCATTTCACTCCGAAAATATCCAAATATAACAGCCTCTCACACCTAGTGAAGTGAACCGCTGATGCATGGGCAAAATCTGGAGGATTTAGGTCACCTCTACCTGACTTGGTGTCATAATCAGCCTTTAGCTTTGTTTGACAAGGATACCTTTGTGCAGTCGCTACCGAAGCGAAACCGGGAACTGATCTTGGTGTTGCAAGCGCTGGCATTTCGATTCCCTCCAGGATCAATCACCCCCCAATACTACGGACAGCTCAGCTCAATGGCTGAAACAGCCAGGCAGATTGTTATGAACCGAATAATGGATAGACGAGTGGATCTTCCAACCTTGCAAACATTGTGTCTTCTGAGCGTCGTTGATTTTGCAGGTTCGTTGCCGCGATAAAGCTTCTGTCCACCACATGAGCTGACCAACAAGACCAGATGGCAAAACGATTCAGGCCGCCTTAAATTTGAATATAGCAAATCACCTTGCACAAAGCGTTCCTCAGAGCAATGCGCTGGATGACCCGCTGGAATGGAACGATTGCATGGGAAGTATTACAATTCTCAGTTACCTACAAGGGTCTGTCTCCTCAACGGCAATGCCAATCGGCCATCCGATCTATCCACAATATCCTATCAATTCCTTGTGTGGTCCTGAAACGATAAGATGGCGAGACAGTCGTCCAGTAGGCCAATTCAGTAAAGGTATTCTCAGATTCACCACACCTCTAGCACAAGCTTGGCAGATGGCGAGAACATATGCAACCTCTCGTGTGGCTCACGACGTTCTACCACCTTGGGACCCGCAGTCTGACTATTCCCGGGTGATGCAGCGGCATCTAGAAATCGATTGCGGCGTTCCGCTGAAGTATAGATTCGCTGCCAACAGGCTCGAAGATGAAGACTCCGCTTCCTGCCAACAGAGACGGGACTACTGGGGCCCATGGCTTTTTACTCAGTTTATCTACGCGGCCATTCCATGTTTACTGAACCATCCACTCCTCCTGTCCATGAGGCTACGGAATTTCCGGTACACGATACCGCAGGCCTTTATCCAGCAGTCGTTTGAAGCAATCTCTCGCAATTCAAGGTGGATTATGTATTACCTCGACTTGCTCGAAAGCAAGTCGTTTCAGCTGTCGGATCCAGCTTTGGCGCATTGCGTTGTCATTATAGCTACCATTCATCTGCAACACAGCTTCGTCCAAGATCCTTCACTTCGCAATAAAGCAGAAATGGGATTTAAAAGATGTCTGGATTTTCTCTACCGCATGGCGTCTGTCTGGCCCAACGTCTCAGCTATGGTTCGCATCTGTCTTGTATATTATATCTGCATGGAACCCCTTTTCCGCTGACCTTAGTCTAGTGCCAAAACCTGGAAACGCTGCGACAGAGCGTTCATGTCGTTCAATCACCGGACGCTACACAAGAAATGCGGTCGTTCTCCATCAACGGCCAGTTGCTATGGGATACGTTAGCGTACGATAGAGCTGGACTGCCTAACGGGCAAGCTGACGAGTCGATGTTTAGCGGGATATTTGTGCCTAACACAGAGCGTCAAGGAGATGAATTAGGCTCTGCGGCTGAATTTGACTTGGTTGGTTCGATCGGGATCTCGGGTCATAAAGCGATTCCAATGAAAACACCACTGTTTCCCCCCGATGGAGATGCCAGTGCGTCTACCCAAGGATCGTTTGGAAATATACCTGGAATAAGTTCCAACTTCGACATGGGGGTCCCTGTCGATGCTCCAGGGCTAAACGAACAAGAAGGCTTCTTTTTACAACCGACCGACTTTGGTCGTGCGATTGACGACTGGTTGAATTTCGAGTTGAATGGGTAAATGTGGTCAGAAAGATTACGGCTGAAGACCCTATAGTAACCAGTATCCACCTAGAAATCAAAATACTTCTTATATGCTCGATGGCTGGTTTATCCGCTGCAATGAGTTGGCTGGTGTTCAGGAAATTGGTATATTGTTGAACCCGACTTCGTTGCTAAGTCCTAGTTCATCTCCAGCAGCAGGTATTTGGTATAAATTCGTCACAGTATCACAGTAATCCTCCACAGTGGTCGTAGGCCTCAAGGCCTTGCCAACTGATGATTGGCTAACTGATAGACCGTCGGCAAATCACTTCTATCGAGCAGAGACGGGAACACCGCGGCGCGTCCTTATAGGGATTGTAGGTACCACAAACAGAGCTGTAGATTCTTGTTATCGAGCTAGACATTTTGTTCACGGTTCTAGCAGTGCCGGTAGAATAAGGGCGTTGTCTGACCCAGCGAAAATCAGTGGGATGTTTGCCCAGGTGCATATGTTGAGATATATAAAATGGATTCGTTGACAACGTGTTTCGTACTCCGATCTAATACCAGATAGAAATGAATTGTACCACCAAATCTCGTGCCACCGTATCTCGCTCAATTCTGGCCGGGAAGGGTGGGAAAAAAAAGTAAGTTAGCATAGGCCCGTAATCTCTGAAAGTGGTCAACGTTTAGGAATGTACATACCGTAGCTCATTCATTTAGGCATGTCCCCAAGGGACAATATAGTAATCCTTAATGCTTCATTTAACCACCTTTTTCGCAAAACGAGGAAGGTGTAGATGAGGCTATTGAGAGTAACACTCGCCGTTTTGGGATTTAAAAATTAAGTTCGCGTCACACGGGATTCGAACTCCGGCAGGTGCTCACGTGACTTCCCAAAAGCGTAATATCAAAAAAAAAGAGCAGTAGGAACATCATTTGAAGCCCACCCTATAACTCTAATGAAGGGTATGTAAAAGAAAAAAAAATAGGTAGCTTCTCTTTGATTGAGCGTGTCATCCTTAGTGCAGGGGCCATGCTAATCTTCTCTGTATATTTTCATTTGACCATATGCCCCGAAGGGCGAAAGGTGGTCCTTAAAGTTCAATATAACCTCCAAAAATGGCAGAAAACTACCGCCTACTGGTTTCGTCAATGGCTTTCTCGAGCTGTGATTGGATGCATCATGGGTGGCTTGCTTATCACGTGAAGTGGTAGGTTTTGGTCTGAAGTTCTCGAAACAGTATGCATATTAAGCAGTTATGAGGTCTAAGCGTATTCACTAAGCTTATATGAAGCTACTCTGTGATGTTGAATTCAAATGAATGATCGCCTTGCCCGATCGGAACAGCCTTCGCATCACTGTCATACAGCGTTCTTTCAAAATATCGCACCCGTCCATCCGGTCGTGCCAAGAGAATGGTTTGTTTCTGTGTCCCATATGATCCACAGGTATAACTCTGGTCAGGGGGCCCGTTCGTTGGTGTGTCGGCCTCATCCTCTACCCGAGCTGCAGCGATTTTCTCTGCAGCTTGATCACGATCATTTGGAGTACCGATGCGAGGGACGAAGATGGTCTTATGCAGATGACGGATGTACTCCTCAATTGTATCGTTCTCTTCTGACAGTCGTGGCAGACTATCAGTGCTGAGAACCTGCAGCAGACGATCAATCAATGCATCCTCGTCTTCCCCATCTCCCTTTTGCACATGCTCGTCAATAGCAGCCTCCATCAACTGCTCTCCATCCATAATTTTCGGCCAGGTTCTGTCATCAAAGCTTGTATTGCTAAGCCCCCGCGTCTGGTTCTTCTCCGTCGCCACCCAAGTGATCTGATCCATGTCTGTGGAACGGTTGGAGACAATGGCCAAGGGCTCGTTGATATGTCCACATACCAGACTGAAACCCCCCACCTGCTTTGCTTCTGGGCTGGCCACGATGCCTTGTACGAACTCCTTGGTATCCTCTCGCTTGTCGGTGGACCCGATCAACCAGCTATTGACGATGACACCCCGGCTGTAGACCCCGATGGCTGCGCTGGTCGAGTCCTCGCGGTAGTTGGTAAGAACTGCCACCTTCCCATGCTTGGTGACCCCCATCCAAGTGCCATGTGTAGATCGGGCTAGGTCTCGTGAGCCTAGGACATATGAGGATGGCTCTGGCCACCAGTCTGGCGATGATGTGGGACGATGGAGGAATTCCTAGATATATTAAGCTTGGGATCCCATCGGTCAGAGTGGGAATACCTACATCTCTGTTGTTGATTATGATCAACGAGTATTCCGGGTGGGCAGTTGAGATCAATGCGATACACATGGTTTGAGTTTCCGAGGTCCCCCGAGTTGAACGAGCGGGGAATAACCAAGATTCACGAATTTAACGATGGTATGTATAGGATGGAGTAGAAGCAAGTGTTCTAGAGAGGAAAAAGGAAATATGGGAAGAGAAAAAGGAACGGGCCATAATACGTAGAGAGGAACTAGTTAAGGCATCTCGGGTGATTGGGCCACTCATTAGCGAAGTGTTCCTTGTCGGGCTTGTATCTCTACCATATTGAACATAACAACATTTGAAAATAAGTTCTTAAAACAAAGATCTCAGATATCAAGACATATATCCAAGATATATATAGTATATGTCCTAAATCCATGAATGACTGAATCATTAACAATGCACTGAAGCAAAAAAGTGTCTCGCGTGACGTCAACACACATCCGTTGATTCTTGGGGAAATGCGAGCGGCCACGTCTCTTAATATGGGAGTTATCGTGGTGTGATTCATGTGTAAGGAATAAGGAGAACTATTTCTACTGTTTCTATTATTTGATTTCTGCTTTCAGTCGTCATATACCCCTGAACTATCTTTGTTGCCTTGTTCTCCTCTTTTTTTGTTCCAACTTCGGTGTTCGTCTCAGATCAGCGGGGCTGACTGAAGACTAAAAAATCTCCAGGGATTTTCTTTTCTCACATCTCCAATTCACCCAGGCTTCGTCATGTTTGGAATCTTCGCGGACTTGATGTCGTAAGTTCAAGTCATATACGGACAGAATGGGCCCGCAAGCTAACGCAGATCTATCCTATAGCTCGGTCATCACGATCCTCTTCCCCGTTTTCGCTTCCTACAAGGCTCTCCGTTCCTCTGACCCCTCACAACTCGCACCATGGCTGATGTACTGGGTGGTGCTTTCAGTCATTCTGCTGGTTGAATCCTGGACTGTGTTTATCATCGGATGGTATAGTTCAACTTGCTCCGCTCGACATGATCACAAGCTAATCATGACTCGATAACTATCCAGGTTCCCATTCTACAGCTGGATCCGCCTCGGTTTCATGGCTTATCTCGTCCTCCCCAGACGCAAGGGGCTCGCACACTGTACCAAGACTATGTGGACCCGTTCTTGACACACCATGAGCGGGAGATCGAAGACATGATCGGCAACACTCATGAGCGGGCCAAGGCACTGGGTCTTCAATACTTCTACCAAGCTATCGATTTAATCCGGCAAAAGGTCTTGGGTCTACCCCCGCAACGCCCCACGACACCTCCTCAGCCAGGTGCCGCTTCCTACGCGCAGTCGCTACTATCGCGTTTCAACATCCCCAGTGCCGGAGCACCTGGGACGTCCGCCAACGCAAATGATTGGTATTCTGTGCTGAGTACCGCTGTGGGCTCGGTCACATCTGGAAAGTCTCGGGAAGCGCGGGATCAGGAGCTTTCAGCCAGTGGCAATCTTCTTCAGCGCCAGATGCAGTCCATGTCTGGAGCCGAGAAGGCTCACTTTATTTCCTCGCAGCGAGAGCTGCTAGACCACCTCCGGTCAACCCTAACACAAGAGGAGCAGAGCAGCTCTCGGGGTGGGCTCGAGGCTGATGACCTTGCCTACGGCGTGCCGTTACGCAAGAACCGCAGCGAGAACTCCTTCGAGGTTGTTGATGATGAGGATCTAGGACGTCGCCCCGAACGAAAGACTAGTGGTGGATGGGCATCTGGTTGGTTCGGCAACGAGCGAGATTCTTCGGGTTCATCTGGTACTGACTTCGCGGCGCGGGCTGTCGATGAGATTGCCCGGTCGCGCGCAACCGGGTACGACCGATCTTGAGTCCCGCGGAGATGTTCCGCTTTTAACAGGGGTGGTTTAGAGTAGAACAAGAAAATCAAAATAGAACCCTGAACATTTTGCTCTTGCTGGGTGAGAGAGATCGAGAATGGGAGGACTGGTATGTTCCTAGGGGAGGGGTTTTTTTTTCTGGCCTTGCTAAATAACAGTTTAAATCGAAGTTGAATTGAATGTTAGTTCAAAATACTGAAAACAGCCGAGGATGTCAAGCCGAATCCCTCCGGTCGGAGGAATAGCCTTGCATAAAAGAGTTCGCGCAGATGCACTGCAAGGACGGAAGATGGGGAAGTCTGATATATCCCTGTGCTTGGCTGAGTATTATTGAGTTGGGGGTATATTTAGAAGATGAGATATAATAGGATATACCTATGTAGCTACCTATGTATGACATATGGTGGACCTTGTATACCTCATAGGTATATAGAGGTAGACATCTGGATGTATGGGGTCACTATAGTGGCAAACGGGGAAAATGGGGCATTGGGGGGAACATTTTGGGTCTATCAGGTTCCAGATGAATAAAAGGAATACTCAAAGTCATAATATACAAGTAGAGTCATATCTATTATTTAATATTCGAACCCATTTGATGTACATTTAGCCTGTCTTATAGACAAATTATATAGACACTCTACTACGTTTCTGATGTAGCTTTCTTTGTAACATGTGGGTGGCGTTGTAGACATAGTCAACTCTCGAATCTCTTTTTTGACTATTTTACTCTCACTTCTCTTTTTGAATTTTCATTCATCTCATATTTCTAGAGAGTCTGAAGAGATTCTCATCCCATAAAACACATTCAAAAGGTACGTTGGTCGCCCGGGACGCAACTCTCTATTCTGCCCTTTCGTTTTCCACAAACCCGAATATTTTTTTTTCCACCTGGAATTTTTTCCCTCCCACCCAACCTTCTACCCTTTGAGACAACCCTTTTAAACACCATAACACTGTCGACCAAAACGCTGTTCTTGCGTACCTGGTCTTCTGTGTATTTGGAAATTAGTTTTCCCTTTTTTCCATCACGTTTCATCCCTTTAACAAGCCGCAGTTAGGTTTGGATGTGGCCTTGTCACGCCTCCGCGTACTGACATCACCTTTGTCTTTTCCCTCGAACCTTACCTTTCACATCGCCCTCTTCGCGCGTTTAGACGTACAACCTGTCTAATGAGCTCGAACCCTCCTCAGTCGGGCAATCAAGGACAAAGCACCGCTACTCCCGCCGCTTCGACCCAGCCCGCATCCTCTACCCCCCTGGCTGCCACCCAGGCGCCAGCCAGATCTTACGCCAACGCAACTAAGAAGTCCGCGACGGACTCTACCGCCGCACCCGTCACCGTGGGCGGTTCAGCGCAACATGGGCAGTCGAGCTCCGTATCTGTGAACGGCAAACCCATGCAAAATCAATCTCAGCAGGCGGCCTCTTCTGGCGTGACTATTGTCAATGGAGCTCCCTCTGCTTCGGCCGCTTCCTCCGACCACTCTCGCAAACCATCTGTGACGATCACCTCGAGCGGTACCTCCGGCTACATGCCCAACGGCGGTGGCCCGGCCAGTCGGCCCAACAGTCTTCAGTTCGGATTCCAGCAGAGTTCTCCCAACATGGGTGCTCCTGCTGTGCCTGCCTCCAACCAGGCCCAGGCTGGACTTGGTGCCCCTTCGACCAACCCCCGCGTGACGTCTCCTCAGACTTCTCCTTCGCCTATCCCCCAGCCCGCGTCCAGCGGCGGCCGTCCCCCTCCATCGACTTACCAGGCGCAGGGAAATGTGCCGAACTTCGGTAGCTTTGGAGAATCCGTTGATGCCAATGTAAGTGTCTCGAATCCTTCCTCTTCTTGAGTGATCTTGGTGCGCAGATGCGTATGGAGCGTGGCACCACCCTGTGCGCGACTTTCCCAGGTCCTCAATTATTTTTGAACTTGTTTGCTCACATAGATGCGCTCGATTCAGGCTTCTCTTGCACACGGTGCCCAGCACTTGCGTCGCGAGTCCTCGCAATCCACCCACAGCGATATGAGTAACCACATGGGCAACGGCCCCGGACGCTCAGGCTACCAGGGTGGTCGCGGTCGCGGATACTCTCAGCCCGGCTACCAGGGACAGCAGATGCCCTACTCTCCTAACCCCGGTTTCCGACAGACCCCCAACCAGCCGCGAGGCGGTCCTAACATGGGTCCCCAGTTCCAGAATCAGGGCCGTCCTTTGGCCCCCTACCCGAACTCGCCTCACCAAGCCAACCGCAGCCCTGCGCTGGCCAACGTGAACCCTACCACCCCTCAGATGAACCAAGTTCCGATGGCACACCCCCAGATGCCTCAGCAACCTTACGGTTACGGTCAACACATGGGCCCCCAAGCTGTGAGATCCCCCCCTTCTCGTTCTTCCCAGGATTCGTGGCGTCGTCCCCAAAGGAACCTTAGCAGCTCTTGGAGGCGCAAAGACAACCCTCCATGCTCACCCGAGTACCCCGTGGATCTTGCGCCAGAAAGTGGCCATTTCGAACAGATTCTAACAATGGTTAAATTTCAACAGTCATTCCCCAACGCATACGATCCCAACTACGCTGGTTATTACAACCCGAATGGTGGTTACTACATGGGACCACCGTCGCCCCAGCCGCGTGCTGCTGGCATGCCCTACAACCCTCAGTACATGGGGCAGCAATTCCCCAACCCCATGCCTCAGGCGACCCCACTCTCGCGTACCCCCTCTCAGGTATCTACTGATCGTCCAGGTTCGAGCCTCGGCCACGGACCGGCACCCACTGGTCCTGCTGCCCCCAGCCACACCCACACTGGCAGCCGCGCATCCAACAGCCCCGCTCCCAAGCCTCACTTCATCATTCCTTCAGCCAAGAAGAGCCCGATTATCATCAAGGATCCTAACAGCGGCTCAGTCAAGACCTTCGAAAAGAACCCCGCGTCCCCTGCTCGGGCCACCCCTTCTCCTGTGAAATTTACTCCTCCTCCCACATCCACTCCTCCCCCTCGCACTGCCAGCGCGTCTGAGCACACTCGCACCGAGAGCAAGGCGAACGCCACGAAGACCGACGAGGAGAAGAAGCAGGAATTGAAGGACGCTGTTCGCCTGAAGATCCAGCAGGACGAGGCTGCTCAGAAGCAGCGTCTGGCTGATGAGGCCTCCCGCAAGACCACTGAAGCCGCGTCGACCGATGCCAAGAAGGATGATACTGAGGCTGCCCGGGCTGCAATTGAAGATCTCAGCATCAAGGATAAGGCCGCTCCTGCCGAGGAGCCCAAGAAGGTGGAGGCTGCTGAAGAATCCAAGGAGGCTGCTACCCCTGCTGAAGAGCCCAAGAAGGCTCCAGCTCCGGCTCCCGCCCCCGTGGATGACGATGAGATTGACTTTGATGCCATCGAGCGTGAAATGGCCGAGATTGAAGCCAAGGAGCGCGCCGCTGAGGAAGACTACAACCGCGCAAAGCAGGCTAAGAAGGAAGAAGCTGAGCGCAAGGAGCGCGAGGAACTGGAGAACTACGAGGCGAACATGAAGAAGGCCGAGGCTGAGGCCGAGGCCCGCGAGATTGCCCGCGAGAAGGCTCGTGCCGGTGGTGAAGCGGTCCAGGACGATAGCAAGGACGCGTTTGCCGCGCTCAAGAAGGGTGGATACGGTGCCACTGAGTCTTCCACTCCTGGTGACAGCGGTGCCGCTACTCCTGTTTCGTCTGACATGGGCCCGCCAGCCAAGCCTGCCAGTGCTATTCCCAAGAAGCCCGCTGGCCTCAAGCTTGATACCCCCAAGCCCACGGAGCCCCAGCAAGCCACCGCAGGCATGAAGTCTTTGCAGAATGCGAAGTTCTTGGAAGACCTCACCAAGGTCACTTACCCCGCCTCCATCACCCCTCCCGAGGCCACTATGAACGCTGCTGCGCCCGAAGGCCGCAAGTTCCACTACGACCGGAACTTCCTGCTGCAATTCCAGGCCGCCTTCAAAGATAAGATCTCCGTGGACTGGGACGCCCGTCTGCGGGACACCGTTGGTGATCCCACTGACACTTCTCGTCCCCAGTCTGCCCGCACTCCTAGCGGCATGGGTAGCCGTGCTGGCTCTCGCAGCGGCCCCATGAATACTGCCTTCCCCATGGGCAACTTCGCAGGCCGACCTGGTCAGTTACCCCCTATGGGCGGCGGACCTATGGGCAGCCGCAATGCATCCGCCCCCTTCGGATTCCCACGGGGCGCTGGTGGCATGGGTCCTATTGGAAACATTCGCCAAAACTCCGCCGGTGTTCCTCCTCGTGGCAACTCGAGCAAGGGTCCCCGTACCGACAGCCGACCCAAGAAGCACGGTGGCCGTCAGGACGAGGCGGCAAACAAGTCGATGCCTCTTACCGCTGGCATGGAGCTGAAGGCAATTCAAACCTCCGCGTCTGGCTGGAAACCTCGCAGTGTTGGACAGGCCGCTGGTGCTGGTCCCGCTCCTGGTGGTGAGGCCTACTTGGCACCGGATGTCGTGCAGCGCAAGGTCAAGGCTGCTCTTAACAAGATGACCCCAGAGAACTTCGACCGTATCTCTGGTCAGATCCTCGCGATTGTCTCCCAGTCCAAGGACGAGACCGACGGTCGTACCCTTTCGCCAGGTCATCCAACTCACATTCGAAAAGGCTACTGATGAGGCTCACTGGGCCCCTATGTACGCCAAGTTCTGTAAGAGCATGCTGGAGAGCATGAGTCCAGAAATCAAGGATGAGAACATTCGTGACAGAAATGGCACCGTTGTTGCTGGTGGCAGTCTGTTCCGCAAGTACCTGCTGAACCGCTGCCAAGAAGAGTTCGAGCGTGGCTGGAAAACTAACCTGCCTGCTAAGCCCGAGGGCACTACTGAAGAGGTATGTCGATCTACATATGAACCTGATGTTACCTCCTGTACTAATAATCGACCCCAGATTGCAATGATGTCTGACGAGTACTACATCGCTGCCGCCGCTAAGCGTCGTGGTCTTGGTCTCGTCAAGTTCATTGGTGAACTGTACAAGCTTGGCATGCTTACAGAGCGTATCATGCACGAGTGTGTTAAGAAACTTGTCGACTACGAGGGTGTCCCCGATGAAGCCGAGGTCGAGAGTTTGACCAGTCTGCTGCGCACCATCGGTGCCAGTCTCGATGCCTCTGAGAAGGGACCTGCCATGATGGACGCCTACTTCGCTCGCATCCACATGATGATGGAGACACCTAACTTGCCCAGTCGTCTTCGTTTCATGCTTCTAGTAAGTTTCTCTCTAACCTCTTGGTCTTGTCAAGGGAGAACAAAGAACTAACATGGCTTCTAGGATATTATTGATCTGCGTGCCGCACGCTGGAACTCGAAGGATGCCGATAAGGGTCCTCAAACCATCGTTGAGATTCGCGAGGCTGTAAGTAACCTTGATCACTGTGATTCATTATTTCTCATCTCTAACTCTCGAAACAGGCTGCCCGTGCTGCCCAAGCAGCTGAAGCTGAGCGTCAGCGCCAATCCAGCAACCGCGGAGGCGGTGGCCGCATTCCCATGGGTCGCGGTGACGCCCGCGGCTTCGGATACGGAAACCAGCCCCCTCCTCCCGATTACGCCTCTAGCAAGGTTGGCAGTGATGATCTCCGCCGTCTTCGTGCGACTCGCAACACCAACCAGCCCATGTCATTCGGTCCGTCTAGCCTTCTCGGCTCCCGCACCAACAGCGGCCGCAAGAACCTCGGTCCCGGCGGTAGCCTAGTCCGTGGTAGTGATGACAGCGCTTCCAGCAGCCGCACCGGCACTCCTACCGGCAGCAAGAAGGAAGACAACTCTTCAATGAATGCTTTCAGGTACGCAACCCCCAACGCTTTCCTCCTACGGAACACCCAATGCTAATACCCTCCCCAGCGCGCTTGCTGCCCTTGAAGATCGGGATAACTTGGCCACCTCGCCGCCGTCAAACCCCACTTCCCCGATGCTCACCAAGTCGCAGCCCGCAGCGGCGGAGCGTCGTCCCTCAAAAACCCCGTCTGTCAAGGACGGCGAAGCCCCAGCATAGAAAGTCCTTAGGAGTTAATGATCAACGTTTTCCATTTTCTTGGTTCACAAAAAGATTTCTTCATTTTCGTCATTTCCATGTTTTCCCTTGAGGAAAGCCCACGCGCCTTTGTTTTTAATCGGTCACAGTCCTCTTGCATTTTCCGACTGGTCGGTTATCCCCTAGGACTTCCTTTTTTTTCACTTTATCACGGCTGGTTCTACTTTTTCTTTTCGAAGAAGAGACCCGATTCATAGTGTACAATCTTGACATCTTTTTCAATTCTTATTCTTGTTTCTTTTTCTTTTTCCCATTGAATCGAGACATGGGCTGTGGGGCCGTGTTTGAGAGTAGGACTTTGCAATTGGACTTGCTGAATCACTTTGATTTCATATTGTCGTCCATTTCCCCAGTTGCGGATCTATAGTAGGGGGGTTTTACTGTGGGAGTGGACACTGGCATGGAGAGATTGATGGTGATGAAGGGGTTGCTGATGTCTATCTTGCTCTTTCCTCTTCCTCCCTTCTCGTTCTTTGCATATTCTCTTTTTCTCTCTTGCTTTTTGCTTTTCTGTTCTTGTCCTTTTCTCAATACCCGGAGCACCACTCAGCTTTAACGTGATTGAATGAATGCTTCGCCTTCTGGCTACTTCTAATCTTTATGACAAGTAAGATTCTAGTATAGTCACAATGTACTAAATGCGAATAATGGCTACGAGTAAACAAAAGTTAGGAAATCTGCACATCTGTAGGAGACTAAGCAATTAATGTCTATGCATTCATTCAGCGAGTTCTCACTGTAGGGCACAAGAGGGAGAGATACACATGGCCAAAACACGTGCAATGTTTAACCAGGGCAGAACATATCTGAGGACAATAAGTGGTGAGGGTATTGAGCTGGGGTATAACTATCAGTCCCGTGGCGGACCGACGTGATTCCCGACGTTTATTCTGGTTGATAGAAAGAGGCTAGAACATGTGTGAAATCAGATCGTTCGTATGCATCGTGAGTAGGCTAGAAAGCGCAATGGTGTATGCGTGGAGCAACACGAGCAAAGCAAAAATGGAGGTAAACCGCCGCTGCGGACCAGACAAGCCATATGCTTTCAGGATTCAGATCCCTTCGTGTTGTCGTTTTTATCATTGTTATCTGACACTTCAATCATCGGGATAGACACGGGATGCTTGGTTGAATCGGAAGGTTCGTTTGCCTTATCCGGCTTGTCAACTTCGGTAGAGGAATCTGACGCGGGGCAGTCGGGTTCGTCACACGGAGAAGGCGACACGACAGTCCCGTCCAGCGAAGGAGATGGCTGAGCACCATCGCCAGTAACAACGCTCTCCTGAGAGCTATCTGCTGGACTCGGACTCGCCATGACAATTGCATCCAGTGAGTTCCGAATGGGGTAAGCCGAGTCGGAGTCATCGTGGCTAATGCTACTACGGTCTGAGACGGACAGAGAACTGCGCGAGGCCGCATTCGAGTATGATGCGGGGAGTCCGAGTGCCTCTGCGACTGCAGCCTCCTCGTCTGGCAGCTTCGAAGAGCTGCTATCGTTGCTGGCGCTGGCGCCGAATATCTGACTACCGCGCTGCTCGCTCATTTCCAGGATATGGTTGTAGCTACGCCGTGTCGGGTCTGCTCGGCGCTTTTTCTTCTTCTTTTCGCGCTTTGGTGAGGGTCGAACGACTATCACTGGGATTGGTGACTGCTGGAGGCAGTATTTAGAGACGGAGCCTGGGAGCAGACTGTGCACTCCTTTCAGGTTGCGTCCTCGTGTACCGACTACAAGCATTGCAGGCTCGTATATGCGGATCTAATGGATGTTAGATTGGTGGGAGGTAGTGATGAGATTCTTGGAAATGTTACCATGCGTTGAATGATGCTCTCAACCTTGCCCACAGCAAGTTCCAGAACTAAGCTGATGGCCTTCTCATCCTGGGTATTCTTCTGGATTACCTGCTCAAATAGCTTTTCTGCTTCCTCGCGGTACTTTCGCTCTTCGATTCCGACATCGCTGGCTATGCGTGAGTCCTTCTCCACCGCTCGCAGACAGACGATCTCGTCCCCGTCATCCACCAGCTCGTCAATGAGCCATTCGAGGGCGAACTCGGAGTAGTCGTTCTGGTCGGTTCCGCACAAAAAGGTCCTGCTGCGACGTGTGCTCTGATAGCCTTTGTGTTTGTAGTTCAATGTGAGGGAGAAATCGGTAGCATCGAAGTTGTCGAATGTGTCGAAAGAGACACCTCGCTCGTAGGTTCTATTATATATTAATAAACGCCGTTTCACACACAATCTTCGAGTAGAACGTACTTCGGTGGTGGTGGAGACGGCCCTCGGTTCAATAGGGTAGCTTTGTGTTCCCGTTCCTTTTCTTCCAATAATTCCCTCGTCGGGGTATCCCCATATGATAGCCGCTTTTCCTTGAAGCCCAACGAGCGACTGGGCAGCTGAGCCTCTGCGGCGCCGACGCTAAATTGGATCGATCTCCGTTTGCTTTTGGGCTTAGCCTCCGAAGGGCTGCGGGTGTGGCCGGACCCCGCGGGTGGGATCGTATGATCTTTCAATTCGGGTCGCTCTGCAGACTCAGATGAGGCTCTTGGAGAAGTCGGTGCAGACATTAAGAGGTTGATCTTCGATGATGCAAATGAGCAAGGGTGTAATGGGTCTGTTGGTTTTCGTGGGCCGTGTTGACGTAAAGCACGAGAGGTACCTAGGTAGTACGTATCAGCGGCCACGGGGTTGTTGAGGGTTCCACAGGACCAAGCGGGGATTTGGTATCATGTTTTGAGAGAGTTTTTGCAATAGAAACTAAGAAGGTTGATGGTCACGAGGCATGTTGCTCGAGCTGGAGAGGGACGGATGCAGCGAGGGGTCAGGATGGTCCAGGGCGATCACTTATCGATAGCGGCTGAGCTTAACTATGCTTATGTAATGTCAGGGGTGATTTGACACAACCCTATATGGAAAGCTTCATTTGCGTTTGAGTCCACATGAGGAAGAAGCTATTAGAATGCATTAGTCTCAATTTGTCTACTGGACTAAGATGGGAATGTTAAAACCGAAGGAATCCTACCTTCCAACTTGGGTAAGTAAGTATGTATTTACGTCTAATGAAGAAGCAAGGAATGGATCCGTTCACGAGACCAGAAATTAAGCAATGTAGCTGCTTCGATGGTCTAAGTGATTCGAACTACGGCGGCATTGATATAATTTTCGCTGTGCAGAAACAAAGGTTGTCTGAGAAGAGGAAGAACCTCAACCTACTATTGATGGGATATTAGGAATGCCGAGTCAAATATATGTTATATTCTAGCATCAATTTTTGAAGGGATAGTAATAGTACTCCGTAATAGTACATACTATACTCCGCACCCTACCGCGACATGTACCGTGTACTAAGCCACAATAAGACCTTGGAAGGACCCACGTAGTCAACTTCATATCTCAGGTCCAAGGCTGAGTACTCCGTCGGACACGGATACGGAGTAAACTGTCAGACGGAAAATGAATGCCAGATAGGGGATGATCTCTTGCAAGAAACCAAAAGCGCCGAACCAATAACATAACCGAAGTCAAGATCGCCCAACATCAAGCATACCCAAACACCTCAGCCCCCAGGATTTTCGCTAGCCCAATATGCATCCCGCCCTACCTTACATCGAACAAAGCCAAGGCATCCATTGGAAGCAAAAAGAAGCGAAAAAAATAATCCCCCTTCCATAACCCACTCTCCGCGGAGTGTCCGAACACATACGGAGTAAAGAATAAACTAGTAAACCCCTTCAGCTGACTATTAACTAGCCCTATGCCGACTTAGCCGCGATGATCTCATATCTCTCTGATCTATCTATCTTATCCGGCGGTGAAGACTATCGCGTGCTGGCGAGCTGCACTTCCATTTGGCTGAGAACGGATTCTGCGCTCGGGGATCTACAGGGTCACATGCGCGATTCTGCCGGTTTGAATGGAACTATTTACTGGACTATGGAGTGGAGTGGGAAATATTGATTTGATTTGAAATTTTTATTGGATTGTTTTTATGTGGAATATTTTTGTTTCGTGTATGTACGGAGTACATTGGGAGCACAATGTCTTCCCCTATGTTTCAACACTCCAATGCAGTCTCAACCTTTGTAGGGAGAGCTGAATATTGGGCTATCACAGATAGCCAGAGAAGAGAGGGGTATGTAGTAAATGTCCATATGACATCAAAATAATGGAATGTCCAAAATGGAGATTCGCCAAATGCGACCGAACCAAAAACGCCAGAAAATAGATGATGAGAGATGGGTAAATATAAACTCGCTCCAAAGATATCGTCATAAAAGCATCAGGGTATCACGTATATATCGCTGGATGATGGTACACAAGGCAGAGAGAGAGGTAGAGAGGTAGAGAGGTAGGAGATAGTTCGTAAGTGGATGTGAGGGATCGAGCTTAATCAATAAGCCTCGATGAGTGTCTGCTCTTGTGCACCAAAATACCCTTGCTCAAAGAGATGGGGTTGATCAGAGCCCGCCAAGGCAATAGCCGTCGTAGCAGGCTCCTTTTCATCGAATGCCTCCAGCGTAGGCTGGGGCGGGGAGGGCGGCGTCGCCTCGTCCTCGGACTCTCCATCTGAATCAGAAAGGAGCTCAGGCGGCGACTGTCGTGATGGTGAGCGAGTCAAGCTCAGCTCCTCCAGATCCTCCGCATCGTCGTACTCAAAGTCTGAATCTGTGTCGTCGTCATCCTCCTCCTCTAGCAGGTCCTCCTGCAAGGGAGCCACGGGTGATGGGGCGCGGCGACGGGGAGGAGTGTTGATGACGAATTCTGACTCGTCGTAGTCGGAGTCGTCGCTGTCGCTGAGTTCGGAGTCCAGATCAGATGCATCCTCCGCATCCCAGTCTTCCTCGGGCTCTTCGACTACAGTCGAAGCCCATTGGATGTGTTGACGAGAGGAAGAAGCAGAAGCCTTGGTGGCTCCGCTGACGGTCTGGTTGAACCAGCGTTCTTGTTCACGCTCGGCATCGGCGAGGTCGTACATCAGCGAGTCGAGGAGATTGGCGTGGCCAACGAGCAGGCGTAGGTCGTGGTCTGCCCGGGAAGCTTCACGAGTGAGCTTCTTCCGGGCAGTGTGGGCGAGATAGTATGTTTGAGTGATGCTCATTTTCTTTTGTTGGCGACGACGGAGGAGGGAATCGAAATAGGGGGAGGGTTTGGGAGGTATTAGAGGTGATAGAAGAAGAGTCCATGGTGGGCCAGAAGAGCTTTTGAAGGATTATTATGACTCTTTGGTGGTGACTCAATTAGGCGTCATCCAGTCACAGTGGATCGTCGTGGGCGGTGTGATATAAGGGATAAGAAGTTTGGAGTAGATCAACTTTGTTATACATAAAAGTATGAAAGTATAGATAGATCAAGTTTTTTTTTCCAGGAGGACAAGATCGATAGTGTAACGAGTTAGAAAGTAGAGTTATAACAATTCCAGGACCAGAGGTTTATATCTAATCTGACAAGGCAACGTTTTTCTTTTTTTTCCCTTTTTCCTTTTTTTTTTTAGTCCGATCGACCCGAAACGGACTTTACGGATGATGAGAGATCCACCGGAAATAAATGGAGAAAGGGTATACGCCGAGTCCGAATTATGAATAATGCACTGTTCGCTTCCAAGGTTCCTTCTTTCTAGATCTTCACCGCTACGTTACACATTGTGCTTTACATACAATATACATACCTAAGTACTTATATAGGTGCCTACAATATTAATAGTACATATGTACATATGTACTCTGTACTCTACTATTTCTCCTATTCAATTCAAAAATATCCAATTAAGATACGTGAGTCACTTAGAAAACTCGGATGACCAATCCGCCGTCCCGTAATCCATCGGAGGATAAAAAACCGATCGGAGTATCGGTCGCACTTGTTGCCGTTGATTTTTTATTTTATTTTATTTTTTTATTTCCTTAATTCCTAATTCCATTTCCTTTAACGGTTAGTCTGATTACTGATACAATCTTAAAGTTCTAATATCGAACCCTGGAACTCAAGTTTGGATTACATAGCATTTCGATTTCCAATCACCGCATGCCAAATCACATCATCTTTTATAATATTGTTATCTATGATAGCTTACAATTGCTTTGACATGTCAACGTGTCGGCATCCTATCTAGGTATCCAAGTTAAACATCCAATGAGTTGGCCTGTCAGCATGGAGGCTCTTGGAACCTTGGAGAAGCCAAGCCACATAGCCTCCGTATGCGTATTCAGTATTATGCAACACTACCCCTCGCCTGTACTCTCCCTAGAACGAGTACGACAGCTGCCCAGTCTTGGCAGGATTGACCGGCATTCCCCAGAAATTAGAGATTGACCAGGAATCCATGCATGAGTAGGCAGTGCTGTGGGGAACGAATAGCATGCGCAGATCCTCATGAGGCCATGAGGCAGCATAATTCCGATATCCCTAGATAAGACTCCTCCCTTAAAGATTTGCTCATCGCGCAGTTATACAGCGTTGCCTACAACGGACAATTGACGTTGTACGCTGTACATTCCACAGGTGACACACATTGGGCCATTGGCGGATCTCATTGGTGCCCACATGAAAATGTGCTCAAAACAGAGAGAGACAGCCTGACACTGCGCCCTGCAAGGAGGGGGATTCGTTGTTTCTCGCTTCATGATACAGGTACCATGTACAGTCCTTACTGCATACCTTGACCATGATAGCGTGTTTGGCGTACGTCAGTCTTTACAAGCCAAGAGGTCCTGTTTTTCAGATGTCATCCCTGGGGCTTCTTGGCGTGTTAGGTAAGATCCCTGCGGATATCGCCGAGATGAGCTAAGCAGTCAAAATGCCCACCTGGGCTGGGCAGGTGGTTCGCTCGCATGGCTTGCCGTTTCGAAACACCCGAGTCTCCACTTCGTAGCCCTACAGAGGATGCGAATACGAAATGTCTCAATTTTCATCTCTGCTGAATATTTTAATCTTTCAGTTTCTCGCACATTCGAAGATGTTCTATCGTACAATCTTCAATATTTCTTCCATCTTCCTTCGATTCCAACCCGATACGAAGATTACCCAATCAGGAAATTATGAGTCAACAGGTTGAGATCCAGCCACAGTCCAGAACAATTGAATTCAGGGTCTATGCTGTGGGGATCGGATATAATAATACAATAATCATCGGCCAACAGCGCCATGGCTGGTTGTCAACCACTTTATTAAACGCCCAATAACCGACATTGGATCCTCGGCCTTTCGCTGCTAATTTTCCGAGATCCACTGTTCTTGACAGGTATGACATCAAGGACTTGGGCTTCGCCGTTCTCTATCTGTTACCGTTGTCCGAGAGATAGACCTGGTTGATATCTAATAGAATGAATTACGAAAATACCTCTATAGATGGATTACCAATTGTCTAGCCGGTTGAGATGATGTGAATGACCACATATTGCATGACGAACTGAGATTGTGGAATACATAGATGAGAATCAATTACTTGGTAATCATAATTCATCCAAAATAGGCAGCGTGGTGTATCTGAGGCTGATAAATGTTCATGCATAGCTTATGCTATTCATTCCACATTAATAACCAGCATAATCATAAAACCATCCCACCTGACCATCTTCGAATGCTTCATACCTATTTAGGTAAAGTACCTCGCAAGATGACATTACATTATTCCTCCGACTCTCGGCGTTAAATCCATCCGCAAATTCAGTCAAAATCCGTATCCGAGTTCCGTGTCCGGGTGGATCGTGCACTGTGCACACTTTATGCCAATGATGTGCATCACTAACGCCGATTCACGTTAGCCTTGGAGCTCTAGCTTTATTCGCATGGTTTTATCGCTATCGCTCACGGATGATCGACACGTGCAAGAAAAACGAACGTGACTCGGTCCCGGAACTTCATTGCCGGTTCTCGTAACTGATTCTCCACTACGGAGTACGGAGTAGATCGAGGTTAGTTGCGGGTTCCTGGCTATGCGGCACATGTCCACGGGGCTGGTCGGATGAAATCGTCCGTGTTGATTCACTATCACACTTTTGTGATAGCTTGTGACTCATGATGATCCTGTTTGAGGCCTTTTCCCCTAGTCTGTGTTGTGTAAGTCGCGGATCCTGGCTGCGCCCACAGAGATTCAATACCTATCCAGGATGAGTTGGCTGCGAACATGTACCTCCTAGTTATCCAGTTATCTAATACATAATTTATAGATTGTGGCTCTGATCATCCTCAGCCTGCAAGCAATGAGCACTGCGTGTAGTTCGTCAGAATGGAAAAAGCAAGCGGCTGTCGGATACAAGCCAAAGCCGGGAGATGGATTCCAGGGCAAGATCGGCGCTTTGATCAATCTCTGGCCTCTTTGTCCCGCGAAGACTTGCTTATCCAATGACATATAATAGAAAATCCACGTGATATCGTCGATCTATAGCCATGTCACAGCATGTCACATCGTCTGGCACCGTCAACAACACAAAACATGTACAGACCACCCTATGGCTTCAAGAAAGATAATTAATTCATGCTTCATTAATCGCATTCATGTTAACAAACAGTTCATAGTCAAATGACGCCTTGGCACCAGACTCCAGCAAAACACATCCCTTCAAGATCAAGCAGCAAGACATATCCCATCAAGTCATCAGGTCATCTCAAGACATCTCAAGTTCATACGGAAGAACATTTCATTGCCAAGGTAGTCGACAAGATAGGCCGAATTGTCAGGGTCAGCCATACGAAGATCAGCATAAGCCAGCGCACGATCAATAGTCATCTCAATATCATGCAGGTCAGGGGCATAGCCATGGAAGCGAAGCTTATGAAGAACAGCCCTGATCCAGTTGACGCAGTTCTGCGGCGGGCAAGCACCCTTAATCGGCAACTGAACAGACTGAAGAAGGATCTTGATAGTCTCGGGACCGATTCCATCGTGGACTTCGCCAATTGCCATTCTGATGAGGAGGGAGTCACACGAGTCCGGATGGATGTTGGTCTTGACGCGGTAGGTCCATTGGAAGTCAGGGTTGAGGTCGCGCCGAAGAACCGGGTCTGGAGAGGATCCGTCAGTCACGTCGTAGGCGTACCAGCGGTCGTTCTTGAGATCCCAGACGAGGATGGCCCAGTGGTATGCGGAGAAGCCGAGGCGTCTTCGGTAGTCGCCGAGAGAAAGCTCGCCGCGGTGGTAGAGTGCCAGGAACAGTTGGTAGCTATCGGTGGGTGGGGAGTATGGGCTGATCTCGCGATCGAGGGGAGCATCGCTGATCTATATATGTATACTCTTGTTAATCACTCTTCTGAGCTTCAATTTCTAAGGATCAGACTCACAGGAAGGGCAATTGGATACATGGCCATGGTGCTTCAGGATTTGCATGGATGTGTGTGGTTGAGATGGGTCGAGGTTTTGTTTACATGCTTTTCTCCGGTCGAGCTCCTGAGCGGGAGCCCTCAGCAGCTTTTATTGCCTCTTCTACGCTACCGCCTGAATGTAATTTTCGAGGCAATTCAGTCGTTGGTGCCTGCCGAAGATGGTTACATGATACTAACAGCCTATTGATAACTAAGGCGACGAGGAACGGGGCTATTCGCAAGTTTATATCTCTAATTCATAGATATTTGAAGCTATACAGATCCCCGCGCACGGACCATCCTGGCGTTGAGTTCGAAGGCGGCCACCCTTCCCCTCGACTTTCAACCATAAAGGATCGAAGCTAAGCATAACTAATAGAAAATTAGATCAGATTAATAGATAATAGTAAAATGAGAGACAACTGAGAGGGATTGTATCAATCAAAAATGGCGATGGGTCTAGCTACCTACCTGGTGGACTAAGATGATAGCTGATACTTGGGGCACTTTGGCGCAAACACATAATAACTCTTAGAGACTGTATGTCTTCTGACTGACTTTGTTATTAGGAAGACGATAAATAACTTGTACTCTTTCTAGTGTTCTGGAATCATGCATATGGTGACATGTCTGTGTTTGGTGAACAAGTGCGACACAATCCAGTCGACCGAAAGCCGACAGGATTTGGAGGCTTTCTTACCCCTGAGGCCAGATAGACATAAAAGAGCCCCTGGCTAGTTAAGATGAAAGATATTTTGTTTGCTCTCTTTGTCCTAAAAATGAGACAATAATTCTGATGACCCGGGCGACTGTCCTTCCTCGGCGAGGGTGGGAGCCAGTTGTTCGCCGGCCGCAATCTAGAGGTAAGAGTGCAAGAAGCGTTGGAAAGCGCCAGGGGTGTTGCCGATGTCAGCGGCGAGCTGAAGGCAGTGACGTCCACGGGTGTTTCTTCCGTTGAAGGGCCAGAAAACCATCTCACGTTTATAGACATAAATATTGACATAAATATCAAAAATAACAACAAGAAGGGCAGTCTGGACATGACAATAATGAAGAATTCCCAGTATAACGGCTTCCCAGAGTAATTTGATACTTGGTATCTAGCAAGGTGATCAACACTCGTATGCAAATATGTTGCACAAACTCTCCCTTATTCATATCAAGGCAGAGACAAGAACAGCTCCTTCAACTTAGGATAGTTAGGTGTTCCCAATCCGGTAGCCGGATCCCATCTACATGGTATGTTAACAGTAAGCCCACAGCCATGTAGAAGATTGTACTCACCCTGGAATAGCACTAAAGCCGTCTGAGCCACATCCGAGATTGGTTCCATTGGTGATATCATTAAGAGCCTCCGGGTGAGCGTAAAGTACGGGATTCACGAAACCAACAGGTCCCTTGCCCTGGTCAAGACGTTCCTCATTGATCTGCAAAGAGAGCCATTAGCACAATAAACAAACCAATTCAAAGTTTTGCCTCAACTTACCAAATTAAGGACCGAAGCGAACAACGGTGACGCCAGGCTAGCCCCATAGTAGTGCGTAATCTTTCCGCCATTGTAAGCAGGGAACACGGCGCCATTAGCTGATACGTCAGGGTATCCACGACCAATACGGTTGTAGAGACCCTTTGTCTTGTTAAGATTGACTTCCATCTCAGAGTAGTACGGGTAAGTCAGCTTAGCCTTCTGGAAGTACTTCTCCACGGCTTTCTTCTGGTACGAAGGCTGCGGGAAGTAGTTGGAGAAACCGCCGGAGCTGGTGAAGTTTGCGGAATCACCACCCAAGTTAGCGGACATTACGCTCTCCGCATCCTTGACTGTTTGGTCGGCGTAGAGCATGGTGCCTCCGACGGAGGTCACGTAGGGGCAGTTCGAGGGGTATTGGGGGTTGAAGATCTTTGCCTCGGGTCCCAGACATCCGTTGGCGGCTCCATCATTGTGTAAGGAGGCGACGCCGTAGTCGCCAGAGGAGAACAGGATGGAATGGCCCTGCAGGCCGAGTTTCATGAATTCATTGCATTGGCGCTTGGTGTAGGCGATTGGAAGATCGGCTTCGGCTTGTCCGTAGGAGGCACTGATGACGGTGGTGGGCTTGTATACACCGCATTGAAGCTCGCCTGTTTTGTGTAAGTAATCAAATTAGTCTGGTTGATGGTAATGGTATGTTACCTTTATAGCCACCAGGACGCGGGTTGGGATAGACTGGATCGATATCTGGGTTGTTGCCCGTTTCACCGAACGCACTGTATGTGCAGTAAGACTGGGATAATTAGCAAGATGCGTTTGGTTTTCGGAAGAATATAACATACACCATCGAGAGCGTCAAGGAAAGTGTTGAACAGATTGGTGGTCTTTTCCTCTTCCGGTTCATAAGTTTGGTCATCAACCTGGTAAAGAGTTATAGACTGGGGGTAGATAAGCGAATAACTGACATCATTAGCAAAGAGCAGAGATTCCACTAGAGAAAAAGGGAATTGTACTTACGCCATGTCAATGTCAATATCCGCTTCACCAGCATTCAGCGGGCTATAATCAGGCACCGAAAAGTTCGCTCCATCGATCAAGGCAGGAATGGGATAAGTGCCCTGAGGAATCCAAGGAGCAAAGTGTTTGTAGTAGAGATCAAGATCTGACTTGGCAAAGTAGTCACCCTGCTCGTAGAGACCAAGCGAGTTGCCCTTTGCTGCCTTGGTGGCGTCTGGGATATCGTACAAGGCCTTGATGCAGGCCGGAGTCATGTCAGTTCCGCACCTCTGGAGATCCGCAGGAAGTGACTTCGCCTTTTCAGGAATAACGGCGGGTTTGACAGAGTTATAGGCTTCCACTGTGCCCTTGGAATGAGCCAAGTGCGACATCCGCTTTGCCTTGGTGTTCTTCTTGACGATGGGGCTGAGCTTGACTCCAGGAGTAATATAGTCAATGTGCGGTTGGATATGCTCGGGGACGTGATACCTAAACTGTTAATCAAAGACTCCAGAGTTTAGAAAGCAACAAGACTCACTCCCCGCAGCCAATCTTCATGCTAGAAGTGCTGGCATGCTCATGTTCATAGAACTCAGCCTTGAACAAGTCCTCCACCTCATGCGCATAGGCATCAAAAGCCAACCAGCCCTTGTTATCGGAGTGTACAATCCGGGACTCATGGATCCCAGAGGACTGAAGCCACCGACGAACAGAGTCAACGGAATCTTTTGAAGGAGCGAAAAGTTCATGGACTTCCTCCGCAGACCAGTACTGTCCATATTTGGCAGAGTTCGGGTCGGAACTACGCAAGTATCAGTGATCGGACGCATACCATGAACCACCCACACACAAAATCAACTTACACAGCCATGAGATACTCATCACCCTTCTCCAAATTATTCTGAGTAAGACCAATACGCACAGGCAGCACGGAATCACGCTTAATGCGCTCGCCTTTCACCCAATCCACATGCTCGCTTCGCTTTTCATGCAAGACATGCTTCACCGGTGCTGGGACAGCTCCAGAAAGAGCGACAATAGCCAGAGCGACACAAACCTGACGTACCAGCATCTCAAGAAACAATAGAGCTGTACTGATACCCGGCCATTCTGCTGGGACAGGGGAATTTCCCTCCTGCTATATACTCCATAGTACACGCGGGGACAGCTAATCACAATGGTATGATTGCAACCATAATTTCCCGCGCCTGCAATGTTGAAAAAGGCGCCAATTGTGTTTGGCAGGTCTGATTGGATATATTCCGTGGTATCTGCATGATGTTTGAGACACCAATTCGGGATTCGACGTCCGACACAAGAGATCAACATCTTTAGCCGGGACGTTTGGCTTCCAAAGGCACAGTTGACAAGGTCTGGTAGATATGAAGACGATAATTGCAATCTATGGGGCTTGTTCTGCCAATGTTTTGTGTCATTGCTTGGTTATTGCTTGGTTATGCTTGGTGTTTCAGTCTTATCTCAGGAGACGGGTGCCTGGTGAGTACCCCTGCAGCGGAGCTCCGACGGGGAAATCCATGTGACAACAGTTCATTTCAGGGAAACTAGGGAATTCAATTGAGAAGAGAACAT